CTCACACATGGCTTACCGTGGCAGGGACAGACTATTGGGGGTTATGGGAGTGGATATGGTGTAATGATCATTTATGTTGGTCTGACAAGTTTGATCAGTGGAATGAACTTTGTATGGAGGTGTCTGAAATTGCTATAAAACTGAGCCCAATGAATGAATACGTCTTTGAATTGACGCCAACCCACTTCGTGTTTTCATGATAGATCATTATTGAGTTGGCCCTTTTCTATTAGAGAAACATGTATATACAGGCACTCGACCAGCCAAGTATTAAATAATTCTTGATATAATTAATCTGTGTAGGGCATTATGTGGATAGTATTGTAGAAATTACTCAGTGTGGTGAGTTTTATCTTTTAGCTACATAACCTATAGACAGTAGTATGGACAAGTAATCTTCAGGGTGCTGCGTACCATATGGCCATGATACCGTTGACTCAGTCTAGAACGGGGTCCACTACCATTGTCGGAACGTCAATATCATCGTCGATATCACACCCGGCATCTAGGACATATCACCGCAACAACCCAGTAAGTATCAAAATAATGTGCTCGAGTGAAAAGACTTGACTGCATCAGAATCACTGCCCAAATCAATTACTCATACCTCTTAGGTCTGTCTCTCGCACCATGTCGCTCGCATTCTTAACAGACAAGCCACAGTCAGTCGTCGCCATCTAGATTATTCCAAGCTCGAGATCTTCAGAAATTGGTATAATTTGTTGCTGATGGCTGGTATCAGATCCAAGGTAACGAAAAATGAATTACTTGAGATCGCGAACAAGTTCAATATCAAGATACTAGATGGCCCTGAGTGTGATGCTTACTTACTTCTTCTACAGTCAATGGAGGCCATATTGCAGCATGTCAAAGAAAGCGTAGACTATATTCATCCGTCTTTGGTGCCTGTTTCAACGACTCTGCCTCGGTCATACTGGCTTCCTAAGAACGAGAAGAACCTACTCAATGCTTGGCTCCATTTTTGTAATCTTGTAGCTTCCAATCCGACTAGTGCCTTACGTCGTGGGAGAATGATCACAATCAAGGGTAATATCTCTATCGGAGGTCTACCAACGGTGCTGGGCACATTCAAAGAGTCAGTATGTGGCAGAACCGATGGCAAGCTGCCGGTTTCCGGAATTTATGCTTCAGTAGTCGGGCGATTGCTGAAGGCAGGCGCTACAATTAAAGAGTCATCAACGTGTGAGGACTTTGCTGCTTCTTCATTATCGTACTGGGCATGTATAATCACCATAAACATCGCTAAATGTCTAAAAGTCAGCAGCTTTAGTAGCCGCGAATATTGTCCAGCGCCAGACTAATCGGTCATATGGCCAGATTGTTCACCTTGCAATTGGCAGTGATCAGGCCGGCTCTATCAGTTCCTGCTTCTAACTCGAGTATATACAGTTATGGCTATTGGTATGACACAGTGACACCCGAACAATGTCACTCTTTCAATCGCGCTTCCCGCCACGCTTGTCCCCATCGAAGCAGAACGAGTTGGATCGAGGTTGCAACAAGCAGAATTGCTGCTACCAATGTAAAAGCTACACCACAATCCAGACGGTCAATCATCACGATGATGAGTACATTACCCCCTCCTCCCATCCAACAACGTAAAAGATTATTCGCTGCGGTTGCAGTGGCCGGATTTTTCGGGTCTGCAAGTAGTGTTAACGAGCACATGGTGCAATCAACAGGACGCTATTGTTCTGTGAGGAGATAACTGACAGTAATCTACCACCACTACGTTCATAACCTGAAAACAGCCTGTGACCGTGATTCCAATGATGAATTGAAGCACGAGAGCAACTGCCAACGGAGCATGAGCTTGCACAGCCCACCCGTAGCTAAACAATGATGCGGCCCCTAGGACGGACATCGGGAGGGCAACCGGAAACCGCGCACGCTCTAGGGGGAATTTTGTTATGTCTTGGGCTCGATGACGGTCAATGATGATCCCGTTAAGCTCTGCAACTCGTTGGAAGTTCCAATCAAGTAGAGGTCCATTTATAAGTGGAGCTAGGAAGCTCGCCACGCCGAAGGGAAGATAAGTAAGGCCTATCTGAAGATCATTCAACCCATATATATCCTTAAAGAGTGAGGGAGTTGACGCGATAACAGTGTTGAAGGCTGTATAAACCAGTGCATTGTAAAAGAGGACAAGGCCAACATCCTTATGGAAAATCAGCCTGACGCTCTTGAAGGGATTTGGAAATCGCAACACCCGCTTTTCAAGCTGCACACGTGAAGAAACCCCGCCATCCCGCGCCACAACATAAGGGAAGAGAGGCCTGTTCCACTCTGATTCAATCAGTGCAAGCCAGTCAGATATTCTTAAAAAGCAAGAAAGATTGATCCTTACTAGGTGGTGGAATTGACCCATTGCCAACGACATGTCTCGCGGTTTCAGGAAACATGAGGACTAAAGGAACCATGTAAATGCACACTAAAATGACCAAACACCAGAATATGCTTCTCCAGCCCAGGTAGTGGGCCAAGAGACCCCCCAGGGTTGGACCGATGGCAGTGCCCACCGCGGTGCCTGAGGTAACCCAGCCCATGTACTTACCTCGTTCAGCATTAATTGAGATATCAGCAGCAACACTGATAGATATAGCCACGGTACTGCTGGTGCCAACACTTTGAATACATCTCAGTACCATCAGCGCCGTAAATGAATTCTGCAACGCCAAACCAACGCATGCGCCAATGTAAATGACGAATCCAAAAATGAAAACTGGTCGCCTGCCGATGGTATCTGCCAGATCGCCAAATAAAGTCGGGGACAAACCCTGTAAAATCATGTATACCGTGAGTGTCAGGTTGATAGCTGTGGTAGAGACTCGAAATTCCTCGGCGATTACGTTAAGGGTCGGTAAGTAGATCGTTGCCGACAAAGGTGATACAAAACCAGCAAAAGCAGCCATTCCGATTATAAATCGGATTTGCCCTCTAGTGAATATTGTGTAGAGGGCTGTTTCATCTAAAGGAGCCGGTGCTGAGTTGAGTGGACTGGGACCTTTTCTGAGGTTGGAGGTCTTCTGATATTCAGCATCTGCGTGTTGGGATTCAACCCTACAGGAACACTCATTTCGGTCTGGATACATATTTTTTTAGCTCAGCAGTGAGTTGAAGTTGTGAAAAAGTGACAATGATCTGCCAAGAATAGATATTATTCTTGCGTGAAAAAAGGCTGCCTAGCATGGACCGGTATTGTCTTACATGGATTGCATGAATCATAGTATTTAAATAACCTTCGGACTTCGCAGCTCCGAACAGTATACTCCACAAGTAGACTATTTCTTTCGAAGAGAGAGATATGCAGGGATTTAAATTAGAACCTCTTGTGCCGCGTGAAGAAACATGGGGGTAGTGAGTGATTTATACAGTAAGCTCTTTCCAGATTAGGAAGCATACCTATGTATTCCAAGCCAAGCCATTGGCATGTACGTAATCAAAAAGGAGATCCCCTTAGTAGGACTTTTTAGTATTGGTTTGTATCAGGTGCGAACAGTCCGTTTCCGCGCGTAGTGACGTGATAAATATTCTACTATGAGTAACAAAATCTACTCCGTATTGGAGCCGATTCTGCACTAGTACTGACTCGGTAATGCGAACAGTTCAAACGCGGGGAATTCTATATGTGTGCACACTCTTCTAAAATACAAGGATCTGGCAGTCTAGGTCCTGTTTATACGAGTGCACCCCTGTATTGTTACACAGAATCACGTGCAAGAGATACCAAGGAAAGCTGCTGGCTGTCTGTGTACTGTCGACTCTTGTCGATACCGAGCTGTAGTGTTGATTTCAAATCATTAATCTATTTATCAATGAGCGTAGCAACTTGAAGCAATTTCTGGAATCTCGCGATATCAAGATTCTGAAACAATTGATGTCGATTCTGTTGGATTGTGCGGTACAATCTCTAGCGGTAATTCTCTACGTATCAAAATATGTGTACAGATTGTATGTCAACTTTGATCATCCTTGTTGCGTGTCTCTTGTAGAGTATGACTGGGGGATGGCTTTTTCAGGGCCCACACCTGACACCACAAAGCCGAGGAGGACAAGGACTACGGTCGTGTGTTACGAGGCAAAAAAAGACAGTTATTTAGTGCCTATACTCCGTATGGAAATCTCTTGCTCGCCCGTCCGCGCAGTGATGCATCTCATCCCTGAAGCATCAGCCTAAAAAGCCAGGACGACGCATGCTCAGTCATAGGTATACCTAGGTAGGATCTCGGCGCGTGTAGGCTAACGCACATATCTAGTTTTCGGCACAGAGACCAGTGCGAATATCAATGTATATTTCAGGGAAGCTATCTGAGTGTGAAGGTGAAGGGTTCAAATCAATTTTCCGTGCAGATAGCTGTAGGACGAAATAACTAACCATGAGCAAGGGAAACAACTGAATAAGGATTTGGCACCGTACAATCAGACTGCCACTCGTGATCTCTGCTTGGAATATCACAGAAATTTCTTTCCAACAATAGAGAGCTAAATACATATATTGGACAACCGTAGTGAGTAATGACGTGCCGAGGATTTTCCGTAGTTAAAGCAAAGCTAGAAAGCCCTAATTCTGGCGTGTTATACTAAGTGACCTACAGAAATGCCAGCCAATCAATGAATTAAAACACCTCAAATGTTGTTGAGACTATGCAGTAGTAGAATTGGCAATAGGCAATGCATTTTCGCAAAAATGAGGCATTGATTACCAATAAGTCATGTTGCTGCGCTCTTTGGAGTGTGATTGATGTGCGCTCTGAACTAGATTACTAAACATAATTACCAATAGAGTCAAATGTTTGATACACATGGCCCACAAAAGCCTGTTTTTACTCTGCAACTATTCACTTCTCATCATGAGACCCTGGGTTATAAAAGCAAAGGAGTCCCATTGACTGATGTTCAGTCTTCCAGCAATTGGGAAATATATCAACTCTCTGTCTTACTATTAGCAAAATCAACTTGAGCTAAGTTTCTCCATCAGAATGTGCGGAATTTCAGTGATTGTTGCTCTGAAGCAGCATGACGACCTCAATGTAGCTAGATGGCCCCGTAAAGCCACCGGTCCATTGGCAAAATTGCGGAGCGCAATATACCATCAGGAGGAAGATCATCTATCGGACAGACTTGAACAAAGCCTCGCTCAGTTGTCTCACCGGGGCCCTGATAGTCGTGCACACTGGATTAGTGAAGACGGTAGAGTTGGTTTGTACTTCTTTCCTATTACAAATGACTAAGTCTGGTCTTAGCTAATGCTATTCGCTCTGAGTAGGATTCGGCCATGTACGATTATCCATCAACGACCTTAGCCCAAATGGTTCGCAGCCATTTCACGATACAGCAGGGTCGGTACATGTTGTTGTCAACGGAGAGTTGTACAATGTGAACTCTATTCGGGAAGAAATGACCAAAAAGACTGGTTATGTGTTTCAAGGCCGCAGCGACTGTGAAATAGTGCTGCCATTGTATAAATATTATGGCCCTTCATTTCTGCAGTATCTTCGTGGGGAGTTCTCTCTATGTCTTTATGATTCCGAGACGAAATTCTTCATGGCTGCGAGAGACCGTTACGGTATCAAACCTCTCTTCTGGACCATGCTTGACGGGCGATTGGTCTTGGCATCAGAAGCTAAGGCTTTCATACCCTTTGACTGGCAGCCCGAGTGGGATGTCAAGTGCCTCATGGATGATGGCTGGAGGCATGATCAGAGAACACCATTCAGGGGTGTGAATAAGGTTTTTGCTGCAACGGACTTGATTAATTGAATGTATTCCAAACTAACGGCGGTTCTCAGATCCGGCCAGGATATTATCTCACCTGCAACTCCTCTGGGTCTGTGGATATACAACAATATTGGGACCTTGACTTTCCAGACAAGGTGAGACGCCCCCGACAAATGGGTAAAATACTCCAACTGACACCAAAAGACCTATGTAGACCATCGCACAGAGCAGGAGGTCATTGATGGAGTGCGTTCCCGCCTGGTAGAGTCTGTACGCGAACGACTTCAAGCCGATGTACCCATTGGCATCTACCTCAGCGGTGGTTTGGACTCCTCTGCCGTGGCTGGGATAGCGTGCCATCTCATAAGAAAAAATGGAGCATTGAACGGTCATAGCACCAAACAGGATGGTCTGACTTGTTTCAGCATTGAATTTGACGAGTCCAGTGGCATGGATGAATCCGGTAAGCCTATGCATCAACTTCTCATCGAGGACCGCTCCACTCTTTTGCTGATATTCACTGGAGGCATTGCTGAGAGGACGGCACATCATCTCGGTGTTCCATTAATCCGAAAGAAAATGAACGAGGAGGAGATTGCGAAGCGCTTCGAAGATGCCGTTTGGCACTGTGAACACCAAAACTATGATCTTAACTTTGTTGGCAAGTTTGTATTATCCGAAGCACCACAGGAGCTGGGTGTCAAGGTAAGAGAGCTGGCATATCTTCACAATGGGCTGAAGGCTAGAATGCTAACTACACTGCCTAGGTTGTCTTGACGGGGGAAGGTGCAGATGAAGTAAGTTAGCAATAGAGTATCCTCAATGGCTAAAAATATAGCTCTAAGACTTGCACTAGGTGTTTGGTGGTTACCCGGCGTTTCTGCCTGACTTATTACGGGAGACTGACCATTCCCGCACACCACTTGCACTATCAGAGAAGGAAAGGGTAGGTGCCTTGGTTACTACTGAAGCTCAGGCCGCTCAATACTACGCGCGAAGGGCTTTATCAACGATCCATCTTGAAGATTCATTGGCGCGCCGTCAACTCAATAACATCAGTAGTATGGTTTGGTTAGCCGGCTACGTTTTCCCCATGTTCTCACGCTGGACTGAATGTTATGGAAAGTCCGATGCGTGTCTCACGATCGCATCTAATATCAACAATCGTGTCAAGAACTTGATGCTCAATAAGTGGCACCCCCTGAACTCGGCTTTATATATGTGGGCGAAAGGAAACTTAGCAAACGTCTTGCTGTCATGCCTTGGTGACCGTTCGGAAATGGCGCACGGCATTCAGGGGCGACTTCCTTTTTTGGACCATAAATTGACTGAATACGTGAATCAGATTCCTCCTAGTCTCAAAATCAAGGCCAAAAAAGGTGGGGGTTTCATTGAAAAATGGGTTCTAAGAGAAGCCGTCAAACCCTTCATCACAGATGAAATCTACGGCCGCAAAAAGCATGGCTATGCGGCACCTACACGCTGGAAAACCAATGGACCGTTGCATAGATTGTTCCAGCGGCTAATCACTCAGCAAAACGTTGAAAGGCTCGGCTTTCTTGAATGGTCGATGGTCGAGAATATTGTTCACTGCGCATTTGTGAAACATGAAATTACTGCATTACGACAAGCGAATGTAGTTGCGCAGTGGGTCGTCCTGGCCCAACGATTTGGCATAAAAACTGCTACTCCTTAAGAGCTGGAGGAACGCACTCCTAATTTGCTGGTGAGGTCACTCGCTTCTGATCACGACTTTCTGGTTAGAATATTTTAGAGTTTTATATTTTTCAGCCCCTGAAGGAGCAAAATGGAAAGGAGCTTCAGTCATGTTGAGGAAATGAGCGTTTAATAAATGAATTGATCTGTCAGATTTCCTGGGTTTTTGGTCTTTATAAGAAAAGACCAGTCCGTTTCCACTGTGTCTCATAGACTTGCCAATAATGGGCGATGGGTGATGATGATTTATCACGCCCGGAGGGTCTAACCCTCTACGGTAGAGCACATACTAGTGGCCTGAATATACAACTCATGTGTAACTGACCTCTCCTCCTACAAGTCCCTGCTTCTCCTGCTTCAACGAATTTATCTTGGTATATGGAGCTAAAGCCTCCTTGATCTGTGGTTCCCAACCTCTGATGTGTTGAAAAAAGTTGATAGACCGGTTTAAAGGCTGTGTTTAGTGTGCAGCGTCCTATCCTTGGCAGCTGCAGCGGGGTCATTAAATAGCAACCTCAAGATCAACTTTCGACCTAGAAATGATAATTGTTACCGATCGTCATGTCTCGTATTCCAAGTGAAAGCTTAATCGACATCGAAGATGCTCTAGTGTCACCTTTAAATCCTGCACGAGATGACGGAACGCTCGATTACGAGCGATGCGCCAGGCTACACAACTACCTGGTCACCTATGGCTGGATGGCCCGTCACGGCAAAGGACCTCACGAACTTGATGAATTATTGCATCGGCCAAAGTACCTTGATAATACCCGGTCGAATTATCCTATTAATCGTCTGCATCCAGCCATCATAGCATTTCTTAATGCTGTTATTTCTCCCGAGTATGATGAAGGAATGTGCTACTTCGTTGGTGATCTGGCAGTGGAGTCTGCTGATGAATTTTTCATACATGAGGAGAATCATTTTGAGAATATTGACCGTTTTGTTAAAATTTATGGTACGTATTATGAGCTGGGGTCTCAATGTTTGGGCTTGGTTTATGATCAAGAACTCCACCGCGCAGCAGTTCCATTGTTCATCGGGAGTCTGGACTGTATAGAGCCCATTGCTGACTATGAGGACCTCTGGATGCCTCTTGAAACTATTCTCACTAATTGGATACACATGGTTCACATCGGAAAGGTCATTGCTAGTACAACTTTTGATGAGGACTCAGTGGAGAAGCTGCAAAATGGGATGTGGAGGTGGCAATCCTATAGTCCTGCCCAGGTTGATACTGCTGTTGCAGCCATGAATCGACTTTTAGCCGCGATCGAGACTAAAATGCCTCCAGAGTCGCTTTCTTCGGCCCATGGAGACAAACCTCTTTTTACTGATGAAGATTTAGATGTGGCATCTATTCCACAACACTGCTTCATTCGCTCATTCTTGACCCGAGTTCGGACACCTTGTTTTAAATATATTGCACCAGGCCTCGAGGTGCCGCATAATGCAGCGGCTTTTTCCGATCGTCAAAAGTTTACTGGTCTGCCCTATTCTCCGGATGATTCGGGTGAGGATCAGTATATTCCCGCTGTGTTGATCTTTGCATCTGCCGATAGCGATCGCACGTTATCTTTCAATAATGAAGTTAAATCGCTGTTCTTCAGATATAATGATCCCGTGCCATACAGCGAGGGATATCCTATTCCTGTGGGTTTATACAGCGAGCCGGTAGACCGTACGTGCGGTAATATTGCTGAAGAGGGCTTTCGCCTTGTACTGCCGTTTCATCAACAGCCGGGTAGAGGGAGCAACGACGGTGCTAGGCATAGTGATGGAAGTTTGATTGGGCGACAGACATTTACACGACTCTTCCAGCATGGCATCTACTACCCATTTGGAGGAGAGCACCGAGCTCAACGGCTGGAAAGGTTGCTAGATCGGTGGCGGGAGCTGGTGGAAAATGGCCAGTGGACAGTGGGGAGGCATGGAGTAGAGGGCGTTATTGACAAGTTTCGGGATGCCGATGGGGGTGCCTGGAGAGACTACTGGATTCCACCTGACTGGTGATTTAGTCTAAGAGTCTCTGGACAGGTCTCTTCCCCTAGATGCTTCGTCTCATTTACTTCTAGTACTGCAAATTCAAATCAATATTTCTAAAGTCTCTTCATCCAGCCTTTGCTGATAGACAGTTATGAGCAGTCATCTCTGAGAAGTACAGGCGCCGCTATAACAATTTGTCCCCGAACAGTATGAAGTACGTGACTAGCCAGGGTCTAGTCGCGACTTCTTCTTTTTTGGTATTTTGAAGCCACAACAGCATTAGTGTATCAGGCGGTGAAGGAGTGTACTAGAAAGCGAAGCTAGAGTTCAGCTTGTCTTTTTTTTTTACGCACGGTTCCGAGGATGCATTCGGAAGAATGAGGCTGGCTGAAGAACCAAGCCTACCTAGGTAGGGAAACATGATGCTTGTCTATTTCTCTACATAAACAACTGCCTGTTGATGCCTCAATGGAGGATATGATGCTTGTCTATTTCTCTACATAAACAACTGCCTGTTGATGCCTCAATGGAGGATATGAGGATGTCCTATATACGTAGTCTCCAGTTGGTGACATATTCCTGATGCGTATACCACCCTGCGAGCTAGTCTTTGCTCTACGTAGCAAATATACAAATTATTACAAACATATATGGCTATGTACGTGACCATTGACTGCTCACTTTTGCTGTCAGTGCGTCCGCTTTTCACACCACGAGCCAAAAAAAAAACACTCTACAGGGTAAAGCGGAAGCGGGGATCATCGTCACCTATGTTGTTGAGGATACTTTCCTCGAGCTGTAGACGATCATCACGTTTCCCATCCGCACGACTTTGGTTCTCCACAGTCAGGCCAATAGCAAACAGCGTCGACATAATACCACTGAACAGCAACATAGCAAGCGCAACGCTGTAGCCCACGAAATATCGTGGTGCTTGGGTGGACACGAAAATGTTGCTAGCAATGATACCGCCAATGTTCCCAACTCCAACCTGGATTGCTAAACCTATGGCCCGCTTGTAATGACCCGAGAGGTTATTCGCCATCCAAACAATGGCAACCGGCTGGACGATGTAGCAGCCGGTCGTTACAAAGAAGACCGCCATGTAACGAACATGCGGGTTCAGTCCGCCGTGTAGAGGACCCTGGCAGAGGAGGATTATATAGCCAATGCTAGCGAAGATCACGCCGAACATGATAAAGCCGTAGCGATGTTTCAAGCGGTCAGTTACAATTGAGACCCCAAGAGTCACGGCTGAAGCGACAATCCAGACAGGGATGCTATGAATTTGAGCTTCAATGCCGGAGTAGCCCAGAGATACCATGATGCTGGGAATGAACAGAGCTGTGGCATATCCGGACACTGTAATACCAATATAAATCATGCTCCCAACCAAGAGCTTCCAGTCAGTTAGAATCCTTTTCCAGGCGGCTCTACTCAGGCGGTTCATCTGAGCACCGCCACCAACATCTGCAGACTGGATCTGTTGCAGAATCTTCTTTTCCTCACTCGTTAAGAATTTGGCGTCCTCTGGCCAATCGGCAATCAGGAATTTGGCCGGAAGTGATACTGCGATAGAGAGTAGACCCTCGATTATGAAGATCCACCTCCATCCAGAATACCCGCTCAATCCGCTCATATGGTAAAGAGCATACGCAAGGAGACCGCCAAAGGCGCCAGCAACAAGACCCGCAACCCAAAATAGCGAAAATCGCCTTTGTAAATCATGACGCCTGTAATACATCGACATAAGGTAGGCACATCCAGGCACAAATCCTGCCTCGAAGATACCAAGAAAGAATCGGCATGCAATCAAACCCCCCTTGTTCTTGACAAAGCCTTGACACATACACGCGATACCTGGAGACATTTATTAGCTGTGCTTACAAAGCAATATTGAAACAAAATTTACACCAGGAAGAAAAATGAACAAAAAAAGAGAGAGAAGTAATAAACTCAACTTACCCCATAGGAAGGCTAAGCTACTGATCCATGTTGAGGGGCGGACTTTCTTGAGTACGATGTTGCTGGGAATATCTAGTAGAATGTAGGGGACAAAGAAAACCTGAAGAGCGATATTGAGCCCATTTCCTCCAAGCTTCAGTTCCGGGATGATGCCCAAGACAGCAACATTGCCCAAGTTGATACGGTCCAAGAAACCCAGAGCGAAAATTATCCAGAGGGGCACCATAAGATGTATATCAATCTTGCGCATGATCTTCTTAACCAATACTGGATCCACGTCTAAAGGTTGGTCGTGGTGTGATTTGATTTCTTGATCAGGCATCTTGTCCTTCGATTGTGTGGAGGCTGGTGCGGACATCTTGATCCCAGAACAATTTGTACAGGAAGCAAGTTGTGGGCTAAAAGAACTTTCCAATTCACGCTCTCTGTCAAATAGTAACCACGAAACCACAGTCAGAACAAGAAATAAGAAAAACAATGCACCGGACTCAGGTAACAGAGGAAAATTCGACGAAAAGAGATCAAGGAGACAACCACTCTCCAACCTCTTTTTTTCCGTTAATTAGTAGATCGCTCTTGTTATAATACAGTAATATAATATATGTAAAGTCACCAGGATCAGTAGTACGATGCACTAGCTCCCCGTCTTGCGGCAGGATTGTTCCGAATGTGGTAGTGTTGTTTTGTTATTAATTTATTCCTACTTCCCAACCGACGAGAGAGACCAAATCAGCACATGCTAGAACGCAGAGCGGTCGATAATGTGCCGTTACAATGGCGTATTTCCTTTTATATGGAGCGGATTTCCCAGGGAGCAATCACATCGACAGATAGTACCTTTGCTTCAAATGAACTATCTAGTTCCAGGCATATCGGGGTAGTACCCACACCCCGCAACAGGTTGTATTAATACTCTCTTGATATCGAATATACTATGGAGTATTCACCTTAGTTTCTCATAGTACCACAGGTCGGAATTCCAAATTAGTATTAGCGCAAAAAAGAAAGAAAGAAAACGCAAATATACATAGTATGCCTGTTGGGGAAGTGGTGGTTCTAGCCCGTTACCATCAATCTAATCAATATGAGTAGATAGCCAATGATGTTCCCATTTACTTTGTATGCAGATAGAGTGACATTATTATTGCAGGGACAGTCTTTTTTAGGCCCATCAAACGCCTGCAATGCACAACAATCTGTGCCGCACTAAGGTCTTTAGGGCTTGGTCTATGATAACTAGACGTGATACCATAGGAATCATGCGACCTCCGGTCACTGCCAACAATCGATTCAAGGGATGACATGCTCCGTGAGTGTATAAAAGTCTTAATGGCTAAAATTCGGAAACGTACCATCGCGGATAATTGGCCATTATCCCAGTAACTCAACTAAATCAACAGAAGTGTTATTCCAAAACAAGCAGTGAGATGTAATAAAAATGGTTCCACTATGCAACATCCCTGTCAGCAATCACACACTATGTACCACCGCGGAATCATGGAACTGCGAACCCTGAAGGCGAACAGACCGGGCATACCGGAAAGTCCATCGGCCAAGGACCCTTGAATATGGACTACTATGTATGACCTGAACCCACCCACCCTTTCACAACTCGATCAGAAGACGTACCGATATTGGATAGGCTATTTGCTAATCATAAATCAGGCGATTTGACTCTTAAAGAAAACGGTTCTACCATCATGGCCCCACCAGATGCCTCATCTTGAACATATAGCGAGCGTTGTTAGGTGAGAGGAGACCGCGAACAAGCTTGATCATCGGCCGCGGCACAAATCCGTCTCGTGCGGACACCGACGTGGAATGGCACGCAAAGTCGAATTGCTTCGCAATGCAGTGAGGTAAACCATATTCTACGCCACACTTCAACATGATGCACGCCTATTTGCCGCACTGACATCGTGGCCATACATCACGGATGTGTGGCTGTGTGCTTGTTATCTCTTAAGTGAATCCTACCTCTCCGTACGTACAATGGGTATAAGTGCTTCGAAATGGCTTGATCTCCATGCCTGTCGTACCCGATCGGGGCGGACGCAGCCGATCGCATTTGCTCATAACGTTTTTCGCATTATATACTTGATTTCTTATAAGTCACTTGCACATTTTAAGTACCAAAACATTGGCTTGCCCAAAATAGTATTTCAGGAGTACTACAACTTATTAGGGCACTATCAAGTATACATGACTTCATAGTTCCATTAATGCCACGGAAGAAAGTATATGATATTCTACCCTTGTTTTTTACCTCTATTTCTTACCTGCTATAATTTTGACCATTCCTGATCAATTTTTGGGCTTGAGTTACTAAATACATTATTTAATATAGGATTAACGCGTCCACGGAGGAAGTAAATTAGAAGAAAGAAATAACAGTCTGATTAAGCCCTCTACCTATTACAAATCTACTTCTTTTATGAATATTTAGACAATAATGACTCTCAAAACCTTGAGTAATCTTAATATATATACTATTAGTTAGATTATTACTCTATCTATTAAATAGGCGGCTATAACTATAATACTTAATAAGCTTCATAATAAGCCATATAACTTTCTCCAGCATGAAGCCAACACAAATTCGTATATCTAGGATAGAATAGGTAAATATAATATTATAATTGCTTTACTTCTAGCAGGATCATCTAGGATTGCTTCCACTATAGCTACAGTGTTGAATCTTCTTTTTTTGCTTCCCTAGGTCAGAGTCAGTCTGCTAGTGGGAATCAGTAGTGGTATTGTGTGTCCGGGCTAAGATTAACCAAACTGAAGGATTACTATATTTACTATATAATTAATCAAGTAGTTAGAAAATGCTGAATAACTCAGCTTTTAGTATCTAAGCTTAGACTTCAAAACAATGGTCTGATTCAACAGTTAGCTATAGTGATTGATATACCGCTTAATAATCTTGCGACTATCTAATACAAAAATTAATAATTAAAGAGAACATTATAATTAGATCAAGAAAAGAGTACATAGCGATTATTGCACCCACTTTTTCAGTGATATAGATTCTAATCTTTAGCTAATACCATTTAGACAATGCCAAGTCTGCTAAAAATATACCCAAGTTCCTCATCTTCAATATAGACATGATTGACCTTGAGTGTCCCTAAATAATCCATAAAGGTTTTAGTCGCTAAACCAGTAAACAAAATGCAGACCTCTTAGGACCCTCTTTATACATCCAGCAACTTGTCTACTACTGGAGACTCTGTAAAAGCAAAGTAGATTAGATAGATTGTTACATCGATTATCATTGAAGCAGAGAATGTTTTTGCCAGGAGGATAAAGACGGCACTTATAGTACAGACACCGGGCGTTTCCTTTACAGCTAGAAGCCCTTATGATAACCAACTCACTCAGCTCATAGCATCTTTAGCAGGTTAGAGATTCATCTCGAGGTGTACTCAGTTATATAATCCATGCACCTACTCAATCAAAGGCAAGTATACGCTTTTTTAGGTCAGGTACCTATATCTATATAAGCATAATAGGCCAGACTTATATTCATCTTATAAAGTTGAGATCTGATCTATCAAGGATATTTAAAAAGATTTTGAAACCTTCACTTAGTAGTAAAATCTTAAAAAAAATGTTAGAAGTAGCGGTCGTTGAGGTGTCAAAGAGCATGTTATAGAAACTTGATTTAGATCTATTGCACTTGAACTTATACCCTAGAAATTATCCAAACCAATAATAGTATAGCTGTTATTTCAGTCCAATCTATCCTACGCTATACTAGTATATACCAGCCCAACAAGTAAGGGATATAAGCTGTCAACTGCTAGTACGTGACAAATATTACCTATTAATAAGTCATAGTGCGGGAGCAAACAATTGCAAAGCACCACGTTATCAAAGACTTATAGGATGCATCAGTGCAATAATCTCTTCACACCGCTTGTTCCTAGATTACACAAATATTCAGGTCTGCAGTCTTGCTAACTCATATGGTAAGAAACAGCAGAGGATATTAGTATGAGAATGAAATAGCTAGAGTGTATAGTTTGTCAGATAGCTGACTAGTGGTGAATGTGCCTGGTATACTAATGCGAGACTTGTTCATTATTATAGTTGGTACATTGATAGAAGCTCTGATGAAGGCGTTCAGTAAAGATGTTGCTAAACCAGTGTAAAGTAATGCTTTCATTTTTTTTCCTGGTTCTGTTTATCTTTATGGGATGTGTATATACGGGCGAAAGACGGTTTCCGGAACCAAAATCCTAACAGTAAATCTCGCTGCATCAATACTTTTCGTTTGAGAAGGCTGAAAAATATCATGCGGAAATGTCAGGGTACTGCACTCTACAAAAAGCAAAAAAAGCACGATCATTTCCCGAAAAGAAAAGAATGCCGTGTTCCACAGAGGCTTAGCAGCCTTGAATCCCTGCAGAGTGCCGTGCAGCCATCGATGGCATCCCTTGGCTGGAAAATAAGCAGATTATAGTAGAGTGAATGCACTGCAAAACTCATATATTATCCGCTTGATTACGTAGTTCTCTTTTCACTTGGCTATTTTGACATGGGTCTATCTAGCGTTGTTGGTAACTTGGAGACCGGCGTGTTACTTCTTATCTTTCCTCATGCGTTCAGAAACATTGATAGAAGCGAAGTGTTGTACCAGTAAATGTGGATTTGCAACTGCGTCTGGTCTAAGCTTTGATCAGCGTGGGTCAACAAGGTTCATCGCCAGTAAACCTTCGGACCCCACCTGTGCCGGGACTCGTGAAAGTTGCTAACGGAAAACTGAGGGTTGATCAATGATATAATTAGTAGATGGTATGCAGATTGAGCTGAAAATTATTTTCAGGCCTCCACCCAGGCGTACAAGGAATTTGAAAACCACCCAGTATGTACCAAGTAGGGAATGCGCCTCGTTGCTAGCGAATTTACTAGTCAACGTTATTCTGTCAGTCCAAAGCCGCTGTCTAATTAACGACAGATGCATCATTTTCTATTTATTGTCCATTTTATGCCGTGGTATTCATTGTTTTTCACGAGTCAAAAACGATCGCATTCATCAGGTGTAATGGGGTTAGCAGAGTCTTCGTATTCCCCCAATTCGGTGGGCTGGATATCCAACGTCTTCACTGCCGTTTTTCTTCCTCTTGTGCTCATTTTTGTCGCATTGCGATTCTACTGTCGGAAGAAGAGCAATACAAGCTGGGGATGGGATGATGTTTTAGTTGGAATCGCGACAATAGGTCAAATAGGCCTTGCTGCACTCAGCTTTGGTGAGTCCCTATAATATACAATTAAAATACGACTAACCATATCTTGAGATCAGATATGACAGTCAATGGAGGCAACGGCCACCACGAAGCGTATCTAAATAGCCAGCCACAGACACTTAGGCACGGAGGCGTCGATTCCTTCGCAATAATAGTGGTCTATTACGCCTTTGTCAATATACCCAAGCTGGCCGTGTTGACGTTGTACCATCGCCTCTTCTCCATGCATCCCTATGTCATCCTAGCCACCCGTCTCCTCATCGGTGTGCTCATTATCCAAACCCTGATATCGGTCTTGCTCCTGCTGCTGACGCTGAGAATTAATTCCATTAATCCCAACTACCTGCAGATTTATACGTCGGTGCCGAATATTGTCACTGACGTTCTGATGCTGCTTCTTCCGATGCCGGTTGTGTTGAGGCTGCACGTACCGCGTAGTGTGAAATTCGGTATTGCATTGACCTTTTTGGTTGGTAGTCTGTACGCCCTCCCTGTTTTCCCCTTCTGTGCGATAGACTAAGAAAGGTGAATAACAAGAAAGAACTATGTCGCAGTGGCTTAGTATTCTCTACCGCCCGCTTTTACATCTTCTACTACGCCTACGTCACCCCCAATGATGTTAGTTATACGGCTGCCATCCAGGAAACAATCTGGACAGAGGTTGAACCGGGCTGCTACCTTATCTGCGCATGTATGCTGCTGATGCGCCCGCTTTTTGATCGCTTGACCGACTCATTTCTCATTTGTATTCTCCGATTAAGAAGGTCTAGCAATTCATACTCGGGTAACAGCAACGACAGTTCAGATATTTTGGCTGGAGTAAATGCATTGCCGTAACAGGTGGTTTGGTGCTACATCTATGCAGCCATAGGACTCTGCTGGCGAGAGGGAGGCAAGATGATGACAATGAGATGCAGTTCCCGAATGAGAATAGTGAACCCGGAGAGGTGGTATTGGATATTCCGAAGGCGATCGGCGAGGAGTTGATTCGCAGGGAGCTTCCGGTTTGGGACATATCGGGGAGGATAAAATATGTTCCATCTAAGTAGCGGGAGCCAATGGTACACGAGTATACACAGGGGAAGTCAGCACGCCCATACCGGATTATACATCGATAGAGTGACTTGGACGCCTTGAACATACGTCATAAATACGTGGATACTGCTTTATTTATGAAACAGAAAGAAAGCATGATTGTATACGATGCTGTGCGAACTTTTGGCATGAAATCGACGTGGAAAACGCGCTATGAGCCATAAAATGACCCAATGTATTGTAAAGATGACCTTTACTAAATCTGGTTTGCACTTGCTCCTTCGCTTCTTCTCCATCCTCAGCGGGTAATCGAGATAACTGAGGTAACACGTGTGGTTCTGTCAGTCATTCTACCTACGTTAGGAGGAGTCGATTAGAAATACCAGCGGTCTGCTTAGAATGCAAGGGATATGTACCTATTAACAATCATACCGCTGAAGATCCTTCATCAATCACTAAAGCACCGTCCATTACAAGCTCGAGTGATTTCCACCGCTTCAACCCATTTGAGCCATCTACAATCAAACCGGCCGTATTTGACATGTCAATGTTATACCTCAGCGAGCCCATGAGGGCCTTCGAACTTGAGCGTAGACGCGGTCTTGCTGAAGTATCAGCTACTGGATATCCTAATGGATTTCATAGTTTCAACCCGTTCGAGCCGTTTACAATCGAGCACCCCGTATCCGACTTTCGATTTGGGGCTTGAGCGCGATCACAAAAGCGAGCTTATACCGCGGACGTGACTAGGTTGATCCTCGACAACTTCTTACAGTTCCTGACTGCTGGCTGCTACAATGAAAGAGTGACGCGCTGAAGCATTCTTCTTGATTCCGAGTTATAATAGCATTATCCGATATTTGTGGACTGATCAGGAGCGTGAACTTTGCGAAACAAATTGACTTTATCATCAATGGTATAACTTTATACGTTTAGGTGATTCAGGAAAAAGTGAGACTACACTAAAATATATGATGGAAGGAGGTTTAGACAAGTAGTATATCTTCTCGCGACCTTCCATAGCAGTATGTAATTATCCCTCTTGGAAGCTTTGTATGATTGGCTGTCCATTATGTTATCTAAACGTAGTTGTGGGCTCAAAGCTCTACCTTGACGGAGAACTCGAAGCTGAGTATCAACGTTCAAGGTGGTATTAGGGTTATGTGTTTTCATGGACCTTTCGAACACTAACTCCGTCGCTTCACACTGAGTATGGTATGAAGGGGTATCATCGAATCGGCCATCCACACATTTGGCGGACGTTTATCCAAAGATTCAATATCATATCTCATAACAATAGTTGCAATGATCAATTTAATTTCGTGGCTTGCGAAGTAGCAACCAGGGCAACCATACTAGATAAACTGTTAGCGAATTGAATAATCAAATCAATGCAGAAACCAAATACGTTGGCAGAAGCACGCTCATATTGTTCACCGTTTCAGGACTTGGCTTAAATTGCAACCTCGGGGTGTGGATTCTTAATCTGGTGAGCAGCCCAACTATGTCTATGTTTCTGTTTCTTGCCTTATCACCCTTTTCTATTTTCATTTCCCAGGCAAACCCGGTCTTTGCTTGGTTGTCAATTATTCATAGTATTAGTTCTTATGTTAAAACTTCCGTATCAACGAATTGGGCCCAACTATATAGCATGGATTTGTCCCCAAGTGCGGCTTCCCATTGGGCCAAGCTTGATTCCTGAAGTACACTTTTGCTCAGTATTACTTCAAAACCTGGCCCATAGATCCAGCCTTGGTTTTCTAGTTCAAGCTTCTTCGATAAGCCCATTACTGGCCTTCAGATTCTGACATTGAGGCGTCGTAACATGATCAGTGAAACCATAATCAGGCATCTTTGCTTACTAGCAGATCCAATAACATAGTGCAGGAATGTCACACAAGCTCTGCTCCCACGGCAAGAGCCACGTCAACCGACGAGAAGTAGTAATAGTCATCCCTTTACCACTCATTATTGCACCCCACTAAAGCTGAGTATAACCATCTGCCAACAATTTGCAATTTTCTCTCTTGTCCTTTCGATTTTACCATTCGTGATTGACTGCCCCCATCCATAATGCCGTCATATCTCTCAAGCTGCGTGAATTGCGGCTCAGAAGCGAAACAGAATTGTGCTGGGTGCTTAGATGTGCCAGAATATCATCCCGGTGATTCCGTCAGTGTTTTTTACTGTGGCCGTGACTGCCAAAAGAAACACTGGCCAAGTCATAAACCCCATTGCACTGCTATGCGACAGCGGAGAAAACTCTTTCGAGCAGCATTGGTCCTCAAAACAGCCTTATTAACCTACAGAGAGGTTTGCTATGATGTTCCACTCACGAAAATTGAGTTACGAAACGGAACTCTCCACCTCCATCAACGGCCGCAAGGCATCGCTACGCCATGCATACGCAGCCCCTTTCCAGACCATCTCACCACCAACACCAAGCATAGGGAGGCGGCTCTCACCGTGAACCAATGCACTACAGCCATGGCGCTCTTAGGTCGTTTAACCCGAAAGCTTCTCACGGGTATGTCGCGCGAGAACCCACAAAGCATCTCTTTCGGAACGCATTTGAGGCCTTTGTAGGTGTGACCTCGACAATTGAAATATTAGACCTTCAGCTTGGGAGGCAACCGATATAGACCAAATTTCTTCCAGGCCCAGGCGCTACCACATGTCCTCATACAGTGCTCAAGGTCGGACGGCTGTTTTCCAGTGAGACGTGGATAATCGACACTACCGGCTGTCAGTATGGGTTTGAAGAGGTTCTGGTCCCGTGTTAAATACATCGAAGACAGAAAATGCCGAAGCTTAAGAGAACCTGAAACCTACGATGCCATGGAAACAAAGGACTTGGATTATTTCGCGACGCTTCCATTCATGAATAGATTCCGGACCCAGAGGAAAAAACTCAAGCGGGAGCGGCAGTCTCGGTTGCGATTTACTGAGTTCGTTGACACTCATGTTAGCAAGGGTATACTCGAAGGGCTGAATGCTGATTTCAACGATAATTTGCAGACGATGATATCACAGCTGACACTCCATATGCTTAAGCCTGCAGAGAGACCTCGGCTTAATTCCTGAATAGATTAAGGCTTTATTGTAAATATAAAGAAGTTCAGGGACTTGAAGGAGAGATCAATACGGAAGAAGAATTGAACCAGAGAACTTATAGTCCGGAGACATACTTATGATGTCCGTTCTAAGATCTGGCTGACATGACCAGCAGAGGATACGAAATTACCATCATTCATTGCCGCAATAAGAATCATACCAATGTGTAATTAAGCAGTCTCGTTCCCTAAACACCTAAATCCTCTTCCCGCTATCGAACCGATTGCAATCCGCCCGAAAAATAGTGACCGAAAGTTTCATCGTGCGACATCTCGACTCGGAAAAAGATGAGCTAGCATGTTTAATCAAAGATTTCATGCAGTGAACGCTCGCTCATTACCACTCCAGCTCAGTATTTTGAGGGCATGATTCGCTCCTTTTGACCCAATCATAAATTCCACCACGAGAATAGAAATTGTTCTCATCCCAATGAACATTGCGAAGCGCTGCAATTACCCCAATATCCAAGATTGACTGTGTTGGCGCACCGGTGCCTTTATTGAGAAATCTCATGTACTCACCAAAAATGAGATGCGAGCTTTTCATCACACCATTTGCTTCCGCAACAAAGCATTCATTCTGGGAGTGAACCTCGCAGAAGTGCTTGAACCGCTCATTAGAGATTGTATAGTCTCGAGCATCCCGGATAGTTCTGTCCGAGTTATTTTCATCCTCGATGACTAACACCTGAAAACATTTCCAACGAAATGGCTGTATCATTCCGATTCATATCTTCCTGGCAATTAAAACGGTTAACCACCGTGTTGACCTTGAACTTGATCCCGTAAAGACGGCAAAGCTTTGCCACCTTTAACACCGTGGATAGGTGTAATCCATTTCCTCTGCCTATCTTGATGTTTGTCTGTTCGTCGAAGGAGTCACAAGATACAGCAATGATATCAATGTTCTTCTCATAGGATGCGAGGAATGCGTCCGTTACTCGACTTCCATTCGTGACTATTGACATAGACTCGATTTGCAACTGATCTTTACAGTATTCGGCAAGTGAGCCTAGATACTTTGGATAGAGGAAAGGCTCGCCGCCTGCAAAATTGATCTTTCGCATTCCCGCAACACTGAGAGGCTTCAGGCCCCTCTTGGTTTCATCCACGGGGAGCATATGAGACGTCTTAGCCGTATGAAAGCAGAAACCGCATGAATAGTTGCATTGCCGTGTGAATTAGAAGTTGACTGAAATGGGGATCTTGGGCTGCGACTTTCGAAACACAATCAACACAAAGACGCCAAAGGCAATAACTCCAGCGACAATTCGAACAATCATAGTGAAGGTATATATATCATCAGAAGTATGTCTGATTCGGAATCTCGAAGTGCACAGAAAGAGATAATGAGGGGTTTCAGGCAGCAGGTGGCGTATGACATGTCTTTCATATCAAATATTGTCCTCCTCATCCATCACGTTGCACAAGGCTCGGTCCAAAATGCACGTGTAATCGGAATTGCAGCCCACATGCCCGCTACCATGGCGTTATGAAACGCAGCTGGCATCAATCTATCCTGCAAGGTGAGGATATACGACACCGGTATGTCCACCCAAGCAACCGCCACGATCTCCCGATATCTCCCTTGTCTAGACCACCAACCATGTCGTTAAGCTATCGATGTGGATACACTAAGCAACCGTTTTACTAGTACATCGATGAGTTTCTGCAGTATGGTTAGAGTTTTGGGGAATTTGAGTGGCTGTCTTCAAACAAGCTACGTTTTGTGCTCAAGTTCTATGCGGCACAGTCACCCCGCTGTATACCTTCAGCCTTGTACGACAATGCAAGATCTGCGGGGTAAGGGTAATCCAGCCTGACCGAAGGCACACAGTCTTCTTCCCGGTCTCGATTCTTGCAAATTTTCTTCCACAGCCTCTCATTCAGGATGTTGAGTACAAAAAATATTCGATGTGAATGTGGCAATTCATTTGCGACGGTCAGATCGAAAGAGCAACACATGGCTGCTTCACGTCGTCATGCTCAAACAGGACCGCCCGAGGAAGACCAACCTCGTGATTCGCACGCAAATACCACTCCAAAAGTGAGTAAGAATAATAGGGAAATGTCTGTCCTGCAGGCTGTAAGTTTGACAAGTGCCAAACGAACAAGACGAAGACTTATATGCTATGAAATACACAGCCAATCCGAATGCCAGTCATCCAGGATGAGACGCTGCAACCAAAGAGCTTGGGACTGAGAAACAGGCCGATAGCTTTTGTCCAAGCCGGAGTGAATTTGACAGCCAAGGGAAAACGAAGGGAAAGAGTTCCAAAGCACAAAAGAGATACTTCATTTCACCAGGCACAGCATATAAACACTAATTTATTTCATACAAGTAATGACTATTTCGTGGATATAGGAGATAATCATGGACTTTGTGACAAAGATTGCGGTTGGTGTGGTCATTGTGCGGATGATGTTGATTTTTGAAATTGCTTCAACGATCCGCCGCAGGCTGGAATATATGGCTAGTTTGAATGCATCAGGATCATGGCTCATGATAATGGAACTTATAGGATCTGTCAGGAATAGTAAAATTCAAGGTCCTGTTACATCAGAGCAACATTAATGGAAGTGTTTGGAAGTATTGAACTGGTGCGTTGCGATCATAGCCTCCTCATTGCGCCAAAACGTACTGTCATGACCTAAAAGTGACTCTCCTTCACTTCCAGTCGATCCGTATTAGACCATCTCCGTTATTTCAGAAAAGTGTGCTGCAAAACTTGACCACGAAAGCTTTTGATTGTCTTTGAGCTTGACTATCAGTACACGTTCTTCCGCAGTATAGTCTTTGCCCTTCGAAGGCGAAGAATCACCTACCTTTGGGGAAATCCGGTTGTGTACTGCTGGACCATCTACAACTGGAGATAACCTTTAGAGAAGATACGCGAAATCTTAACTAATTATCATCAGTAATGTCCAGATTGTTCTTTAACTAAATACCTCAGCACCATTCGCACCATTGCGCGTAATGAAAGACAAAATCTCCTCAACATCCGACAGATTCATAACTAAACAGGACAGTTATATCATGGCCGGCATCATCTGCAGCTTTCTCGGCGCCAGCTGTATCTTTTTCATACTCTAGATCTGTGTTTTCGAATCTATCTGAGCTCGAAACTTCAAGTTCATTGTATTATTCAGCTGTACTGTATCTGTAAGAGATGTTCAAAGTTCGACCACGAGGAGATAAATGCGTAACAAAACAAAGTTACGACTTGATAAATTCCAAAAGATCTTTGTTGACATCATCAATATTAATGTTGTGAATCCCGTGAGAGCCGCCCTTGTAGATCTTCAGTTTTCCCTGTGGCAAAAGCTTTGCCGATTTAAGTCCAGCTGCCTCAATCGGTACAACCTGATCATCATCGCCGTGGAGAACGAGTACTGGGATATTGATCTTCTTGAGGTCTTCTGTGAAATCGGTTTCCGAGAAGTCTTTAATTGAGTCATAAGCAGACTTGAAACTGGTGTTCATTCCTTGCTGCCACCAGCTGCGAATCTGCCCCTCACTTTTCTTCGCTCCAGGTCGGTTGAATCCGAAGAATGGTCCGCTGGCAACATCCAGGAAAAATTGCGCGCGGTCCTGGAGCATAGCCTGGCGGAAAGAATCAAAAACCGATTTATCTGTTCCTTCGGCATTGTTACTGGTTTTCAGCATGAGAGGAGGTACACCGCCGACAAGAACAGCTTTCTTGAAGCGACCTGTGCCGTGCTTTCCAAGGTAATGGGTGACTTCTCCACCGCCGTGTGAGTGTCCGATCATCACCGCGTCCTTTACCTTGAGAGAGGCGAATAGCTCTTCGAGGTCGTCGACAAAGTTGTCCATGTTGTTTCCATCCCAGGTCTGGGTTGATCGCCCATGGCCACGGCGATCATGTGCGATGACGCGATAGCCCCGATCAGCCAAAAACACCATTTGGTTTTCCCAATTGTCGCTGCTCAAGGGCCAGCCATGTGAGAAAGTGACGATGGGGCGATTCGGGTCGCCCCAGTCCTTGTAAAAAAGCTCAGCTCCATCTCGAAGCTTGAGAAATGGCATTTTTTCTATATTTGATACCTAATGAAAATTGGAATTTCGACAATTGAAATTGCATAATTCCGTATATGGCATTTGGTAGACTTACAGGCTATATATATTAGGCACAGTCTCCATTTTTGTGCTCGCAATTTTCTACTGGTAGGTGAGCAGATCACGACAGTAATAGTTGACATCATCAAAATCTAGCCACACGTATCTCGGGTGGTTAATTCAGCCAATGCCACCAGGCATACAGCGAGTGCGGGGTAGACCATTAGATCCTTAGATGAAAGCGTCTTTATCGCAGATAAAAACTCACGAATGGCGTTGGCCGACAAGCATGCATAAGTATTGACAGTCTTGTGACTCTGTCAAGGGTTTGCGGGTTTGTAGAAAGTTCTATAGTCACGGGCTCTGTCGATTGTCTGTGGGTTGTATAAGGGAGTACTTCTAGCATAGTTGCCTAACATAATCATGAAGAAGTGATTTTAGGAGGCCCAAATCAACCAAAATGCCGGTCCTTCTGGACAAGAAGATCTCGCCCCTCACGAGCCCTGCTGATCGACTGGGTGGCGTGTATGCTGCAAAGAGAATTGGACACTCTAGTACTGCAAGTAATCGGGCTCTAGATTACGCCACATGGCCGAAATGTGACTCGCAGAACTGAATCTCTGATAACTTGCGAATGACAGGGATGTCGTAACTCCTAGGTATTCGACCACGTTTCTTGGACGTGGACGAAGTCGTGTTTGCGATTGCTTGACGTTACTTTTTGGCTCGTCTTCACTTTCCCAGTATTTTTTTGACGTTCTAATTCGATTAAGTAGCCGGGACTACTGCAATATACTAGTGGACCCCTCGGGGGGTCTAGAGTTGTCCATGGTTCGAATTGTTCTACACCTGGCAGAGCCGAAGCCCGTCGGTTTCGGTGGAACTAATCTCCAAACCTTGACGTATAAACAGCAACCTCCCTAGTTAATCTATCAGAATGAGTGCTACAACTTTTTCTTTGAATAGAGCCAAGCGGTTATTCTCAGTTGGATAGAGAGCCTCTTGAAGCTGATTGTCATTGAAAGTATAGTTGATGATGTGTTCGGCACAGTCACAGTCTATCTTCTGCAGTATATGGTCAATCTAGTCTTTGTTGAGTTTAGCTTGGTTTATATTCCTATCATGCATCATTCGATGGTTTATGTAGTACAATAATAAAAGATTTTTGAAAAATGAAAATGACCTTAAACCTGCTAGAAACAGCTCTTAAAGTGATTGCTGAGCCGAAGAGTATATTTGATACTATTTGGGCGTTTCATTAATCCGAAAACGGCGAAGTATTGCAATTTGAATGGATCAACCCACAAGAGTTTTAATGTAAAGGAATTTCACTCTTCTTCCAATGTAACATCAAACTAGGGTAGATGATATCATCGACTGATTCGGCAATCGTCGGATAAGCAATTGACGTGAAGCTAAGTAACCATACTTCACATCACAGGGTTAGTACCGGTTTGACTACTAGACGTCAATAGAACTTGTCCAAGGTTTGAGGAAAAGCATGAATTGATCCGATTTTTGGGCCTCTTGGCATCAATCAAGGTCGTGATATATGATAAATCTGTTACTAGGATTTCACTTGACAACATTGAAAAGTTCTTGTTATTAAAATAATAGATGTAGCAATTGCATTTTTTGCTTGCCGCACAAGGCTGAAGCTATCCAGAGGGGTGACTGTGCCGCATAGAACTTGAGCACGATAGCCTTGTTTGAAGATAAGGCAGCCACTTATGTCCCCAAAAATTCTGACCACACTGCATACCCTCCTTAATATATTAGTGACATGATTCGTACTGTACCCCTCTTCTGAGTCGACTATGATAAAGCAAAAGGCCGTCTATGTCGAGACTCGATGCGTGAAAGAAGAGCATTCGTGTTCTGTGTATATCTCCTAAACTTCATGTATAAGTGCAGTGACACGATTTCCTTATCCTTTCATTGATCATTGAAGAACCACCCAATCATCAAGTCTCAGCATGTCCTATTCTGAAATTCTGGTGCATCGTCAATCAGCCAGTCTGGATGTCACTCTCACCATCACGAGAGTGTCCACTACCCTAGTCACAGCAATTAATTTAGATCCCCTGGCAACAACGGAAAGTCAAGTACAACCTTCTCCACTTCCAGTATCTACCGCATCCCAAACAAATCATAGCTCCCATGCTCAAATCATTGGAGTTGTAGTGGGTATCATTGTTGCAATCTCAATACTAGTCATATTCTTCTGTTGCTGTAGGCCGTATCTCCGCGGAGAACCAGGAAAGAATGGAATCGATGGTTCAATCGGGCCACAAGGTCTCCGTGGAATAGCTGGTCCCGAGGGTCCACGAGGACCACCTGGACCACCTGGACAACCTGGACAACCTGGACAACCTGGACCACGTGGACCACCTGGACAAGATGGTCGACATGGTAGAGATGGACGGGATGGCAGAGATGGACGGGATGGCCTTCCCGGCGCACAAGGACTACAGGGTGAAATAGGGCCAAGAGGACAGAACGGTGTCGATGGTATACGAGGTTTACCAGGAAACGATGGTCAGCCGGGCGTCGACGGCAGGCAAGGGCTGCCAGGACCAGCGGGACCAAGTGGTCGAGACGGGGTGGATGGCATTCATGGGCGACCAGGACAGGATGGACGTGATGGAAGAGATGGTCTGCCAGGGCGGCCAGGACAGGATGGACGTGATGGAAGAGATGGTCTGCCAGGGCTGCCTGGGCAGAACGGACGTGATGGGCGAGATATCCATAACAATCGTAACGGCGTAGTTAGATTTAACGGGAGGATTCAAGGCAGAGTCTTATGAACTTATTTTATTTAGCATCCAGTTTTTTAAGTCATGCATACATGTACTACAACCTTTTCCTTCAAATTCACAGGATGTTGATCTGTCATTCGCCCCATCTTATAATGACATCTTTGAAGCACGTATCAAGTCAGCGTGAGGATTGTTTACTGGAAAATTCCTCGCAGACACTMCCTGCCACTATCAGTATGTATCTAGGCAAGATAGCAGTCATAAAAAATGCCTTGCAAGTCCCCTAGCGCTGTAGCAGACTGGCTGGCTGTCTAGGAATTGATGCAGCCATTAAAGTCTGACTATAGCCGACCCTACCGCAACTTTAGTTGTGAGGGAGTTGCCTATTTGCTGCGCGTTTAACCTCAGTGATGGTTCACTTACTATGTACTGTGGCGACAGGCAGCGATTCTTTTCCACATCTGTGCTAGTGTCAAATTCCTCCGACGATATGCACACGCCGACCAATTACATGACTTTTGACCAGTTCAACCGACACTATCGACCTTGCAAGTTGTTCCTCTCAATCGACTATTAACAATTTCATCGTTCATAGTACACCCACCAAATAGCAGCTGAGGTCGTGGATACCATGCCAGTCCTGGACAGACCTAATGTGGATCGTTACAAGAAAACTAAATCTGGCTGTCTAACATGCAAGTAAGCTACCGTCCATGACCGAGTGATCATCCTGTCAAATCGGCTGATTACATCAATTTCAAGGAGTACGTTACCACATTCGAGAGATGATATATTTGCGACCCGCTGAATATAATGTTGTCTTGTAGAAAGACGCGTCAAATGCGACGAGAATCGACCGAATTGTCTGCGATGCTCCTCCACAGGTCGCAGATGCGATGGCTACGGTACTCCGAGTCCGCCGCGCAAGCACCATGATTCCCTCATACTAGCCTTCGCACCCTCCACGCTTTCTCACGCTGAGAACAACCGCCAATACCGATGCTTTCAATACTTTTACGAACGGACCGTGCCCGCGTTGGCAGGATACTGTGGATCTGAGTTCTGGAATCGTTTGGTGATGCAGGTGAGCCAGCATGAGAAATCAGTCTGGCATGCCTTGATTGCGCTAGGGTCGCTGCATGAAAATTTTGAAACGGATAATAACCGATTCGGTATCGACTTTTTGCGCCATGAACAAGATCCTTTCGCTATTCGCGAATATCTGGCTGCTATTAGGGCATTGCTGGGACCGTCAAATACAGCCCTTGGCAGCGTGGGAAGTGTTACGGTGGATGTGTGCTTGATCTCCTGCATTCTGTTTACTTGTTTCGAAGTATGTTCGGTTTCACGGCGCCGGGACAGTTACTTACATGTCTAGATCCTCTCCGGTCACTATGGCTCTGCGATCAACCACGTTCAGAGCGGTATCAACATTCTTAAAGAGGTCTATTATGATCCTAGTTCTGGCACTTTTCGACATCCTTATCTTCTTCCTTCTACCGTGTCAAGCTTGGAAATGGAAAGTCTACGCAAAATATTCTTTCGCCTTCAGGAGCAGGCTTTGACATTAGTGAGTAATATTCCGACCTTTTATTATTTACAATCATTAACACAGATAGACTCGTGCCGATTCATACCATCTTACGCAAGAGATATTCGCAGTACCCGAAACTCCTCAATTCTCGCATGACTTCCCAGACATATTTTCCTCTATCGCCGACGCGCGTGATGGATTTGAATTGTTGAACCGGAAGTGTGTGAATCACTATCGAGAAATAATGCGTACTGTATCAGCTACAGAGGCCTCGGATATGTCACAATATCTGCTTCGACAATACGAAGCCTGCTTTGATAGATGGTGCACCGCTTTCGCTCGCTTTGAGGAATCCCGGGGTGATTCATTAACCACCAAAGAACGAATAGGGCTCAAACTGCTCGACATGCGCAAGCAAAACACGATGATGTATTTGGAGTATGTAAATGCTTGCGAGGTGGGAAGATACTCGAATGTTATCCCATCTTTTTCGTGGGACAAGTTCAATGCGCAGTTTGCAAAGATTGTATCACTAGCAGCTTCGATAGTAAATAATCGAGACTCCGGATCGCCATTTGCAACGCCAGTGAGACCATCCTTTTCCCTCGACAATGGCATCATAGCACCACTTTATGATGTTGCTACTTTGTGTCGAGATCCAGCCATTCGCCGAAGGGCTGTTCAGATTCTACGTTCAACCCCGCGCCAAGAAGGGGTGTTTAACAGTCATCTCAGTGCTATCGTTGCCGAGAAGATTATTGAGATCGAAGAAGCCGCTGCGTTGAAAGCGCTTTCAGACTACAGCAACTTTCCATTGAAGTCTGTACTCTCCGGACGGCAGTTGGAAAAGGGCGTTAATGACATCATCACGAATAGCACTCAAATACCAGATGCAGTGCGCTTGACTTATGCGCATCCAAAGTTCAATGTGGCCGAGAAAAAGGTGTTCTTAACGGTCGGCCAGACGGCAAAAATGCATATGGATATTCCGTGGTCAGGTATGAACTTTTTGCTGGACGCTGAGACTTGACTGTCATCAAGTATCGTCAATTCTACCACATGTTGATACCGTCAAACTGCGGACATTATGACATGCTACTCTTATGGATTATATTCATCTACGTCCTCAGCTACGATGATCTCCGTATGGTAAGAGAACGAACGGATCTACAAAGTAGTCCAGTCGTATCATATCAATGATCTCAATTCGTCAGGACGGTCAAAGGCTTACTATCAAAAGACTTGTCACAAGAGCATTCAAACTCTGTGCATTCAGCGTGTTGCTAGACAACTCCCAGGATGCGTTACCCCATGGACTCGAAACGATCGAGGAAGTAGTGAACGGTAATGCAATCTCAATCGCAGAGGAGATATCAGCATAGTCCAGATTCACAACACTGATCAGCGCTTGTTGTCCTGCAATCCAATATGATACGTCGAGCAACTCGTATCCAGCGACTGAGATAGGTGTTGGTCGACCCCCAGTGATGAACTCAAGCACAGGCGACTTTGTCAGAACTTTCGACTGCTGCGAATTGGCAGTTGCCAAATCGTCTAGCGTTGGAAATGTCCACAGCATGATAGATTTTGCACCATGGTTCAGTGCAAGTTGATTCATTACCCATGTCTCATCGACCGTTGGATTCCGACTCCAATACCCTTCACCATCAAAGGACTGAGGCACCGCCCAAATCGGTTTCTGCCATTGTCCCAGATACTCTTGATATTCCGCAATATCATCAATCCGATTCGATACATCCTGCAACTCGCCCACGCAATTATCGCACCCACAATCCCCATATGTCGTGTTACACGGCGTGCCCCATTTCGACCACGTCGCATTAATTCCAATCGGATACGCATCCTCCATCAAATAATCCGCTCCAGCCGAGTACTCCTCAAAATAGTAATTCTGACAATTGAGCACCAACCCAATGGGATGATACTTGTCGATCTGGGTAATAGTCTCGTATGCGAGAGTCGTAGCATTCAGCGCATCTTGATTGCCGTCCGGTTCATCGGCCGTGTACCAAGCCAAGAGCGAACTGTGATCCTTGACTGCATGTACCTGCCCCGCCACCGAGGAGAGATTGGTGTATGTCCCTCGCATATCATACTGAAACATGAGATTCAACTCATCCATATAATCCAGTATAGTAGTCAAATTATCCGAGAATGTGGGAATTGGGTGAATCGCGCTGTATCCGAGGTCATAATATGCTTGCACATTTTCAAGACTCGTTTCTAGATACCCACCGTAGGAAGTGTAGAATCCGAATGCGAAAAATGGGACGAATTTGTTGTTGGTCGCATTGCTTTTGTACAAAAGGTTACCGTTCAGATTGTCGATTTTGGTGACGCTACCAGTTGGTTTGTCGGGAAGATAGAAGAGTTTTGTTGTTGCGGTGAAGGTCTGGTTTCCGTCTTCAGAAGCGCCGTATAGCACAATATCGTATGCATCGAACTGTGGCCTGAGTAGACGGCCAATCTCAAATTCAAATAGATTGTCGGTCGAGTTTATGGTTACATTGTTGGTCACGAGGACCTGATCCGTGGACTCTACGCGGATATCAAAATAAAAATCCGAAAAAGGCTGGGTCGTGGATGAGCCCAGAACTTGCGTGGAGTTGTAGTAGGCGTCGCCATGGTAGTGCGATAGAGCGGCGTCGACTATGAATGTCGCAGTTTGCTCGGAGGAGACGTAGATGCTGTGGCGCGGCGAAACTTGGACATACAACAGCGGATTTGCTGATGGGCTGGGGAATGTAAATTGTCCGCCGGGGTTGATATTTGGGGATCTGTACAGTCAGTGATGTTCAATTTAACGCCCAAGGATTTGGAGGAGTAAGGGGACGTTATATACCCGCTCTCATAGGGCTTGCCACACCAGCGAGGAATGTCTGTTGTCGTTGTTGTGCTCGCTTGGAGCGCAACGGCCCCTTGCACTTCCCAAAATACAAGGGCCGCGATGAAAGCGGTTGACATCATCTTGCTACGTCAAATTTCTTGTAATTTTCTCCTCCTCCTACCCAGGTGCCCATGAGGTATATGCAGAGTAATTGAAGATGAGTTGAATGGAGATGAGGGGATAACAAAGATAAGTTGGTTGTAGATTGTATACGTACACAATCCCACCTAGGAATGGTCATCATTTCCCGATATGGAAGGTGACATTGTTACTTTATTTTTCTATCTGTCAATCCTACCGAAATCAGTTGGTTATTTAATATAGATAATATTTATTGCTATCGCTGCATAGAGCTAATTTATGCATAACCAGCAGATAACTAATTTAAGGACTAAACTACATGTGCCGAAATAAAACTATGCATCGCGAACTCCGCCACATGCACTATAATATGCCAAACCAAGGTCCAAACGAGACGTAACAACTCCAAATAAAACCATGGAGAAAGTGTCAAAACCAGAGAGCCCCAAAATCCAAGTAAGACGAGCAACGCGATATGTCTCTCTCAAGGGCGTGACAACACTTGTACCTCGGAATTCGTTATGAGCGGAGATTAATTCTTACCGATGCATCATCCAACTTCCGGTAATTTTTGCGGTCACGTCTATCTTTTTTTCCAAAACTCTTTACTCGTTCTAGGCATTCATTCATCACGGAACCTCTCCGCGATTTGTCCTTTTTGTCGTTGTTGTGGGATGTAATCTGGGGCGCTGGTATCAGCTTATTTGGGTCCGGGGAAGGCGAAGCAGACCGACCAGAAGAAACAGTGGATGAAGACGACGATGGTAACCATGAAGCTCTGCTATTCAATGCCGAGCTTACAGCTGCCCATGATTTCCTCTTAGATGTTGTTTCTTCGGCTGATTTGGTGGTTGTTCTTATTGTTGCTGTTGAGGCCGCGGATGACCAAGTCATTCTCTTGGTGTTTCGTTTCGATGTTGACGACGAAGACGAGCAAAATAGCTTGTCTTGAAATGTATGCGATGTCCATGATGCTCGATATCTATTCTGTCGGGATAAAGCTTGGAAGTGTGATTGGGCTGAAAAGTCGCAGTATCCGAAGGACATCTATTTTATTAGTGGGCTATAGATGAATAGAACTTTCATGCATGGGTATGCTTACCATTGGGCAAGTATAGGACCCCATATTGGTTAAATCTATCCTTGTGTGCCAAATCCGATTTTTCCTTTCAATTTATAGTGCATGTGATGAGTCCGGATCAACTTGCGACACACCTTGGACGATTAAGGACAGGCAGATATACTTTGCAATCCACTAGAATTCAATTGAACAAGGCGGTTGAGAGATAATAAATGTTTTTATTTCAAAGCTGGTTAGATACTGAGGAATGTGCTTGCCGTTATCCACCCCCAACCTTGGAACCTTACGCAGATCCCATTCCTTATCCCTGGATCCCCAACATAGGTACCATAGGGCCACAAGGGCGTAGAGCTGTCCATGCGTCAAAGAGCTGGATTGGCACATACGCGAATGTTAATTGGCCCCCTTACCCGCAAGTCGGCCCCATAATCAAGATTTGTGGTAAATTGTCAAGTCGTACTGGCAGTGTCGTACAGATTCATAGCTGCCCTGAGACTGACTGTGATTTCAATACAACACCCAGTTTACAAGCATTATCAAACAGAAAGAAGGCCATAGTAGCGGTTACTCAATTCATTCTCAATATAGGGTTATCAGCTCAGTTTGTGGGTAGAGCTCCACGGGCATTAGGAACAAGAGAGCAAGAAACAGATAACACCAAATCGAGCAGCCAGAGCACTGATCCGGTTACACACATTACAACGCTCCCAGGTGACATAAGCGCCAGGTCTGCTCACCCACTCGTAAGGACCAATAACGAAGCGGATATGAGCCTTGGACCGATGCGAATTGAAGCAGTCGACCGAGACGAATCGCAGAAGGATGAGCGCGGAGATGTAAACGTATGAATTGGTGGAAAGAATGATTGCATGTGGGATACGTGAGAAAGTGGAATGGCGGGAGTTGCGGGAGGATGAGGACTTTATACATGTAAAAGGTTGCTAGGGCCGTACGTTTGCAATGTTTTATAGTTTTGGCTTATTTGATTGTTTTACAACGTTTTACCACATCTTATTTGTATATTTATATAGATCGAACTATGAGTAAAGCACAACTATGGATTCGCGAAAGGTTGCACTTGAACTGAACAGTTCCAAGCAAGTTTCGCCTTGGGAATTAGCCAAGTTGGTCAACGCACCCGCTTTCATAAGTAATTGGAAGACCACCAGGGTTTCCAGTGGACTGTGGATATGCATCTTCCGCATGGCTAAATGATGGAGGGCTGTATTATGGTCAAAATCCACTGCATTGACATCTACTCCTTTCTCAATGAAAATCTTGAAAATTTCTGTCCGAGGTTCATTCCGGCTAGACAAAGCAAGTCGAATCAAAGGGGTGTGCCCTGCTTCGTTTCTAGCTTCCAGATCTGCCCCAGCTTGAACTAGGAGAGTGACAGCTGTGGAAGGAGCAAATATCACTGCCCGGTGCACTAAGCAGAGGAGCTAAAGATCAGTGTCATCATCATAAACTAAACAAATTCAAGTAGTCGAACTGAACTTACACGGAGTATCTCCCTTGAAAATCTTGCCCGGGGTCACTCGAGAACCGCGAACGTGAACATCAGCTCCGAATTCTAGTAAGACTTCAAGCCTATTCGTACAATTTCGATGAATGCATGCTTCTAAAAGTGCTGACTCGCCACTCCGATTCATGTCATTAACGTTAACTATCTGGCTTGCCAATAATTCACACATAAAGTTGAGAGAGGCACCAATTAAAATTCCACTAGTCGATATATCTGACTGGCTGAGGTGTGGAAGTAGAAGCTTAACCATTTCCATGTTAGAGGCTTGGGCGAATGCGCTACTAGTGACCATAGCACCTAGCTCAATAAGCAATCGGCATGCATTGATTTGATTATGAGCGACAGCACTGCGTAATACAGTTTGACTCTCGTGGAATGGGACGATATAGTTGCAGTCAGCTCCACGGTCTACTAGAAACTGGATAAGTTTGAGATCCCCAATCTCAGACGCCTGATGGAGCTTTTATTGGCACTAATTAGATCCGGTGAATTTATTTGCGAAAAGGGCCAGTCTGACTTACTATAGTACCACCCATATCTATTTCCCATGAATTGATATCATAACCTTGGCTAAGCACTAGGTCGATAATCTTGTATTCATTATTGGAAATACTCTGTTTATGCCACAGAACGTAATTCAAAAGAGGGTCTCCCATCTCACCCCGGATAGTCACGTCAGCCCCATTTTGTAGGAGTTCTTGGGTAATAGCAATATGCCTAAAATAGGCGGTATCCCATAGGGCTGTTTTTGGTCCCACTGGTGAGTGGTTCTTGTGGTTTATATTGGCGCTATGAGAGATCAGAAATTGGACAAGCTTGAGATAGCCGCTTTTAGTTAGCGGCTCGGTGCAGGGCTGTTTCGCCTTTCTAGCCCTTATAGTCTGGGCACGTGTTTATGTTGATTTCTCCGTTAGCCAGTGCCTTCTGTATCGCTTGTATGTCTCCTAACACGGCCGCATTGAAAAATATTCTGTAGTTGAGTGTGTCGGGTGCCCAGATCGGCGGTGCCCATAATTCATGAATTTTTTCCATTGCGTTGCGGATCTTAGTAAAGCGACTTGAGGGTGCTTTTTTCAAATATATTAAATCACGTTCCCGGGGATGTATTGATGACTGGAATGTAATACTAATCTGGTACGCACATTTGAAGATGGTGGTGTTCATGCCACTATCCTAAACAGACAAAAGAAAGAAATAGTTGAAGCTAATTGTGAAACGAGTAAGGCCATTAATGCAGCGACAAGTTATGTGTTTCTCTATGAGCAGCACACGTGACCATCGTGCCAGAAGGAAGCTGAGCTAGTCGTTGTAATCTCCACTCTCCTAATTAGGGGGCTCCCCCTTTATTTTTTTAATAGATTGGGAATTTTTCGTCACAATAATTATTCAATTCATAGGTCAGAAGCCAAAGTCGTTAGCTTCTAGGGGTCGTTGGTCACCTTCAGGGTTGGCCTGCGCAATATGCTGGCTTTCTGTGAAAAACATAGCATCACACCGCAGATTCAAAAATTCAATTTGGATGGTGAGGGTATTACGAAAGCTATGCAAGGTCTGAGAGACGGCAAACTCAGGTAAAAGGCTGTTCTTGCAGCTCAGTGACTGATATCCATAAAGACTCATACTGCATCCATCGTGCTAGATTCCATTTCGTGTGACGGAGTAGCCCTGATGACCCATAATGAAATACCTTCAAAAATAGAAGACCAGACTTCAAGTATAACTAAATCCTGGTACGCTCCTGTAATACAACTTGCAACCCAGATAGTGTCAGCGTAAAGGTATCTTTAGCACCTTGATCAAACTCAACGCCAGTTTCTCCTGGAGCCAGTGCGAGGTCAAAATTAAGCGCGACGAGTACAATGGCCAGACGGAGTTCCATGAGAGCAAGTTGTCTACCGGCGCAGGAGTATTGACCTATTTTTATATCAGCTCATATCAGCATTCTAATGCGAAAAAGAAATCACATCGAGATAAAGAAAGCAAAACGGACTCACCAAGTTGGAAAGGAAAGTAAGCCTGTTCATTCGAGATCATATTCTTCTTATTTTCAACGAGCCATCTTTCAGGTACGAACTTGTCGCCCTCGGGAAAGTTTCTATTGTCTCGTTGAAGAATATACTGCGGAACGACGACGTTTACATCACCTGGAATCCACACGTCGTCGATCTGAAGACCTTCGGGAGGAGTAACACGAGGTTGACCACTGGGTACAGCTGGCTTGAGTCGTAGAGTTTCATTGATGATTGCCTCCACGTATGGGATATCGCGCACTTGTTCATATGTGAATGAATTTCCGGCGCTGGAAAATAGCCCGTCGAGCTGTCGTTGAAGTTCTTGGTATATTGATGGATTGACTGTTAGGAAGTATAGTGCATTCGCTAGGGTAGCTCCAGTTGTGTCGCTTCATTTTGTTAATGATATAACACGTAGATATAGTCTCAGGAGTGGAAGCAATACCTTCCTGCGATGATCATTAGACGACCATCTTCATCCAAAGCTTGTTCACCTGGGGGAGCAGTTCCATCGTTATCTTTCTTTGCCTTGAGGAGCCAGGAAATGACATCGGACGGATCTTGAGTATCGTCTTGTTTCCATGACTGGATGTTGACATGTTAGTAATTTAAGTTTCACATAATGCAAGAGAGGTATGCAAGGATAAGGATTGTCCAACATACATCAACTTTCTCTTTGACTTGCTTATGGCAGTAATCGATGAATAAGCCATAACTTCCGCTCAAACCAGGAATGGAGCCCAATAAGGACAGAAACCATGGGATATGAGCCAATAAACCCAAAGCCGCCATTTGATCATGCAGTCCCTTGATAGCACTGTGCTCTTTGGCTGCTTCAAGTTGTTGAAAATCTTTGCTAAATCCGACTACACCCATGATGTCGAATGTAAGGAACATTGTCCATTCGGTCAAGTTAAGTGGCTGGCCGACACGCTCCCGAAGTTGAGATATAAAGACATCAACCTTGGAACGCACGCGAGGAGCATATGTCGCCATTGCTATGTCAAAATCAGCGACGTGCAATAAGTGGGATTCTGAGCATACATACATTTAACACTAAACGCGCGATCCCAAGCCCGACGGCGACGGCGATGAACCTCAACATCACGCGTTGAGTTCAGACTAATTACGGTCACATCATCCGATACTTGACTGTACCAAGTTGACCTCATGCAGGCAGACTTGGAGCCATTAATAGCCTGGACGGCTGATGGGCGGTTGATTGAGATTTCACGAGGACCTACATACGAGTAAGTAATCAATGTCAATCCTGATGGTAGCAGTGGTATGTAGATAGCAAACTCACCCGTACGGACAAAATCGCCATATTGGTCATGCAGCTTTTTTAGCTCCAGATGATACTGCAATCCCTTGGAAGCAAGGCTAACAGCATAGAACCGGCTGAGTTTGGCACCCAACGGACCTGGGAAGCTTCGCAGTCGATGGAAAAGGAGTCTGTAAGCTCCAATGCTACTTAGCAGTCCAACATTAAAGCAGAGTCCGGCGAACCAAGCTGTGCCGAGGGCATTCAACCAACTCAACCCAAAAGAATTGAGATAGATGCCAACCAAACAGGCCCAAATAAGCAAATAGATAGAAAATAGTCTCCAAAGTCGGTAGTCGATCTCAGTATTACGAACGGCCAAATGAAAGGCAACTCCCAACAACCCGAAGGTGATGACCACCTGGGCAATATCTGGTGACAGAAGGATCAGGGCAGTGTGGAGTTGCGTTTCCATTTCGAGCTGTCAATACGAGAATCAGGCCAACCTCGGGAGTTTCACCTAACTGGAAATTGAAGAAGAATAGAAAAAGAAAAAGAAAAAAAAAGGCGGTTCGCAGAAGTAGCCAATAGTCGTCAAGATATTGGTATATGCCTGTTGTATATTAGTCCGATCGACAAGTCGGGCTGTAATTTGGTATAAAAGAAAGAACTACGTAGGGCCCGGGGAGGACGCGTAGAATGAGATAAAAGTTCTCTTTAGCAAACCTCGGAAGAATTCAGAGGCTACAACACGACAGACCACTACTACTATGTCGCCCACGGAGTAGGGTAAGGCAGCTACTGCATTAGTTGAAGTATGGGAAACGATAATCGTTCTTTGAAACGGGTTGTACTCCGTGCCCGGTGTCAAGAACTTGAGGACCACTTCCACACAACTGCGAACTCGAACCTGGAACGAACGTCAAGTCGCTAATCAACGACTACCTTATTGGTTGCCCCCTCGATGCCGAAGACACTAAAAATGAACAGTGAGCACTAAACAACTTCTCATTTAATTTATTTTACTGATCCTTGTCTAGCCTACAAGGTGGCGTCGTCTATACCGCCGCTCAAAAAGTAAGCTTAAGGAACGATACCCGATTGGCGAATGAGATCCGCTTTCGAGATTGAAGACACGAATCATGTTATTTAATGCACAGCAGAAACATGAGACGTTACTTACTATTTCCTTTTGCGGAATTCGCTCTCACCGACCAAGACGCCAACAGCGTGGTCGACCGTCAGTGCTGACAACGGCACGGAAAAAGCGGGAGCGGCACATGCCAGGCAAAGCCTTAGGAAGCAGCCATACCGGGGTCAACCAAAAGGAAAGTATGTCTTGAAGATTTATGATTGGAAAGTATTCGGGGAAGCTATTGTTCTGAGCTAAACAACACTCATACATAGTACAATCATTCTTGACTTGTCCTAGTGTGTTCTGTGCCGTCCCGGTTTCTCACCTTCATTTTCAAACCTTCTGTCTTTCCGGCTCTACGGCGTGAGGACATGGATTTTGTACAGATTGCACGCAGACTGTAAAATTGATTAAATTTCTCGTGTCGCTCTTATGGGTTGTTACCGATGATTTTCTATTTTCTAATCGAGCGTATCTAATTTTCACGTCCAAACACGATCGATACATAAATGCTCTACTATGTAGTAAGCATGAGTCATTCATCGATCCCAATTTGAACAACGACCAGCTACTGACAGCTAGCATATCATAATGCGCTATGAATCCATGACACCCTACTCCATACTAGTATTATGCAGTACTTGGCCAAGAACTCTCATGGCAATGGAACAAGATGTCAAAATGCAAAACGTTCACCAATTCTTGACTGTCTCGGAAAGAAGCCGTCAATCCAACATCAACCTCGAATGCGTCGTAAGTAAAGGCACAAAGGAAAGAGTCTAACAGCGCCATAAACCCACTTGGTCATTTTTTGCCGCCTACTATGGGCTAGACTGGAATTTTCTTCTCAGGCTACTGACCCATTTGAGAACTCCCTGGAGTCTTATTTTCTTCATATTATAGACTAGAAACCTAGTGCAACGCACTCTAGACCATAAAACACAAAATATAACTATGTACTATTCCGCACAGGTTGCAGTTGCGTCGTGAAACAGAGATCGGCAGTCTGGGCTTCACACACGACACAGAGAGGCCATTTTGATGGCTTCTTCCGCAAATTTCTCAGCGGCTCGATTACTAGGCCAGTGTCCGAGGTTCTTCGGTTCCCTTCACATCGACGATTACAGATAACTAGTACTTAATCCAGAATCGATTTCATTCTGCAGAAAATCTCCCAAACCCCTCGGCTAGGACATACTCGACCCGGTTACGTGCAGTTAGTTGAGAAAGCCACCGACTTCTGCGCGAGGTCTCTGCGCAGGACGCATCGGATCAATTTTCATGTTGGAGACATCTATACACGCACTACTTCCTTGACAAAATGCTGAATACTCTTCAACCTGCGGCTCTCGGTATTTCGACGGTTTTCTGGACCCTGTCTACCGCCACAATAGTACTGCGATTATGGTCCAGACTGTTCATTATCAAAAGTTTCGGGTGGGATGATGCGCTTATGAGTGCAATTTTGGTGAGTTCTTGGGTTTTCATCATAGCACAAACGATCTAACCCAGAGTTCCATATTTAGGTCTTCAACATCGGTCAACAGGGTCTATTTTATACTTTTGTCCATTTTGGAGGCGGCTTGTACGTACGCCAATGATTTATACTCACCAAGATTTACATCTAACACTATATGGCAGGCATTATGGCAGTGTTCCCCTAGCACACCTAGCCCTCTTGCCCAAGGTGAGGAAAGATACTAAAATATGAATGAAGAAATTGGAACCGAGTGAAGAATGACTAACATGCCTCTTTCTTTTTTAGCTTTTATTTGTGGAAGAGATTTATTACATCTGGATGCACTTTATTATCAAAATGTCATTCCTTCTCTTTTACCTTCGACTGTCGAACACATGGAGGTTTACATTATCCATCTACGGAGCAATGGGTATTGTTATGGCGTCTACGATAGCAATCTGGCTGATCTACTGCCTGCAATGCATTCCACTTCCTGCGTTTTGGGATCCAACAGCATATCCGGGGGCTAAGTGTTTGTCTACGAAGATCACGTACTACGTCGTTGTAGCTTTGGTAAGTAACATTTTAGCCTATAAGCACACTCAACTGACGCAAATACACTAGTGTATCTTCGGTGATCTGCTCATCCTGATACTACCTATCCAACCTTTGTGGCATATGCAAGCCAGTCTTCGCCGTCGATTAACCTTGATCGGAGTCATCACCTTCGGTGGAATGTCGCCCCTGGTGTCCTTCCTCCGCATTATCGTCCTCCACGAATTCGAAGTCAGCCCAGACTTTACCTGGACACTTGGAAAGATGGTCATTGTATCCGCTATTGAACTCGACGTTGCCATTATCGCATCGAACGCCGCCTCAATGAAAGCGATTTGGGTCAAATACCTTGGCAAGAATCCCTTCAGTTCCACGGGTGACCAAGGTCCATCTTCTTACCCGAAACAAAAGTCGAATGAGCTCGTCAACCTACCATACAATTCGCGCGCTAAACGTTCAGGACATACTCATGTGGCGTCGATTGATGGAAATGGGTCGAGAGGGAGAAAAGAGCTGTGGGAGAATGATTCGGAGGAAGAATTGTTCCAAGGAAACGGCATTACTGTTACTTCGTCGGTGGATATGATCAGCAAGAAGAGTGCAGTAGCTTCGGCCGCGGATGTGAATCGCTCTTATTTCGAATTCAAGAAGTGATTTCTTTGAGTACACTACACTTATAGCTGGGTATATCTCTCATGTACAAATAAAGACTATCTAGCATCGCTATTTAACACATTGATCTCCATACCTCAGTTCTCTAGTCAAAAGTCACCCTATGTATGGTTGGCCAGCAATATTGAATAAAAGACTACTAAAAGTACCATGAGAATGAACGGCTCGCTATTTGCTCATGACTATGTATATGCCTTCAATCCAAGACTCGATTTTGAATGGGCGAATGCTATACTGCGAGAGGATACCTGGAATAAAGAACTTCAACCGACAGTAAAGGATTATCAGTTCCCTGCGTTTATGTATTTGTCATTGCATAAAAATTCTGCATTGGCAAACTTCGAGCATTTATTCATACGTTGTATGAACATGAGTCCAAGCAGTATTCAAGACGTGGGAGTCTCTTCATGCTTTTTTCAACACGATATTCTGGCCATCATTGCGCAGGATGAAAGGGTTCGTTACAAGTCTGCAGAACTGCAGCTCTGCCCTACATGCGAATTCCACCATGATTAAAATGTCAAGACCCTTCAGGGCCGCCATTATTCGCTTTCCTCGCACGGAAAGAATGTTGCCAGGATGAATCAATTTCCATTTTGAGCGACAAACGTGTTCGCCGGAGACTTTTGATCAAGAATGTGGGAACGCCGGAGACTTTCCCATGTCTACATAAGCTGCAAGTAGGCATGAAAATCAATGACCATTCTCAATATAACGCGAGCTATATACAGCTAAAGTAATCACAAAATAAATGGCACTACAACTATTTCCTGACATTAGCAAGATAACGGCTGTTCGGGATGGCACGAAATACGCCTATATCCACATCCCCGCCGCCGACTCTAAGAAGCCCACCTTTTTACTTCTCCACGGCTTTCCAAGTACAAGTTATGACTGGCGCCATGTAGTACCGTTATTCAAGGAACTTGGTTACGGCGTTCTCGCACCGGACTTACTGGGATATGGTGACTCTGATAAGCCTGCAGATATCGAGGCATACTCGTTCAAGCGGATGGCAGATCATATCATTGAACTCGTGGTCGGCGAAGGGCTGGAACAGGTTATTGGTGTCGGTCATGACTGGTAAGTTGTTTTTAATTAAGTATACCCCCCCTGCTGCTTTGGTTAATAGTCGTCGCGAACAGGGGCTCTACACTTCTTTCAGCTGCTGGCCTGATTCATCCAGAGCGTTTCTCTGGTGTGGTATTTACGGCCGTTGGATTCAGTCCTCCGGGTCCTTTTGATCTGAAGTCTGTGAATGCGATGGTTCAGCAGTTCGTCGGATATACTGCATTCGCGTACATGGAATTCTTCAATGAAGATGGCGCTGCTGCTATCTGTGACTCGTACCCAGCTTCGGTCACATCAATGTTGTACTCCACGACACCCGAGGACTGGAAAGCTCATATGGGTGTAGAAGGTGGTGCAAAGAAATGGGTCAGTAGTGGTGATGTTTCTCCTCCTCCATCATGGATGAGTCGCGAGGAAGTGGCTACGCATGTACAAATTCTCAAGAAAGGAGGATATACAGGTCCATTGAATTGGTGAGCTCCTGGTCAATCGAGGCTCAAGATCTTTCTAGCTGACTGTCTAAAGGTACAAATCATTTATCCGTGGGATCGACAAGCCACTTCATGCCAAATTTGCTACTGATGAGAGCAGGAATCTCGATATTCCTGCACTGGTGGTCACAGCCGCGTATGACTGCGGGAGTCGTCCGGAATTTCAGATCCCAGCCGCAGAGAAGCATCTGTCAAATAGAAGCATTGAAAATTTTGAATGCGGCCATTGGATTCCGCTGGAGAAGCCAAAGGAGCTGGTTGAATTGCTGCAAGAGTTTGCGAGTAGCTTAAAAAAATGACTCGGTTACGTTCGACGGCCAGATATTGTCAAGGCTGGTGAAAAATAATGTGGTTTACAAAGAAAGACAGCACGACGACGGCGTAGATCCCTGAAAATCATATTTGAGAAGAATCATATGTTGGGTAGCTGGTATGAATGAGAGAGAGAGTTCTGACGCTTCCTCCATGGAATAATTCATTGCTCTGGGTCGAAATGTGGACTAAACCTCTCCAACTCGCTCGCACGAATACTCAGATTAGAGGCGACATAGCTCGAATGTACCCAGTCTCTTGTCAATTTGTCCTCCTGGTATGTCACTAGACTCATGAATCTACTCTGATGCCTGAATAGCTCCTTTTTGAAGAAAGACCATTGTGCGTACAACCTCTTCCTCAAGAGACAGCTTTGTTCGTTGGATTCAAATCGTTGGCTGTGTAGTTCGTTATTGATATTAGCCTGGCTCCTTTCAAGCAATCGAGACGATTCATGATATTGAGCCGAATGCGATTTCCAGGCTGTGTCAAGTATAAGCGCACTTTGATTCTTTTCGGGATCTGTTTCTTAACGGAGTTCATTTTCCACGGGTCACCTGATTTCGATAGAAGGCGCTTGTGCCAAAATATGAAGATTGAACATACGATGGGAACACTACTTGGACGGAAGATACGTTCCTTATTGCTTGTATCATAGTTTCATCTCAACTTGAATACGAGTGCAAGTGGAAGGAATGTACCGAGTTTAGTCACCTGGAGGAAGCAAATCCTACAGCTGGTTGGCAACACCTGACACGTTGTCACGGCATGGGTTGGGGATCAGTATGGTACGTGGTTTGTTGAGCATGGCTGCACTGAGATATATAGTAGTGACCGTATTGTAAGGGCTAATCATACACATTGTAACCAGATACACTGTACCTGGGAAAGCTACCTAGGGAGGATACAAGACTTGGTACTGTAATCAAAGGAAGTCGATTCTAAATATGGGATGCAAGTGTTCAGGTATCCGCAGGTATGTATATATGATCTTTTCAGCAAACGAATGTTACAGAAACAACACGCTACTTATCTGTAGATCCCAGTCACATGCGGTGATCAAAACTTGGAACTCATCAAAGGTTGGTTTCATCTATTTCTCTTGCTGAAGCTGCATCACAATCGCCGCCGCCGCTCCGGATCCCATATACATAGCCGGCGTCACTGCTTTCATAGATGTAGCACAGTCACCGATTGCAAACACACCTGGCATCGAAGTCTCATTGAACATAGGCGATACCTTGATTTCGCCGCTTTCAATTGTTTCAAGTCCTAGTTGTTCTGCAAAGGGGCCATTGAGGACGTAACTCGGTCCATGTGCCTGTACAAACATACCAATTAGCAAAGATTCGAATCTGTGAAAATCAATAAATAGGAGGAACACTTACCAGAAACGCTTCCTCTGCCCAATTCCCATCCTCAAAATGAATTATAATCTTCGACTCAGCCTCCGTCTCGTGTTTCTCCAGTTTTACGAAAGGGCGCGAATCGACACTGAAACCATCCAGATTGGCTATCGCTTCTTGTATCGTCGCAGCTTGCTCGCTATTGCCATTGGTGTATATAGTGACCTTGTCAACGAGCCTCATCGCCATGCGGCCCACATGCATTGTCCTTTGCGTGGGTTCAAGGAGGTCCGTTGCCAGGACACCGGCTGACGGGGCGCCACGCTTTTCATATCCGTCACAGAAGAGGCAGTGATGTCTACCAAAGTCAGTAGATCAAAACATAAGCACCAGATAAAAAGTGAAGAACTTACATAACCTCCCCCCAACAATCCGCATACCCCTCAATATCAGGAAACACATCCCTCACCCCCATAGCCAGCACAAGTTTCTTCCCCCACCAAACACCACCCCTTTCGTCCCTCGCCTCAAACCCCCCATCATCTCGCTTGCAGACAGACTCAATTCCAAAATCATGAAATTGGACGGTCGACGAGTACCTCGCCAAAAGATCCTCGCGAGCCCTGGTACGGAAATCGGCTGGGTCGCGATGGTCCCAACCCACGACGTTATGCATGTGTTTTGTCACGCCGTTGCGGAATACGGAGGTGTTGAAGATTGCAGTTGTGTGGAGTTGGCGCGCGAGACCGGTTGCGACGGAGAGACCTGCTGGGCCGGCACCGATTATGAGGGCGTCAAAGATAGGGTTTGAGAGCATGATTGTATCTTCTGAAAAGAAAGGGGTGGATGATGCAGATAGCTACAACTGCTAAAGTGTGAGTAAGGCGATGACTTTCACGGGTGTGACAGAATACCTAGGTTTGTAATTGTTGATATATATTCTCTGAAGATGTCCAGCTTTCTATGGGGATTTATATAACTAGGTATCTTCCAAGGTTCTCAGAACGAGCAGATTTCGGAGACATTTCAGACCTTACTCGGAGACATCTACTTCATACGGTAAAATCAACCAAAAAAGCCTCCTCCAACTATCGGCGTCTCGAAGAGTCCATCTGATAAATACGCTGCTACGGGATTTCTGGAATGATCGCAAATTTCGAATTCTCATGTAGTGTTATTCAAGTGTAAATACTGGATACTTCGGGTCTGTTTCGTAGACTGGATTAGGGCTAGCGGCCTCCAACGAATTGCGATGTATGTATGGTAAAGTAGGTTATGACCAAAACCGAGATTCGGTTCCTTTGGTGAAAGTTCCCTGTACAGATATGAACTACTATAAGACAGAACGGATGTGGATGAATTTACAATACGGAGCGATATAAGCTACATGGGTAGGCTCAGTTTTTACGGTTGTCTAGTGCTTGATCTGGAAAGTCGGAAGTTAAAGGTGCATGTATGTTCAAAATCAGACCAACTCCACTACCCTCCGTATATATGGGTATAATGTTTTATGTACAAAGCCCCGACCAAAGCACCAACCTGAAGACTCCTGGACTCATGCCTCGTGTATGACCCGGATGCATATATATATTTTGAAAAAAAAAAAAGGAAACAAGCATAAACCATCATCTCAACACAACGATGAGGATCTATGTATACTTCGCTATAGCTAGTTTGAGTTGTTGTAGCGAAAGTGGTTTGATCAAATAATTGTCGATTCCTGCCGCGACGGCCTGCTGTTGCATACTAGCTGACGCAACGCCAGTGACTGCGAGGACTGTAACGGGTGCCAGTGTCTGTTGCTTTTCAAATGTTCTTATTTGACTTGTCGCAACTAGACCATCCATCACAGGCATGGAGATATCTTGGCAAATGTCAGTACTAGAAATCAGGGGTTGTTCGGAAATCAACTCACCCATTAACACAAGGTCGAACGGCGTTGTGCTTTCCTTGTACTTGTTCAAAGCAATCAAGCCATTCGATGCAGTTTCATAACTGTGACCTAATTTCCGAACAAACGTCGAGAGGACCTGTGAAAGAGGACAAATTTAGTATGACAACGCAGAAAAAGGTAGCGAACATGTAACAATTCTGAAATAAAGACGCATGGTCCAGTAGATACACACCTTGAGATTGATATCGTTATCATCCACAATCAATACGTGAAGTCTCTGATTGTTTTCCAAAACTTTTTGGGGTTCTGTCACCGGAGTTATAACGTCTAAAGTCGGTATCGATTGTCGGGTCTGGTTTGATGGCACCTTTGTAGAGTCTGCCGCTACGATTGACTTGGCCACAATGCCCGCTGGTGGGATATCCTCGATTGTCAAAGTATCCTTTGCTGGCGATGTCGGTGCGCTCTTGGTATTTAAAATGCACTTCAAAGCATCCATCATTTTCCGAGGACAGAAACTTATGGGCATGGTATGTTAGTGGACGGGCAAAAAACAAACACCCGAGAAAGAGAACACTCACGGTGGATGTATTGTACGAACGACATCTGCTTTAATGTTGGCCAAATTCATAACATCTGACGATGGCAATCCATTACGCAGTATCAACAACCGACTAAAGTTGATTGAGTTTGCCGATTGCGACGACTCATCAGCGGCCATATGCTCGAGTGTTGTTTCTTCGATAATGGCGACATCACCGATGGCGTTTCCAGAAGTCCCAGCAAAGCCAACACTCCAATCAGGATGCTGTGTAATAATCTGGGTGAGAAAACTTTGTATGCAGAGTCTCCGTTTTGCCTCGCGACTCAAACTACCGGTCGGCACTTCCGTTAAATCCGAATAGCCGTCAAATCCAATGAGGCAAAATTGCGTTTTGCATGAAGTTGGTATCTGCGAGAGCGGAGGTGATGACTGTGGGATTGACGAGATGGGTATGAAAATATCCACCTGAGTACCAGTTCCAGGTTCGCTCTTGATATCAATCGTTCCTTTCATGAGACCTACAAGTTGCTGTACAATGCTCATACCTAGCCCGACTCCTTCAGAGAGCGTATCTTCCTGCGCAAAAGGAGAAAAAAGATTGTTTTTTAGAAAGTCGGCCGACATGCCGCATCCTGTATCAGTTATTGACAAGTGAGCAAACTCCGGTGCGGATATTTCTGGCTCCTTTGTGTATTTGCATAACGAGACCTCGACGAAACCTGCCTGTGTGTACTTGAGTGCGTTGCCGAGGATGCTCATGATTATTCGTCTCCAAGCACCTGAGATAGATCGCATCTTCCAATTGTCCTGATCCGTCACACGAAGAACGACAGACATATTACCCAATTCTTCTTTGATCTTCTGTCTCTCTGAGTCGGCTGCAGTACCCGCGTAACGTGAAACGTGTAGCTTTCCAGCATAAAGAGCTCCCACAACCTCTTCCAACAGCACATCAAGATCGAAAACGGTTGCGAGAGTGGAGGAGGTATCATGGAAGGAGGATGCGTTATCCTCAATGCTCACGAGATTATTGATCTTAGTGAAGTCCAAACTAGCAGAATAAGTATGTTGAAAATGAATTTTTAGAGATAGAAGAGCACTTACAGATGGTTCATCGTATCTAAAAGAGTCAGACCACACGTTTCAAGCATCTTTACCAGGTCAAGTTGATCGGGTTTCAGAGCAGTCTCCAGCAACAACTCGGCACTCGCTAACATGCCATGCAATGGTGATCGTAGCTCGTGACTGATGGAGGAAATGAAATCAGACTTTGAGTTTTCAAGCTCGAAAGACTTTGCTTTTGCAATCTCCGAGATGATCGTGTCTCCAAACACCTTAAAATAGCGAAATTCTTGTAGTTCAAGAGGACGTTCGCTGTCTCGACTCCAGATCAGTGTTCCCGCCAGCCAATGGCCTTTATTCCAATCCCATAGTGGTATAAATACCACAGTCTTTGCGTCGGGAAAGTAACTTGCCAAGCGTGATACTGTTACCTGAAGTGCATCGCGCTTGCTTTGAGATGATTTTTCGCTATTTCTGAATGGTCGTATACGAGATTTACTCTCGAGCGGTTGTGGTGTTGAATCTTTGTGTGAGGGTACGACCCCGTCTAGATCAAATACTTCACCTTCAGGATAACTTGTGATCAAATGTTGAAGAAAGGCTTCGGTTATCGAGACCGGCGAAGTGTCATTTGAGGCAATTCCTTGGGAAATGTCTGTTGATGCTGAGCCAAGAACTGTGCAAAGTGCATCGCTATTATTCTCAGTAGGACTATTTGAGGAACGAGGTATGAGTTCCACGTTCACAGCCGACGGAAATGGCTCCCAGTCACTTAATTCCGCCGATGGCCCGCTTGAAAAGATTAGCAATGAACAAAAAGATACATTCCATCTTTCATCACGATAGACTTAGACTTACATTCCGAAATTACAGCGGCAAGCGTCTAAGAATAACACACCATCCAAATCCATAGATTCCCTCAGCAAAGAACTCGCATGAGAAAACAAGGCATCCACTCGTCGCGATATGGGCACACTCTCCTTGACGGTAATAAGAGATGCACCTGGTGTCATTGTTTCCGCGGAAGCGTGTTCGTCCATGGATAAAATTTTGCGTGGCTGGTCTTCGGCAAAGCTCTCAAGTAAGGGCTGGTATGTAGCGGGTTTCGGTGGCGGAAAAGATAGAGATGTGCTTCTTGTGACTGTTGCAGAATCTTGCGTTGATTGGAGTGGTGAAGTCGTATCGGTCAATGTGCTCGATAGAGACAAGGCTTCGATATTCAGTGGAGAAACATGTAGCTCCTCTACAGATGACTGTTTGGAAAGAGTGGGCAGAATTTCTAGCCGACCAAACCCCGCTTGTATGCTTGTTGTAGATGGCTGAGCATTTTCTGGTCGACCTTTGACAAAACTGGTCAAACCTTGAACCAATCGATCCGATCGCGCGTGTGAATGCACTGTTCTAACATTCTCAAGATGACGGGCAATCGAATCGGATATCTCTTGAAGTGCTGTGACCTCGGCCTCCACAAAATCTTGTCGTGGCTTATCGTCAACCACACAGAAGCTTCCAAGTACGTACCCCGCAGGACTATATACTGGGACTTCTGCATAAAATCGAAAATAGGGCCACTCGGTGACATATGGTTTGTCCTTGAAACCCTCCTCCTTTTTAAAGTCACGAACAATAAAACGGGTTGGATTTGCGGTCATATTATCGGTATTCTGCAATTGTGGTACATCCTGACCGGTAAATAATTTCATCGCATGAGGGCAAACGCCAAAGATCAGATCCAGGGTAGTAACCCCAAGATATATGCCATCGTTGGGGAGATGTATATTGCTGTTGCGTAAAGATACGGAAGCCGTAGCTTCCGATATTATATGCTGGTTCTGGCCATCGATCAAGGAGACGAATGCTCGATTGCAACTGAAGCGATAGACGCCTAGCTGCACCAAGGCGGTTAAGACTATGTCTTTCGAAAGCGAGGGGCCCTCGGGCTGTTCGTCGTCTTCAATTGGCGATAGAGTATCATCGGAAGAGGCGGACGGTCGACGAAAGGCGCAGTAATACCTATGGTAAATGTAAACAATCTACAAATTCCTTTCCAGAATTTGGCTGAAAGAGACGATCTTGAGAGCAAGACTACAGAGAATTCTTACCTAGACAAATCGCGAATACGTCTTTTCTCAGCGTCGGAAGGTGGCGGTTGATCGAACGCTGCATTGATCGGCTGCGCTGCCATCGTCGTATCTTCTTGCCGTATCGGTTCGTCTGGTATTTATGCGCGAGCGAACGTGCCAGCGCTGAGCACGTTGCGCATTGGTGTGTGGGATAAGCAAGCCGCGCTGCTGAACATCTTGATGGCCGCAAGGACCGACAGAAATCAGGTAAGAAGAATCCGAGAAAGAGCAAAGAAAAAGACTCGCAGAGATGGAGCCTTCGAGAACGCTGAAATCGGGATAGTCAGTGTTGGGAAGGAAACTGCCCACACTTGGAAGGCACGATGGACTCGGCGAGTCTCGACCATTCCGAATGAGACGCTAGTCTGATTATGACATTGACAGTGCGGGGCTTGGTACTTCTCATTGGCTTCCTGACCACTCACCGCCTGTAGGGTAAGTTCAACCGACGGCACGTGAGTGGCCCAGACTCTTTTCCGCCCGCATTGACGTCACCATGCAGAATCTACTTTATACCCGATTGGGCCTTGAACAGGGCTAGGGTTGCATGACTTATAGCAGGTACTTGAGGTACAGAAGGGTACGTGCGGGTACAACTTGAACGTGGTACGAATAAAAATGCAGCACAAAAACGTCGACGGTTAAGAAGTTTTTACACCATACATTGTTTTTATAGACCTTAACATCCGTCTAGTGCGACGATGAATTCCCCACCGTTCATCAGCCAGTTCTGGGCAGACTAATACGACCTACATCAAATATCATGCTTGATTATGCTCGATTCACGAACAAATCCGATACGTGAACCAGATTTCGATATCGTGATTGGAAATCCGTCACACCAGTACACATGTAGTAATGCATTTATTGTTCAAGTTGAACCATTCGCGTACGCTGGCCGAAGATATGATCTATGGCATACAGGAGAAAGCCATTCCTCGCACAAAGTATGATAGGTATCGAAGTACATGGCCGATCCATGGAAAATAGAATTACCGGTTCTTGCAAGGCACCCGCGACTCGGGTATATCGTCGATCCAGGGTTTTGGCTTTCAAGCGTTGTTTTTGGAAGAATCAATGCTAAAACTGGCTACAAAAGGACGCGGAAATAGCTTTTCTTTCAGCTTAGTAAATTCCTTGCTTGAGGATCTAGTGTCGACCAAATTGGATCGTGACACACCCCTGCCAATCTGCGACCTAGTCAGACCATCGCGCAGACTTTATTTTAATCGGAGATCGCAGGTTGCAGAAAGGCGCATTAGTGAAGAATCCTGCCATTCTGTAGTCGACAAAATACCAGATATTCACACTATAACCTGCTTACCAATAACTAAAGTTTTCCCTTGATGCCCTCCTGCTCTTCCAACTCTAAAAGCAGCGATCCCTCTGCTACATCCACCCCTTGACTACTACTCACTTGCGCATCGTTACCGGCAGCAAGATTAAAGACCCATCTCACAATCCCAGCTCGATGACTCCGTATTTCCAGCTCCATTTTCATCTGCTTGACGAATGCGACTACTTGGTTCGGCACGATCTCGTCCCCAGGCGCTACTAAGACTTCGATCAGTTTGCCAGAAAGAGGAAATATGATGTGGTTTTTGTTGCTTGGGTCTCCGCGACGGTGGCTTAATGATGTTAGTGCTAATGCGGACGCGTTTGTTTCTGCCAAGTGGATTCGATATCTCTGTGTAGAAGTTGAGGGCACACCAGGCCCGTCGTTGGATGAGGATGAGGATGAGGAGTATTCGATCTCGGCGGTGAGTGAGGAAGGGAAATCATTCCTGAGAACTCGAGTAATGAGGAGATGTGATTGTATGGCTGATCGAGAATTTCCACGACTGGACTGGTCTTTTAATGGCTCTAATGTAAGTGACCATGCATCTCCTTTTCGGAACAGGACGGAAGAAGAGGAGGTGACTAGATTCGCCAACGATGGTCGAGAGGTGTCCGATGGAAGATTCATTTGGCTGAGCTGTCTTTCTCCTGTAACGTTACCAACCTCTATAAGAGTAGAAACATTCTTCTCGAGCCACTGCGTATCTATGCGACCCTCAAGGAAATCTTCATGGTTCACTATGCCGCGCAACAGGCTAAGATTTGTTTTGACACCTGCAATGACCACATCTGCCAATAACCGCCTAGCTTTGCGTACAACAGAATTCCAAGTTTGAGCTGTTACGATAATCTTGGCCAATAAGTTATCGTAATCCGGTCCCACCTTTGTCGGATTTCTTGCCGATACATGGCTATCCACTCGCACGCCTAGTCCTCCTGGTATGATCAGCTGCGTAATAGTTCCAATGCTGAGCCCGAAATTCGATTCTGGGTCTTCAGCACATAATCTGAGCTGAATAGAGTGCTTTCTTGGTGATCGATCACCCGGGGTCAAGTATCGAGATTGCAGCTCAGTCAACGTCGCTCCTTGAGCTAGCAGCAGCTGCGTCTGAACGAGATCAACGTCCGAAATACATTCGGTAATAGTATGTTCGACTTGTAAACGCGGATTGATCTCTAAGAAATAGAATTCTTGCAATAGGTCATTCACCAGGAACTCAAATGTACCGAGGGAGAAATAGCGGGCCTGTGGAAAAGGGCGCATTGAGTCTCGTGATCTTGATCAAGTATTCCAAGCGACTTACGTGCTTCGCCATCCTGACTGCAGCATCTATGACCCGGTCAATCAACGCCCTATCCTCAATTGCCGATGGTGCAATTTCCACGATCTTCTGGAATCGACGTTGAACGCTGCAGTCTCGCTCCCACACATGCATCACTTCCCCAGAACCGTCACCGATAATCTGAACCTCGACATGATGAAATCCGTCAACAGCCGCTTTCTCAGCAAACACTGTCTTTGACGGCGATTCTCCTTGTGCTCGTTCCAACGCGTTTGGTAATTCTTCGGCAGTGCACACTAGACGAATGCCCCTACCCCCTCCTCCATCAACGGCCTTGATCATGATAGGGTACCCTCCGATGCCATCAACGAACGCTTCAATATCACTTAGATTACCACTCGGTCTTCCCATTGCCGGCAAAACAGGCACATCGCATTGTGCCGCCAATCGTTTTGCTTGTAATTTATCGCTCATCTGTTCCAGAAGTTCCCATCCGGGTCCGATGACATGCACTCCAGCCTCCTCCCAAAGACGGCGTGAGAACTCACTACTTTCGCTCAGGAAACCATAACCCGGATGAATAGCATCGATTGAATGCTCTTTTGCTATATTGATCAAAAAGGGAATGTCCATGTAGCATGATGCAGAAGGTAGCAGGATTGAGTGGTCCGGCGCGCCGATCTCGCAGTGAGAAAAGTCTTCTTGAGTGTAGATTGCGAATGTAAGAATATTGACGCCATCTTCTGCGAGGGGTAGCTCGCGAATCGCCTGGAGAATGCGGATTGCTATCTCGCCTCTGCACTCCGTTAGTATTTATACAATATCTCGTCCCGTTAGTTGTGACATTGACACACCTATTGGCGACTAAGATTCGCCGAATCGGCCTTGTTGGTGGCCTCATTGAGTATGCTGCTTGTCGAACAACTGACGAATTTCCTCCATACGTATTTCAATACCAAATGTAAGAAATATACATGATCTTAAAACAAGCAAAAAATATAGCGCCGGCTATTGGCATGCGGGGAGAGCTCTTTCCAAAGTAGCTTTCCCCGCACAAGTTGAAGATCCGAGGTTCTTTTCAACCAAGTCTCTATAGCCGAGTAGATTTGACTACAGCTTAATGAAAAACTCTTGGATTTTATATATTTACACCATAATTGAGAATCATTTCAAGAGCCGAGACTGACATTTCAGAGACTAGTCCCCGCACAATGAAGGATCCAACTGGGAAACCAGCTGGGCTTTCAAACAAAGCTGCAGGACGACTGACACAAATTTCTGCACATGTCTCGAAGACTAGTACACAAAGTCCCACCCTTCAAAATGATAAATCAGATCACAGTCTGCCTGCAGACCATTCCGACATCCTCACAACGCTCTCCACCTTAAGGCAAATCGCAAGCACGCCCGATCCAACTCGACGAGGCTATGTGCGCCAGAAACAAGCCGGTAAATTGTGGGTTCGTGAACGAATAGACCAACTCCTCGACCCGGGCACATTCCGAGAAGTCGGCTCTGTTTCCGGTACAGTGAAATGGGAACCCATCGAGGGATACGCGCGAGAACGACCCATCAGTTTCATACCGAGCAATAATATCCAGGGTACCGGAAAGTTGCAAGGAAGAGATGTGCTACTCACAGCCGATGACTTCAGTATTCGTGGTGGACATGCGGATGGTGCGACGATTGAGAAAACGGTGTATATCGAGAAAATGGCCATTGCGTTAAAGTTGCCGGTAATCAAGCTGGTGGATGGCAGTTCGGGAGGAGGAAGTGTTACAACGATCAAAAGGGTCGGTTGGAGTTATCTACCGCAGATTCCGCATCTGCGTCAGGTCGTGCAGCAGCTGAATATGGGGATTCCGAATCTTGGGGCTGTTGTTGGACCAGCGGTAAGAATGACTCGTTTGTACGAAATCGCTGCCACATGCTGACATTCGTGGATTCAGATTGGGTTAGGAGCCGCGAGAGTCGTAGCATGTCATTTCAGTGTCATGGCCGCAGATATCGGTAGCTTGTTCAACGCAGGACCAAAAGTCGTCGAAGGCGCGACATTTGAGGAAGGGCTTGACTTTCAAGATCTGGGCGGACCATTGATGCACTGTACCAATGGTACAATTGATAACTTAGCAGCCAACGAGGTGGAGTGCTTTCAACAGATTCGTACTGTTTTAGGATACTTGCCAAACTCGGGACTTGAAGCGCCGCCTGTCATACCCTGTAATGATCCTGAAAACAGAGAAGATCTATCATTGCGAAGTATTATACCTCGAAGACAGGCACGAATGTACAACTCAAGGGCCATCATCGACATCGTCGTTGACCAGAATTCGTGGTTTGAAATAGGAGCGCTTTGGGGCAAGACGGCGATAAATGGTTTGGCCCGTCTAGCAGGACATCCGGTGGGCATCATTTCCTTGAATTGCGAGGTGAATGGAGGTGCCTTAGATGCGCAGGGAAGTCAGAAGTTAACACGATTCTTGAAATTATGTGATGTTATGAACATTCCCGTGGTGCAATTTGTCGACGTTCGTAAGTTTATTCACTTCTTAATCATAAACACACTGAGTAACTACTGACCATGAAACAGCCGGATACGCCATCGGGACAATCGCCGAACGCACGGCTACAATGCGCTGGGGCGTCGAATTAGCAAAAGCGTACTATAGCACCACGATGCCCATATTCAGCGTCATTACGCGACGTGTATTCGGTGTAGCCGGAGGCATCATGATAGGAGCACGCGATCCACCAATGCAAGTAGCATGGCCATCAGGACATTGGGGGTCATTGCCTTTAGATGGCGGTATTGAAGTTGGACATCGCCACGAACTGATGGAAGCAGAGAAAGCGGGTAACAAGGCCGAGGTGTATCAAGCGCTCGAGGAAGAGTATAAACGACTTATGAATCCCGTGAGAACGGCGAATGCGTTTGGCGTAGAGGAAATTATTGACCCAAAGGATACAAGAGCTATATGCTGTGCTTGGATACGCCATATGTATGGAATTAATATGAAGGAGAGATTGGCTAATCGAATGTCTGGGAAGCTCCAGACTTCATTTACTTGATTCATGTATGATAATTTTCAAGACGAATAAAAATATTGATGGCAATCTGGTAGACTATGTACAGAGAATTATGTACAAACAAATAACAAAGTTCAAGTAGAAAAGGTGCTGCGTATATGCAAAGACAGCAAATAAAATCTCGCTGGAGAGACAACTCTTACGAGAGGGTGACCTTCTGGGCCTTAGCACCAGAGTGATCAGCCAAACTCAAGAAGCTAACGTCGTCATCAAGAGCCAACAAACCAGCCCAGTTGCTGGTAGCAGGGAAGGTGGTCAACTTGTTCCCCCAAGTAACACCGCCATCACTGCTAGTCAAGATCTTGATAGCCTCGCCGGAGCCACCATCCTCATCAGTCTGGAAGCTAGCAACGAGGGTACCACCGACGTTGGTGACCTGAGGAGCTTGCGCATTGTAACCGGAGGGAGCATAGACGGCCTGACGGTTACCCCAGGTAGCGCCATCGTCGGAGCTGGTGATGGAGTAAACAGAAAATTTACCACCGTTAGTCTCGGACTCGAAGACTGCGATGAGGTTGTTGCCGGAAACTTGGGTGACACCAAGCATGCCATCACGAGCATCAGTGGTATCAGCGCCAGAGATGACAGTGGCAGAGGTCCAAGTGGCACCGCCATCAGTCGAAGTACGCATCAAACTGTCCTGATCGGCTGCGGAGTTTTCGCGAGAGTAGTAAAGTTGCAGGGTAGTACCATCCTCGGCCATGCGGAGGAAGGGCTCCCAGTTTCCGTTGGTTGGGCCTGGGTCAGAGGCTGGGGTGCTGAGGTAGGCCCAAGTGGCACCGTTGTCATCAGAGTAACAGATAGTAATACGGAAGAAGGTGTAAACACCGTTTGAGCGATCGTGGTTCCTGAAGGCAACGAGGATACGTCCTGAGGGGAGTTGATATGGGTATGGGTTGTCAATATCGGTTGTAGCAGTTGGTCCTTGGGCCACCGTTCCGATTTCGGTCCAGGATACTCCCTCGTCGGTTGAGTGGGCAATGGTGATGATGCTGTCGCTGTTCGCGAATGCTGTATAAGCACTAATAATCGATCCGTCGGATAGGTAATTAGCACGAGGGTATGTGCCAGCTCCTACAACCTCCTCTGCACCAGAGAGAGCAGGAACAACGCCAGTTCGCTTGTCAACAGGAGCAGCCGATGTCGGGATAGCGATAAGGCAAAGAGCTGCGGCTGTAAGCCGTGCAAGAAATCCGTGGGCGACCATAATCTGGAGGAGTTGTCAGTAAATTCCAAGAATGAATTGCACGTTAGTATACTGACTCAAAAATATGCTGATTGAACTTCGATGCAATGTCTTTTATAAGGACTATTGTAAGTGGGAGCGATGGTCCTTTATATAGAGTCGAAAGTGCCCAGCTATATTTTGAATCGTATTCAAGAATAGATGGAACAAGTAAAATTATACAAGTCCCGAAGCTACCGAAGCTACAAATACTCCCCTGCAAACCCTAATACTACCGTTATTATGACAAAATCCCCTGCAGCCTGTGCAGCCATCAATCAAAGCTCATGGTGCAGGGGTTAGGGCCCACAAGCATGTTAGGCCCGGTTGTGGCATTGCAAAACACTACCTAGGAGTCCCCACCAGGCTACACGCTGTCAGCTAGAACATTTCCTCAGAGCCTCTGGATCAATCAGAAGCCGGGGTTCACTTCTTTGATGTTGGGGTAGGGCAGGCGATGTTACGTAGCCATACATGACCTCGACGCTTTTTAGGCCTTTTATAAGCACGGTAAGTGCCTAGATACGCTTGTTCATGTAGTGCTACCCTGGATGTTTGATTTCAATGAGATGGATGCTTTTTGGCGATTTTTACACGATTATGAGATACTACACGAATTAAAGTCGACCAACATCATTTTTTACAATGTTGGTATTTTCACTTTTTCCTAGAAGTAAAAAATATCCGATCAGCTAAATTTATCTAGGCTTGCGTCACCCTGTGGAGAACCAGCTTCAGAAGCAGGGCCTAACACGAGGAGCTGATCAGAACGCCACCATTGCGGTAGCCTATCCGACAATCCCAAAAGGAAATTTCGACTGCGATCAACACGAGCTGATCGATCTGCTAATAACCTTAAGGATAAAGTAAGGGATGAATAGGATGCACTTGACAGTGGAAACTCCGTATTTCAGTGCGTATCATATCTAAGCAAGCGGATATAATCCACATCAATGGGCCCGCGAAGATGAAACACTAAAAATATACTAACCAGGATATTCAACACTAGGGTCAGCGCTGACATAAAACCGGCAGAGGATTCAGGCTAACATCTCAAACTTTACTAAGCGACGGACGGTTTACGCAGTCAATAATATTTCATGAAGAAGTTGAAGTCGCACTTGAAATCACACTTCTTCAGCCTCCCAACGTTTGGCCGCGTTTTGAGCAACAGTTGATGTTACAGTGACTTTAGACTTTACTCATCAGATGATCCGAGGGTCCAATTGCACGCGTTCGGGTGACTACTTTTGTTGTTGTTTGCCTGGATGATTGAAAGTTCTACTCAAAGACAATCCTTTTTCATCATATTTTTCTCAAAGTACCCCGCTCTGAATCTGGACTCACTGCAAAAATGTGAATCAAATAATAGCGAGTTATCTGCTATACAACAGATTCATCCAAGATCCTATTATATACTGACTAGTATACTATGTCCACAGTAGTTCGGCTGGTTTTGTCGGATGAAAAAATCGTACCGGGTACAGATTGGACTTTGTTTGCTGTGTATAGGTATCTGGAGCAATCTTACATATGTATTCAAGAACGAATCTAGAAACCCTGACTTCCGTTCAGTTCATCGTCGTAAAACGAGGCCGGTCGGGTATTTAGTGGGATCTCACCATAAGTCAATAGGATATATTCATTCAATTTAGTGTCCAGTAATCTCCGGTTCGGTTGCTATTTACGAACATGAGACGGTATTCTTGAAAAGGCCTCCTGGTTGTGTCGTGATAGCCCGAAATAGTTTACTCATCAACTAGTGAATATGATACTACCTAGACTAGACACTAAGCCCTCCAGAAGTCCCTATAACTCAGCAGTTTTATTGCTGATCGCCTCTGAGTCACGCCCTTCGCCGAAAGCACCCAAATAGTACATGCTCGGGGAGAAAAACACCAGCTTCGCACAATGATGCCGGTTACGGCAACAGTTTGCGAAATCCTTCCGTGTGCTCTATTACTCTGCGCAATCCATAAGCATAGTCTGCTGGGTCGAGGCATATGGAAGCTATCTTCTATACCAAGAGAGGACTCTGTTTACTTCAAAAGTCCGGTCGTTCTATTTGAGCCTGATCATTCTCCTACAAATATGATTGGAATACTGTTCGTGGCCGACTGCGTTTGTCATAGATCCCGATTCTGCCATTTTTAAAGGGTGATACGCGTTTGCATAAGGTTACTTTGAAAATAGTATCAACAATCACCTCAACATATCACTTTCTCGGTACGTGTATTCAGTATCACGCAGGGCCTCTACTAGCGTCGAGCGACTGTGTCATCTTGAAGCCACACAAATGGCCAAGCTCTAGACACAAATTCAGTGGCAGTACTCAGTATTGCGTAATTAATTGAATACGCACTTCTGTGCTACTTTTCTTTTTCAATAAGTCGTGCTTACGTACCTTTGTAATATCAAAAACGCCTTTAGTACGTCTGCCATCACGTTCCCTTCAAATATAGTTCTAACATGTCTCGGCGTGGCCGAAGATTGCAAACTGCGCTATACACACATTTTGTAGCGTATAAAATTGCGCTAATTGATAAGATGAATCAAATTGCAGATGATAATGCACTGGTGCAATTCTAGAACCGAATTGGTATATAAAGAGATGTCTCATTTTGGCCCCATGAATACATGAACGCTGGAGCCGAACCGGACCATTGCTAGTGACGTTGCAGTACCTTTGTTTAAGCAATCGGGGAAATAAATTCTCATTACGAGTACATTGTGATTGCGTTTCTTGGCCAAATGAATGACCTAATTCTGTCTTGCCGAAAATGTGTTCTTACCAGTACTATATCTTCATCTTCCCGATGCAGTAAACCGAATTTGAAACCCGATCTTAATATACACACAAACTTTTGTATTCTATTTTTTATTATATTCATTGTTTTTCTGATTTTTAATCTAGTAACATACTCCCCTTCAGTTAAATGTCTGCCTAGGTATTACCTATACCTATTTGATCATATGTCAATCTTCTTGTACGTATACCGTAGCGGGGAAGAGGTGCCTATTTGAAATAGGCGTACTGACACAGAAAGTGAAATACGGTTTCTACGGCCCCGCACTCGCATTTATCGTCTCTGAGTTCGTGAAGTGCCTTGCAAAATCAGTCTCCCAGATGAATTCATCCTAGATCTCTCTCACAATCCCATACCTGAAACAAACTAGTTCCCATAAGGCTCACTGATCTGATCACGACGGTCAAAACAACCACAACCTGTCGAAGCCTAACTTTTGAAATTTCTCCACAACCACCGATTTATCTGCCTCGGACTGTGTGTCAGGTTATTCGTCAGCTTTCAAGGTATCGCCCAATACCAACAAAGCATGGCGGGCAGCCAAAATGCGCCACAGCTGGGCCTCCAGTAATCAACCATACGCGACCACGCGATCCAACTTGAAGCAGACATACGCACCTTGAAGGAATACCGAATCAATCCAGTAGGCAAAAATCGCACAGTGAACTAGAATATGATTGAACCACTACTCGAAAGCTATATCAGCTATCTGCAGAAGACACAGGACCTCCCAACCACAAGCGAATTGACGGCCGCAGTGCACGCGACAGCAAGCGCTCAGCAGATTCTCAGCAGATTCTCAGCAAAGACGTCACGGAAATCAAGAACATCCTCGCAGCTCCAGCCAGGAAATCGAGCATCCCTAGCTACGCGCAAGTACTGAAGGACCCCTACGTAGTAAAGCCCACCGTGCAGACACGCCCATCGATGGGTCACCGGGAAATCCTAGTCAAACTGAATCCGACGGACGTAGAAAGACAGGCTCAACGAGCAACAGCAATAGAGATTAAGCAAAAGATAAATAACACTTTTGCGGATCACCAGGACCCCGATTTGAAGAAAACGCAAGTACTAGCAGTGAAACGGCATCCTAGTGGAGACCTGACGCTTTCAAGTCCGATAGAAGGAGCACAGGGCGTATGATAGCATATAGGGAGGACTGGCAGAGGATACTAGGGGAAAAAGCTGAGGTTAAGGTCCCAACATATGGAACTATCATACACGGAGTCAGTACACAAGTAGAAGCTCACAATAAAGCAGAAATTGATGATAAGATTCGATAGAATAACCCATCATTAGAACAGGCAAATGTACTGTACTCCGGGCGGTTGAAACGCAATCTTGGGGAGAAGCAAGCCTCCACCATGGTTGTGGAGTTCGATCGCGAAGAGGACGCGGACCATGCGACGGAGAACGGCATTGTGTTTGGAGCACAGATTTTTAACTGCGAGTACTATAGCCGGACCAGCAAGGCTCGACAATGCTTCAGATGCCAAAAGTATAGACATATAGGGATTCATTGCAAAGCCTAGGAAACATGCGGGTATTGTGCGGACCGCATGGCACCAAGGCGTGTAATGAGAGATAAACCTGGCTCGCAGCCAGTATGTCCAAACTGCTCTAAGAGTCAACCATCATGGAGCATCCATTGCGAAAACCGGAAAGAGACAATTGCCAGAATCGAGGAAAGAAGGATGAATATGCCACGTACACATAAGGAGGCCCTCTTCGATGAGGGATTTTCACAGGAAAACCCGAACAATCCAAGGAGACACACCGCGGAGCAAAGGAGAATAGCCGAGCTACAGGAGAAGCAGCTATTCTTAATGCTCTAAGAAACCAGAAGAGAGGAACATCACTTAGGAAGATTACAAGGATTGATGGAAACCAGGGAACGGGCGACACTACGAGAAGAGTGCTCCAGGAACTAGATCGCAACGCTCTCCCCATGCCTGGAACAAGCAAGAAACGGGCACTGCCAGTTACAACAGAACACAGACTTATAACATCTCAGGAATCTATTATGTCAACCGGACCTCTCGATGAATAGAAAAATACTGACAGTCCTACGATATAATATCAACAAGTCGCGTGAAAGGGTAATGGCTCTATTACTAGCCGATAAGAATGTATGGAAATACGATATCATTGCTATTTAGGAACCATGGAGGAACCAGTTCCAGACCACCACATATCACCCGGTTAAAGACCGCTTTGATCTAGTCTACAATGAACACCCAAACACACGAGTCTGCTTCTTTATCAACAGTCAGTTAAGAGGAGCATGGACACACAGCCACCATACGCCCGACCTAGACATCACCATCATCGTCGTCCTCGAGTGTCAACTTTCAAGGGCGGCGTCAAGGGCACCAAAAAGCCATGCTTTGGCTATAATTATAGTGATATCAACTACAGATACTGCATTATATCTTATAGTATGATGTGAGGAGTCATTATTTGTAATTATAAGAAAATGTATACTGCAAATATAGACGATATTAGATCCCGACACGATACATACACACACATACACAGCGACGGAGGGAAGTAAGTTGACTCTACAACATGGCGAATTCAACAAAAATCCCAACAAAGACACCAAATACGACTTTGGCACCAAGATGAAGATGACTAAAATGCGAGCCCGAATTGGCATAACTGGTCGAGCAGGTCACCGAGGACTCCGACTTGTTTGTCGCAGTCATTATGGTCTGCTGGAAGGATTTACAGTCAATATCAGCATCCGAATTAACCGAGATTTGCTCGATTGACGTTAAATTTGGGAGTTGGACACTAAAGATCCTATCAGTATAGTATCTTGGCGCATCATAATAAGGTACCGCGACATACCTCGTGATATTGCCTGTTAACATTATGTTTGACGCTTCCTGAAAAGGCAAGTTGACGTCCAACCGGTCATAAGCATTGATAGCAAGCGAGCCAATATTACTTATGTCGGGTATCGATAAACTGAGGCTGTGTAAGAATGTGGCTCCCGTACTGGAAATTGGTCAAGAATGTTACCTTCCAATATTTCCTTCGAAACTTAGAGACCCTCCTTCTGGAAGGTATTTCAGCTCGGGGAAGGATATGTTAATCGCCGGTCCTCCAGATGTGAGGAGTTGTATTGCGTAATAAAATCCTCCGATTCCAGTGACGTTTGTGAGCTTCGGCATGTCAAAGCTACATCCTTACCGTCAGCATCATGGGGTCAGCTATTGCTTAGGGCTAGTAAAGGGTATCACCTAGAGAATCTTCCCTCCAGATCCATTTCACCTGCCTTCTCAAGCGCAGGGAAGGAGAGACCCAGAGAGCCATTGGGTGAAATATCTGGATCGCAATTGTCTCTGTTGCAGATCCGGAAATGTTCGCGAACCTCTCGCAAGGAGTCGAGGCGTAAGCTATTACCCATCATTCATCGTCAGTCTCCCAAATCGGCCACTGTAGGTATTATTGATGAGTTGGATTCACCTGGAAACATTACCAGCAATACGCATATACTCTAGATCGACCAATGACCGCAGATCTACCTCGTGGGCGTGATCGATGTCTAGACTCCAATGCACCGTTTCCAGCTTCGGTGCAATGAGGCTTGTCAAGGTTGGAATGCTAGACACCTCTAGAGATCCACCAACATATTCGAGATCGGGTAAATCCATTGAGGTAGTTTGCGGGGTATTATTAGAAGGCCCACTCGATTGGTACCACTGGAGGTTTCCTGTAATGTTTCGGATGTTGGCGAGGCTGAAGCCACCGGTGTAGTCGACAGACATTAAAATTGACCCGTTGACAGTCATACAATTTGCTGTAATCGTATCTAGATCCGACTGGCTATTTACTATGTAGGCGTACCCTTCGTCTCCTAATTCTGGGGTGCAAATCTGGGCCATCGCTAAGTAAATAGGTCAGTTCTGAGACTTGGGTTAATTTGGAAGGAATAACAGGAATTCTCACCGCTGGCAAGCAGCCCAGCCGCCACGGCAAGTTGTGACATCTGTATGCGGAGAGACATCATGTCAAGGACGAATAATCACGTTGTCAAAGTTTTGGAGATCTTGTCGGGGGTAATGCTGTTCTTTAAGTTCTTTATAGCTGGGCCCATGTCTGCGACAAGGCTAGTCATGAGAGACAAAATCTAATTTTAGCTGGTTTAGGAACTATGAGACTATAGAGTTGACCTGCCCCTTTGGGTGATAGAAACCACTCCTGACCAAGACTCATCAGGATCTCGTGGAGTCTCGCCGCAGTGACTGCATCAGTGGCGATTGGCTCGGAAGACTGTCTAGCAAAAAACGAACTCAACTTTAATTCACGTTCCAAGTGCTTTTATTGGTTGTTGTACCCAAGAGTAAAAGAAGTCAGGAACGCGCAGAGATCACATGACCGCATAGACTGCCTAATTGGGAAACATGGACAGGTTAGCGCGAGGTTCCGACGAAAAGCTCTGTGTAAGTACTGCCAAGAAGGGGCAAGAAGCTAGTTTGTGGGTTCTCATTGGCCGGACTGGCGGCAGTATCAGTCACGTGAGCCTTGGCGCCACTTGGGCACTTGGCGGAACCTTGGCGGAGTCTTGGCGGATGGAAATCCTGGAATCCTGCGAAATCATATGCATTCCGTTCCACAAGCGCACTCGGTGCGCTCATCAGGCAATGTAATTTGGTCGGAAATTTATTGGATATCCTATTCTGGACCAATCGAATCATCACCCTACGCCATAAACCCTAGCATACGGTTGTCTTAAATGGTAATACTTCAATAATGCTGGAAGCCAACTCAGGCTCGATAGACAAGGACGAATCCCCTTTTTGAACCTCTGACTAGATATAATCATCAGCCATTCACTGTGATAAAGAGGTTAATCGTTCTGCTGTACCGAAAACCTCTTCCGCTCCTCTTATCTTCGAAAATCTTTGGACAGTTTTGCGAAATACGAAGACATGTCTACGAGTCTAAGATGAATGATGAGCTCAAAAAAATCACAGCATTGAGGGATACCTCGATACTTACCCGTGCTTGAGACCAAATGTTACTTCAAGGAACTGCTTCCTATTTTCAAAGTACTCGGATAGAGAGGCGCCCTTTTTCTCACATTGAGTATCCATTTGAACCGTGCTCTCAGTTCTTGTTCCCCGTATCCTTTATTTTCAATTAGAATACAGCACGTGTCCATCTCGGCACGAGATGAATCAAGTTTTGACTTCATACCCTTGAGGTAACATCTTATCACTCCGTTGAGCTCGAGCAAATGGGGATGTTGTTGAGAAAAATCCAAATTTTGTGTCAGATAATTATCGAGATTATTGTATTCGACATAGTATACGCCGAATTCGGCGCTGGTATTATAAAACCGTAAGATGGCTTTAACGGCAGAACGAGCGACTCTTGCAATCTCTAGTGCCGAGAGTGATCCTCCTACGGCAGCCATACTGAGAAACAGGTAAAGATATTAGCAATCGGTCTGGGAGATCCAAGGAAACCGAAGATCAGAACTCAAGACTGAAAGATCTTGGAAAATATAAGTTCTTTCACAAGGCTGCCCAGGTGAATCGAATGCTTTCCTGTGTTCGGCTTGTTGTCAAGCTGTGTGTATAGGACAGTCAGCCTTGCAAGAATGCCCAGCTCTCATTCGTTATTGACAGCTAAAAACGCCTACATTGCTGCATAAAAAAGGAAGCGGGACAGCTTTGAATTTGGTAGTTTTCATATTTTGTTCTTATTTCCGTTCGTTTTCAAAAGGCACGAGACGCGTAGCTCACTGCTTGCCAATTGTGTCAGCCTAGCCGTATGAGAATAGCCTCCACAGACGTGCTCTGACTTCATCCGGCCTGTCGATTGGTATTTTACAATAGATTTTCAAGGGAAATGATGGATGAGTTGTCAATAGAGGATTGATAGACCGTAAGCTTGGAAGGAACACCCAACTGTTCCTCAAACTTAGAATTGTATCGAATCACACATAGCTATACCCGCGACTTTTTAATATAGAATATATTACGTATTTGTACAGATGATAGATGTTATTAGGTTATAAATTGTGGATCGTAGGTAGCTCGTGTATCGTGGGCTGTATTATATTCACGATGGTCAGGTCACTCACATTATGTCCTCCAGCATAGACTCTAACGGACGATGACAAAACTCATTCTTTGCTCACAAACTAATCATAATCTAGTCATAAATCTCCATGCACCAATTTATATTTATACACCCTCCTGAGCAATCGAGACGTATTTAAGAACCTAGGTAAGTAGACTTTCTTATCAAGACATTGGTAGAAATCGATATCTTATTCTACTAGGTCGGAGAGAATTAGATTCGTCGAACAAAATTCCAGCCTGGCATAAATTGTAAATAAGCAAGAGTTCATTGAACTGTGTTTTGTTTACCTCTGTATTGAAGTCATAGAAAATCCTTGATTGGTAAGCTTGCTGAAAGTAAAAGATTGTTCTTAACATGAAAAGATGCCGAAAAGAGGAGACCAGGTCGTGCATGACACGCTCGCTTGACTATAGACCGACATCACTTATGATCGATCGGAACTGGAAGCTCTCCCACCACCACCAACCTTAGTGTTGCCCAAATATGTGCTATCAACATGGGTTTTTCTATCTGCTATAGTCTCTAGAATATCTTCATACAATACACAGGCCTTAGGGTTGATCTGGCCAGAGTATTTTGTATGTCTACCTGACTCCTGGTCTTGATCAAAAGTTGTATCTCGGCTCCGTATTTGTATAGGACATGTTTTCTTTTTACATGAAAGAATGAATAACTTTTTCATTTACTTGCCACTACACGGACAGAATATTATGTCATTTGAAATGCTTCATTGATACTGGTTTTTAGCCGTTCAAATGTTAGCATATGGTGTATTTATCAGATACAATTTCTTCCAAATGAGTAAACAATATCCATGGAGGTTGTACACGCATACTTTTGATGCCTAATATAAGTCCTTACTTACGACCTACATGTTCTTGTTTCTTATGCAGACAAAAAGACTTTGGTGATTCCATGCTCCAAACCATATTTCGATAAAGAAAAACTACTGCAAGATTAGGAGCAACTATGTCTCATGGGTCTGATACTAGAATAAGACATCGCATAGAGAATTAATATCCACGGAATCCTAGGCATCCGTGGACCGATCGCAGGGTCAATCTTCCCAACAATCATACATATCTTTCACCGCTAGTTGTCAGCCATAGTGTCACAGCATATGCGACTGCTGTAAGTCGATCAGTATCATTGCATTCTAGAAACATTAGACAGTATTTCAGCCTTCAAGATAGAAGCTATCAGCTCTGGCGGCGTAAGCGCCCTCAAGTGTACCCCGGAGTCCGTGGGCAGCACGACATTTTGATTCTCGCATCGCACTAGTCTAGCGGAGTGTGAGCAGCGAGCGAGAGGTTGCCAGCCCGGGGCCTTTCGAGACACCACTAACCTTTTGGGGTAATCAAGCTAGAATGCTGAAGAATCCAGGGCCTATTTCATGATCGGACATGACGACTACGGAGTAGACATTTGACAGGCATCATGAGCCAATCACTTCTTGTCCGATGCATGGGGCTATTTCGTACATTGGCGTCGGTCTATCGATAAGATAACAGCTATGTTGATCAGATCAGAACGGTCACCGAAGCACGCACGATGAATAGCATGCGGTAGCTGTCAAGATGAGTATATAGCTCTCTGTGTCTACCCCAAATACGAAGACATGAGATTCTCGGAGGAAGACGGATTGAGTGGTAATGACTGAGAGTGAGTGGATGGTTGCCTGAGAGATCAGGAAAGCGCTCGGAGTTCGTGTGCCCCACCCTTTTCTGGCAACTACGTATCTGTTCAATAATCGCACAGCAGAAGAACAGCCTTGTTCCATAGTCGAGGATAAAAGGACTTATTGCCTGTCAATTGGTGCCCCGGACATGGCTCACGTTCTCCAGACAAAACAGCTAATAAAGATGTGTGAATCTCGCACGCTCAGACCAAGTAGTAAAAGTCAACGGGCCACGGCAGACAAGTCCCGCACAGTCATCACGAATCAACCAACGAAAACACAGGCAGGCAACTCGTTGAGCGACTAACGCAGAATGCATGGGGCGAGAAGTCTCAGTGCGCGAAAGTCAACGGAGTTTCGCAATCGGAGAAAGCAATTCTGCCCCTCCTCGCCTAGGCCTGAAGGAGTCAGGACTAGACTGCAAGGGGAAATATTAGAGAAAATAAGGCGGACTACGGAGTAAGATTTTCGGAATGGCTACAAAGTAAATTCTTAGCGGATCATTAGAGCCAGTGGGAATCACGGAAAATCGATAGCTTGTCGTAATGTGCATGTTGAATTACCAAAATACGAGACTACTCGGGACTATTTCGAAAATTACTGTAGTGTGCGACCGCAAATGATGTAATTACAGTCTGCGCGAGTAATTTGACGTATTAAAATCAAATGTTCGCGAAAAAGTTCCCGGCGCTAGACCATTCTGGGCCAACAATTGGAAGGAACGACGAGCTCGCCGACTTTTTGATTATCTCTCCCCCGCCTGCTGTCCTCTTCGTTTCTGCTTCCTTCTTCATTCTTCAGTCCTCTCAAAACAACCAACCACACAACAGTATTACTATTTCTTTATCCTTCATTTATTTTTCTTCGAGTTTATTGTCGACTATTGCAGAGTAAAATGGCCGACGCACAGACAAAAGTGGCCGCTGTCCCCGGACGAGAAGAGCGCATCAAGCTGAGGTCAGCCTGCGATCGCTGCTCGCTGAACAAGATCAAGTGCAGCCAGGATAAGCCAGAGTGTCAGCGATGCAAGACCATTGGAGCGCAGTGCCATTACAGTCGGTCGATGCGAATGGGCAAACCTCGCAAGTCGGCCAAGGCGAAGGCCATGATGAATGCGAAATTGCCTGGGAAGCCAGATGTCAATGCAACCACCGATAATTCTCTGCCAGGGAATACGAACATCAATAACGACAATGTGGTGATTCCGACAACAGAACTTCCCTGGTCCGCCGATTGGACTTTCGACAGTTTGTTAGCCGCGCACGATCACATGGCAAATCCTGCCTCAGGCACCCAAGCGGACCCGTTCCGCGCTTTCTTCGACCAGCACAACAATGGCACCGCAGTTGTGTCGACTGCAGATCTCATGAACGTGGATGCGCTCTCTGCCTACAGCAACCCTCCTAGCCAGTCAGACGACGCTTTCTTGACCTTTCCTCAATCGCCGGTCGGCGCACAGAAGCCCGTCAAGGATGAGCCCGAGAATGTCTATCTCTCGCCCAGCAGCTACTATGCGCCATCGTTTGAATCGACCCTTCTTTCCACCGGATCAAGCCCTTTCGAGGACCTGGGTCCGTCTCTGTTGTCGCAGCAGAATGCTCACGACTGCACTCATCTGGCTCTGGAGACCATGACTTCAATATGTTTGCCGTCCACGGTACAGAGAACTGCTGAAGGACAGCCGCGTCCGACCATCGACCAAGTGCTCAAGATTAACAGCGAGGCTATGAAAAATGTTTCTACCATTCTTGCATGCAGCTGCGCCAAGGATTCATCTTTTCCCATGCTTCTCAGCACTATCTTCTCAAAAGCACTGGCCTGGTACCGGGCTGCAGTCGAGTCACACGATCTGCCAGACAGCAACGGCAACTGTATCAAGGAGGAAGTCGTGCATCGTCCCATCAGCGTTGGCGGTTACGAACTAGATGACGAATCCAGCGATCTGATGAAGATCCAATTGGTCCTCAACCGTTTGCGCATGATGTCCAAGCCAATCAAGCAGTACACTGAAATGTACTCGAGCTCATCGTGCTGCCACGATCAACCCATTTCGCCGCCCTCAACAGCCGGCAGTCCCACTGATACCAAGACCTCGAATGCCGCTTTTGCGGTCGGTCCAGCACAAATGTACTCGACAATGGGCAGTTTCATTCAAGGAAACCTGCAATCTACCATTGAAGAGTTGCAGTCGAAACTTGTTTCGATGGGTGGACATCTTTGATGATGTACTACTTGCCTCATTTGTGCTGCCGAGAGTTTTCCATTCAGGTTTTGTTTTGATTTGGGTCTTTTTTTCAACCTGCATTTCAGCCAGCATTTCAACAGGCGTTTTCAACTTTTCAACTTTTCAACATTTTTCAACATGATACCCTGGTCTTTGACCATTGTTTACATTTAACATGATACCCATGGTGCTCTTCCACCATTTTCAACATCAGCATTTTCAACATGATACCCGATGGTTATTACCATCTTTCAACATAATACATGGTGCTTTTCCACCATTTCAACATTGCATATTAGCGGGTGTTTTCCCCAGGTGTTTCAACATGATACAGGCTCAACGCTTATTAATGTCTCAACGACTAATGAATCAGGGATAGACTGGGACTGGAGCCCAGAGCGAAGAATTACGGCGTTTTTGTTGTTACTCTCTTTTGTATCGAAACGGCTTGTTTTATGATTATACAACTTAACGTTGTTTTACGAGTTACGGGACTTCAACACATACCCACATCCAATATTTGATGTGATTTACTATAAACTATGACCGAGTGCAGTTCGATCGCTGATGCAATCGATGATTATGTTGTACTCGAGAAATGGAATATCAACCATCGTTGATCTATTTGCTCCGACTTCTATTATATTCAACTGACCACTGGAAGGTTTTAACTAACGTGCCAAACTAACATGCCAAACTAACAAACAAAACTAACTTCACAGGAAATTCTAGATCCATGACCCTCACGCACTAACATTAGCAATAACAGTGACCTTATCATCCCATTTCGTCCCCACCGCCGCATCAACCATAAATCTTGCCACACTCGCCCTTGACACTTTCGGCATGAAGCTGACAGCCTTCTCGCCATCCTCCCCCAGCCATTCCACTTCTTCCGCAGCAGTGTTCGTCAACATGACCGGTCTAACGATCGTCGCTACGATCTTACTCCCATTGTTTCTCCCGTTTCTAGCGAGCGCCAGTAAAGTATCCTCCGCCCCTTTGTGGTCGATAAACTGCTTCGCCAAAGGCGTCACTTTCACAAGCCCTCTCATCAAGAAATTGAGATTGGAAAACGACTTCCCTACCCCCATCGCAGACATGTATACCACCTTCGTCCTCTCCACAGCCGATTCTTTCAGAGCTTGAGCAATGTTTCTCGCGACATGCGTCAAGAACGGCGTTCCCTGCTCATCGAATACGGCACCCTTGACGTGTGCAAGTGTTATTATAACCGCGTCCGGCGCGCGAGGTGTCGCTAATGCTTTTCGGATGTCCTCGATATTGGAAGGTGTGCCTTGCACGAGACTTAGGCCGGAACGGGATGTGATGCTGGATGGGTTGCGGACGAGGGCTGTCACGGTGTGGCCTTGATCTTGTTGCAGGATGTTGTCGATGACTTGGCTGCCTGTCTGGCCGCTGCCGCCTGCGATGAAGAAGTGCATGATTGTTCGAGTGTAAAACTATAACCGGATAGGTGTTGCGATTCGATCAATTGATTAATGCTGTGCAAATGAATCTTTGCTCGTGCGTAGATGTAGAAATTTCAACTGCTCCGACAGAAAAATATTCGTCCCTTGAACACGGAAAACCTTCATATATATAGAAATCCATTTTTACCAAATATGCCCAAGGGTTGTCTCTGTTCGATATCCACTATCATCCAAATCCCTGTATGTACCATTAAGCTCTAAAAGACATGATGGTAGGTTACAAATCACCCTCGGCTTTGTCGGGGTTATCTAAGCTTCTTTTTTCAATCCGCCCGTTTTATCTGTTTAAAGCACTTTTCTCCGAAGATCGGTCCGAAAAGGGATTCTAGGGCCGAGAATTGGTAAGATTCTTTTGTCAGCTCTTTTAGGCTCGTTTACTTCATCAATCGGACTGTGTAGTTTAAATATATAGTTTTACAAGCAGATGGAATGAATATTTCCCTAGTTTCATTCATATGTAATTCCGATTTACATCAAACTCTCATTCTCCCATACATTTCCTTGACTGTTGACAATCACGACGAAGCCGGCGTAATCCTAGGCACAACCTTGTTCTCAAAATAATTCTCATTTGCCATCTTCACTGCCGTCGCCGTATATTCATCTATATCCTCCGTCTCAGGAATTGAAAGCAACGCATTCGCACTGCTTGGATGCGTCCCCGCACCATCCGGAAAGAACGTACGCGCATACAACGCAAGCCCAAACCCGCGCCTGTCACCCTTTTGAAGCATCTGTTTACCAAACGCGAACCTAGCGGCAGAAGGCTGATTTGAGATTTTCCATTCGTCACGACTGGTGCCTGTGACGCGGAGCAGGGAGGCGAAGATGTCTTGTTGATTGACGTAGAACGAAGAGATAAAAGCGAACTTATTCCTGAACGATGACACCGTCGTTGCCGAGCTGTCGTCTGACGTTATCGGCAATGAAAGAAGGTTTGCAACTGCTTTACCGATTTGAGGCCATGTCGAGGTGTGAATCTTCACGTCTCCGCTGTCGTAGAATGTGGCCTCTTTATTCTTAATGTCGAATCCGAATGACCACCCACCAACAGAGAGACTGTACTCATACCAATAACCCGTTGCAATACCAATCCACGAGGACTTCCCCAATTCTTCAATCAATTTGCGTTGCGCCTTTTTCGGGAATCCGGTCAAAGTATCTTTGTTGACTACGTCGTTATCGGAGTTGTAGCCAAACTCATTGGGTAGGATCCAGGGTACTTCGGCCTCGGCGGCGGCTTTGATGAGTCGATCTGCTTCGTCGGTCGCGAGGACAGATAGACTATAAATTAGAGCGTCGTGGCCGCGGAGGGCATCGACGAGAGTCGAGGGTTCGGCGTAGTTGATGTGTGCGACGGTCACGCCGGAGGGGATGGGGTTTTTGCTGTCGGAGCGGGTGAGGGCGGTGATTTGGTGTTTCCCAGTTGAGAGGAGAGCGTTGGTCAGGTAGGTGCCTACTTGACCGCCAGCCTATACGATAGCTGAGGTTAGAAATTGATGGTGTGAAGTCGATGCTGGTATGGCTTACCCCGACAATCGCTACTTTTTCGATATAGTTCTTGCCTGACATGTTGGTCGTACTTTTCTATTATGCTTGCTTGAAGTGCTCTAATCAATCTTGTTGCTTGCTCAAATCAATTCAATCCTGATTGCAGTGAGGTATGCCCATTTTATATCCATCCTTCTATAAATACATTAGACCTTACAAGCACTTCCGGGTGAATTGCGATCAGTAGCTCCGCTCATCCCTGACAACTTACGTATCCCCAGGAAATCAACCAGCCATCTCCGAAATATCTAAATAATGCACACAATGCACACTATAGACATGACAATGAGCATGCACCTACAGATCTTCAAGTAACGCTGATTGGTGCATATAAAAGGAGCATCGGGGGTGAGGTTCGACCGACAACCGCCCCCACTGACCTGGGGCTGCGAAATATTGAAGCAATCGTGGCGGGGKATTGAGCAATTTCATTGTTCATTTTTTCAATGACGTTTGAGCTTCACCATCAAGGTGATGAGATTATTGAAGCCTGTCCGGAAGTAAGCGGCCAATTAATAGGTCTACCAAGATTGTTCGCTATTCCAAATACATGCACGTCGATCCTCGTATATGAATAACAAATAGCTATGTACATTCAGGTTATGGACATTCAGATCCCTTCGGAGGAATCTCAATCACTCCCCTCTGTACCTTGAGACGCCACTGCATCGTTTTTAGCGTATGATACAAAAACGTCTGTGTCGGCATCGCAACTCCGCGAGATGTGCCCTCGCGCAACGGTGCTCCGACGATGTTTTCGAATTCGATCAGATTCCCCTATCAAAATTACGTCAGCCTAGTTTCCAAATTGTAAACGTGAATATGAGGGTGTGCTGTGCGTACTTTCAGTACATCCTCCGCCATACTAGGTCTCAAATACATCGTCAACGGATCAATATTGATCATCCGCTCTGCTACGCCATCCGGTAAGTTGACACCACATGCTCTAGCAGCTTCTACGATTTCATCCATGGCCGGTCGAACGAGTGTCGCCACGGCGTCGTCCGCAAGTCTGATTGTTCCCGTATCAAGTCCCGTTATTGCGCATATAGGATTTAAGCATGCGTTGTAGACCAGCTTCTGCCAGCGATAGAACGGCACATCAGGCTCAAAGGTGCAGTCTGTTTTACCGCTGGCGGAATACATTTTGACAAAGTCCTGCGCAATTCGGTCTTGTTGTTCCTGCGGAACATTGGGGTTTGAGAACGCGCCGATCACGAGGCGATCTGGATCTTCGTGTTCGATGACTGCTGTACTCGTTTCGTGGGATCCTATGAGACTGATACCGGATAAGACTGTGTTCTGAGGAAATGCTTCCAGAAAAGGTTTCTCAATATGCAGCCCATTCTGGATGAGGACGATGGTTGTTCGGCCGGGTGTTACGGCTGGKGCGATTAGTTCGGCGCACGTTGGGTGGCTGTCTGCGACGTTTTTGGTCGTTACGATGATGTAGTCGAATTCATGCTGCTCGCTTGATGGGATTTTATTTATCACTGCCGTACGGTCAGTATCGTGTATGTGCATGTAGCGGCGTGGATATACCAACCTTGAGACGGTCTCCAGTTCTTTATATCGCCATGATCGCACGATTTGATGTGAAACCCCTCGTTTACGACTTTTTCGTAGTTTGATCGAAGCACAGCTGTAACTCTAGCCAGCCCCCCGATCTCCAGGTTCAACGCCGCGATCGTGCCGACGCCACCACTTCCAACGAGGAGGATTTCAGCTTTTTCCGCCATTTTGAACCTCGATAGTCTAAATCAGTTCCTTTTGAAACTTGGCCTGCTGTTGATTTCCCGGTTATAAAGCTGTTTTAATCAAGTCTGCAATTCGGCCATGCCTTCCCAAAAGAAAATGCTTGAAGCGGCTATTCTTTCCGAATTAGGAAAAGCATGGGCTCGATAACGATGAGAATTTGATGCCGAATAGCTGATAAGTGCGATCTTATCTACGGTTTGGGGCACTCTAGAGTCATAAGTTTTTGCAAGGAAACTCGGAGTTGGTGTTCCTATCCTTCTTTGGATACGATGCTCGATCAACAGTCCCCGCTTCGTGGTTCGGCTCATAGCGGCACTAAGATCAGATAGTTGTTACATCGTCGGTATACAAGATTGGTCGTACGACTCGGGGTCATTGGTCTTTTGTCAATGTAGTAAACTCTATGTCTCTGTGCAGGCGTGCAATACCTGCGATTCCATCAGGGTGGGTAGTCCTCATCAACAATATCATATCAAAAGACGGAGAGTGAGTGTATTTAATATGGCCGGAGCTTAATACTTGGGTGCGGATAGATTAAAGAAGGTTTAAAGGAGTCAGAAACGGGTGCTGTGGTTGGGTCTACCAGGTAGTACTGAAAGCTTTGACGCAATCGCTCTATTAAAGACAAGTCGATCACCTTATCCTGATTTGTCTAACAACGTTCTACTGGACTGGGATATATTCCCGAGAGCTTGATCTATATTGACCTACAGTTAATGAAAATTCAGAAAAGTTCCCAAATCATTCAACGGGTCTAGCCGCTGATGCTTGACTGCAGAGATCTTACTGCCTTACTGCTTTACTAGACATCGCCGACTACCACAAGCGTACATACTCACCCAGTCTCCGCCATATTGGTCGACTGTAATAAGCATCCAATTGCTGGATCTCTTCTGTCGTAAGTTCCCGGCGACCAGTAACCAAGTCTGCAGTCATCGGATCCTGCCATTTCGTGCGCATGATAACTTTGTAGGCGAGCGTGAACATGACTATAACAAGCAAGCCGATGGTATAGGAGAAGAAATTGTACGCTGTGAAGCCTCCACCGCCCTACTTATGCATTAGATCCTATCTATAAAGTCACGACCTGAATCAAATTTACTAATGGAGCGCAACTGGCATAAATCAGACAAACCAGCAATATAGTAGAGATTGTCAAGGATACAACCGGCGCCAAAGGCCAGAAAGTTGATTTCCATCCATATTGTCGTTCGAAGATTGGCATTTTCTGAGCTTTGATGGCAGCCCGAAAGCGGAATGATGTGAATGCAATGATGGACCAGTTGAGGAAGAAAGAGGCACTTGTGATTGAGATCAGCCAGTTGAGAACCTCCAATCCATTTGCTGTTTATGATTAGCGACTGGTATAAACAATTGTAAGCGTCTGGGAAACTCACCACTTAGACTCATATAAGTCAACACGATAGCAAAAAGGGCAGTAATACCCAACGCCCATCGAGGTCTCCCTTTCGAGTCTACCTTGGCAATGAATCCAGGTAACAGCTTTTGGACAGCCATTGTTCGCAACACTCTGGACGGTAGGTAAATGCATTCCAGTGCAATCGCCACAATGCCTACAATCATACACGCATTCATAAAGTCCGGTACGCCCTTGATCCCTGCATTCTGGACAGCAATTACAAATGGCGAGCTGGTAACTCCCGAACCACCAAAAAGATCTGGGTCGTCTGACGGTACGAGAATTGTAACGAAAACGATGCATACTAGATAGAATACGCCTGTTCGCCACGGGATCAGGTTTGCCGCATGTGCCATAGAGAAGCGCGGTGATTTAGCCTCTCCGCCCATGACGCCGATGAAGACTTGGTCACCGACTGCCCAGATAGCGAGGAGGGCGGCGTTGGAGAAGCCCTGAAGTACAGTCAGTACCTAGATATACCTTCACACGTTCAACGAACAATGGGTAGATAAACTTACACCAAATCCGTGTTTAAATGCTGGAAAGTTAGTCCAGTTACTTCCATCCACAACTTTACCCGTAGGACCGGCACCGCCGATGACAGCCAGCGACATAATGATGATAAAGATGAACAAGAATGCTTTGACCAAAGATCCAAAGTACTGAAGCCAAGCAAAAAAGCGATTTGGCAACAAAAACACAGATAGACAGGCGAGTAGGAAGATGGTCACTTAAGAACTCCCGATTTAGCATCTGCACACTGTAGTAACAAGAGAGAATGACATACACAAAGCCGCCTCCGGAACAGCATCTTTGGCCCAGTAGTTGATTAGTACGACACAGAATGTAGCCTCTGCGGCAAATACGGATGTCCATCCTGACGTATCGTATCAGTATAACGGGGTTGTGTGCTGAATACAGGCATAAGAGGAGAACGTACCAAGCCACTCAGCAAACCCTGCACCAAACGCCAATGCAGGGTCTACCCATCGGCCTGCATAGTCTATGTAATTCCCCGAGGTCGGAAAAGCAATTGTCATTTCAGTCAGAGTCTGAAGATTGGCCCATATGCCGATACAGACCATGAAATAAGCAAGCAGCATACTAGCAGGGCCTGCATCAGCGAGGGCTTTGCCTGTTGCGATGAAGAGGCCGCTGCCCACACTTGAGCCGAGCGAGATTACCTACATTGCGAGGCAATTGTGAGTCATGTATAAAATCAAAAGAAAATCATGTGTTGGTGAAAATTCTTACATGAACCTGTCTCGGTGTGAATGATCGGTGAAACCTTCCCAAATCCTCAGAAGTTCCATGGCCTTCCTCAACACTAATTGATTGCTGTAATGCGTGCGTCTGTTTTTCATTTTTATCGGCACCATAAGCTGATAGCGGTGGGTAATTAATCATGTTGTCCTCCATTCTGGTAGTGTTTATTTGAAGAGTAGTATAAATTTCTCAAAACTGGACCAAAAGTCGAACACAGATAGCATATAATCGCGGAAATTCAAAACAACTGCTAATGACATGACACCACGAAATATGCAGTGAAATACTTAGGATTTTGTACACCTGATTCATCATTTGTTTATCAATTCTATCTAGCTATCTCGGAACGAATACATTCATATTGTGTTTCGGGATCTTCGTTATCTGATATCAGAAATCTCAATCAACCAATCTTAGGCATTCGGTCTTAGCCTTCCTATTTCAGAGAGATAGGGAAAAGTCAAAGCTTTAACCCCGCTTAGGCTGGGGAATGTGGAGCCCGTAGTATGCTCATTGATTTTCGATTATATGTGGAATTTCACAAGCATGAAAAAAATGAATACACATTTTGCGACGCAATAAACCTCGTGAACCAGATCGCTTCTGACATACTCACAGAATGGCTCCCTCATACGATGATGATGTAGTGTCCGACATCCAAGTTAACAAAAAGGCGACGCCGTTAGAAAAGCTCTCCCAAGGAGTGCCAATTCCTGGGGTTCCCAGCTTTACAGATATCGAAGTTGAAAGACAATTCATGCTCAATCATATGGCCGGTGCTTTTCGGGTCTTTGCGCGTGCTGGATTTGTTGAGGGCATGGCCGGACATATTTCAGTTCGAGACCCGGAATTTCCTGATAAATTCTGGACGAATCCGTAAGAAATGACAAATTGAAAATGTTTTGAGAGATCTGACTGACAAACATCGCTTAGTCTCGGTCTTCATTTCGCTCTCGTGAATCCTTCGGATATGATACTTGTCAATGAAAAAGGCGTCGCAGTAGGAGGCAATACTAGTCGACCAGCAAATGCCGCCGGATTCCTTATCCACAGTGCCCTTCACCGAGCTCGGCCGGATGTCAATGCAGCCTGCCACTTCCACAGCATCTACGGAAAAGCGTGGTCAGCGTTTGCTGAGCCTTTGGAAATGCTGAACCAAGATGTGGCTATGTTTTACGGAAATGCGCAACAGGTATACCGTAAATTTGGCGGTATCGTTTTCGAAGAAGAGGAGTCTACTGCGTTGGCAGATAGTCTCGGAACGGAAGGAAAAGGGTTAATATTGAGAAATCATGGGCTCTTGACTGTTGGTGGGACGGTGGATGAAGCGGCATATTTGTTTATGCTGATGGAAAAGAGCTGTCAAATACAACTTGCTGCAGATGCAGCTGCGGCTTGCGGACGGAAGAAGGTTTATATTGATGATGACGCGGCCAAGTATACGTTTGATAATACAAGCCATCCGGTAAGTATTTTAATCTGCTTGTTAGTAGATGTCATCATTGACTGTGCTAATACCCTTGTAGGATAGCCTTTATGCAGAGTTTCAAATCTATCTGCAATACGAGTCGGCCGTTTCACATGATGGGTACAAAATGGCATGAAGTACCCCTGACAAATTTTTGATGACCTCTTCTATGGGTCATACGATAGTACTCGTAAAGTTCACTCAAGAAAACGCAAAAGATTTACTACTTGCATACTGCTACTCGCATACTTAGTTAGTATATGAATTGCAAAGCTGAAAATAAAGCTATTCCACTATTTCGTGTCCCACTTGATAGGTTGTACAAGATATAACAAATTATTCTATGTCAGTACCAAGATTCTTAAGTCACTAGACTCCTTCAAAATCCTATTCCAAGAAAGATTGTCATTCCCCGTGTCACTTCTCGCATCCCAAACTTTCTGTATCGCCTGACGTGCAACTAAAAACATACGAAAACCGCTGTCTTGAGCCGAACGTTCCATCCAAGCACTAATTTCATTTCGCGTCTTAAGTTTCATAGCTTCACATCCTGCAATAAATCCGGGCCAGCATGTATTCGATGATTTGTCATGATACTTTTCTTTCATTTTGTCGAACTCCATAAGATGGTAGATGGTTCGCTCTACGTATGGCTGAACTGCAGCGATATGCAAATCTCTGACACTCCGATAGAAGTATATCATGAGAGCTGCATACATCGCTTGTACAAAGTGATGGGGAAATTGTTCCTTGAGAGGTCGATGAACTGGTAGCATACCCACAGTATCGTTGTAGTCCCAGCTGCAGATCTTATTTTCAAGGTCGATTATTTTGTATGCTAGCACGCCATCCCCAACCAGGACCACTTTGTCACGCGAGGATATCTTCTCGACTTCACCTGCCAGCTGTGTCGTTTGCATGATCAATTTGAACAATGACTCTGGTATGGAGTATATCTGCTCAAAGATGGATTTCGGAAAGTATAATATTTCTGCTGCTAGCATTTGGTCACTGAACTGATCATTTGGCGAAGACTGCACTAACGTATCCCATGTCGGAAGTTGTTGGGAAGGTGATACCGTGTCTTGAGTATCGACTTCTTGCCCGCCTATAACGGCGAAGCCTTGTGTTTGAGTATCGGGACACCTGGTAAGGATGCAGAGATAAAGGTAAATGCTATGGAGCATCTGCACTTTGCGAGATTTGACTAATTTCGGCATGCCATAGATACGAATATATCGACCAACGTCACGCAGGTAATGTGCAGCATTCTTCATATCCCCACTCACCACCTAGACCATAGATTAACGTGTTAGTGATTTGAATGTATTAGTCTTTGCAGCAAGAGTCCACTTACACAGATGGTGATCATGCTAAGCAATGCCATAAGAATATCTTTATATTTTTCTTTCTTTGTCTGTGTCGACGAAAGTATAAGAAGTGAACACTTCAGTCTCTTGATTGCTCTTTCTCGATATATTCGGCCTAGTTTGCCTCGTTCTCTTGATTGCCCTTCGCTTGCACTAATATTGGAGCTCCTAAGACCATCTAGATTAAAGGCACTGATAGCCAGAGCGGAAAACATGAGCGAAACTTTTGCGTCGCTCCCATTGCCGCTTAGTACAATGTCTCCGACGGTAGTGAGAATGCTTGGAATGTATAGTGTTTTCCACGGACTTTTGTATGGGACCTCTGCTGGGGTGAGACGTGGAACGAGAGTGTTTTGATAGTGATCGAGAAGCAGTTTTACTGTGGACATGTCGATATCCTTGAGGTCTGCCGCGCATTCGGATGATATTCTAGGTGGCATGAGACTTGGTATGAATGGTAGAAAATCGGTGGATAGCGCTGACGATGTTTCATCTTGTCGAGTTATATCATCGAAAATCTCTAGAAATTGTGAATTGTCTTCTTGTGGTGATGAGGTCAATGTTTGGTTTATGTATTTGCTCGTTTGGAGTATAGTATCATCAAGTGCACACTCAAAGTTGGGGAATGTATTATTCCACGAGTCCATTTGATACGGACTTGGAGGACTTTCCGCGGTATCTATTGTTTGGGCCTTAAATATCTGAAAAGGACCAACCCCAGAATCTTCATATTGGCCCGCGGCAATTGCTACCTGTTTCCGGTCAATAGACTCCAGCATTACCTCAATAGGCTCTCGGGAAACGAGATCAAGAAGATCAGTCGCATTCTGAGCTTGTTGATGTGCTAAGTCCTCGGAAATCAGTCAAATTGCACCAAGAAATGATCTATGTCAACATTACCTTTGAACAGTGGTCGACGTCTAGCATGCGTCTCAGTATCCTCATCACCATGACCTTCATCAAATGCCGCGGTCGTCTTTGGCCTCATCCACAATATGCGGGGTCGAGACTCTGGCGCAAGACACTTTAGACCACTTTTACTACATGACGAGCATTTCGGTCTGATTCGGTCACATCGGATTTTTTTGGAACGACAATTGGAGCATGATCTTTCGCCTCTGGTTTGAGCTAGCATTTCTCTTGGGGTTCAAGTCTGTTAGTCACTTCCGGAGACGATTTCTTGATCAGTTGGATTAAGTTTTGATAGGACAAAGTCTCCAGATATGAACAATAGAGGGTTGGTGGAGCGAAGATAGCAGAGATAAGACATGGCACAGGCCTCAGGCATCACTATTGCTTTATCAGGCATCCCGGCTCCACATTCCTAACTCATCATTTAGGGCTAATTGGCAGCTGATAACGATAAGGAGACAGATTTACCATTTGATCATGACTCACTCGTCCTTTGTTATATCAAGCTAAACCTCTGGAGGATTGCGCATTTGACAGGTTGTAAATCAAGGTTGTGATTGTTTCTCAGATTACTATATCACCGAATAACGAACAATGGCCGTCAAACCTGGAGTTCAGCGGATCGATCGCAACAACGAGGAGGCTATCATCCAAGCCATAATACAGGATGGCTGTGTTATCATCAAGAATTTTACAGACTCTGAAACTGTCCAAGCAGCCAATGCGGAAGTCAAGCCATACCTGGAAGCCGATAAGCCTTGGAAGGTCAAAATCACATCTTCGTAATCTCAGACGCACTTCAATCAACTGACGCATCCCAGGGCGATCTGTTTCCGCCAGAAACGCGTCGATGTGCCAACCTGATTGGAAGGAGCAAAACTGCTCGGGACAAATGGCTCGTTGATCCTCTTGTTCAGAAGCTAACTAGTACGTTCGTGGACAAAACCACTTCCAACTTTTACGGCGAAACGAAGCATACCTATACCAGTAAAGCGATCTGCTCTATTGCAATGACTTTCGACATCGGGCCCGGTGCAAAGGCACAACGGTTGCATCGTGACGATAAGAACTTTCACGTTGATCATATCGATCAGAGTGCCATGGGGTACCGTCTCGGCTCTGATGTCATGATGAATATTATGGTTCCTGGGGTGAGGACAACATATGAAAACGGAGCCACTCTAGCAGTCCCTGGAAGTCACCTATGGGGTCAAGACAGGGCACCAAAGACACAGGAAGCAATATGTGCAGAAATGGATGTTACCGATGCTTGGGTTATGCTAGGAGGACTCTATCATGCGGGTGGAGCAAATACAACCGAAAATGACCGTCGAATCCTACACGGCTTCTTTTTCTGTCGTGGATATTTAAGGCAGGAGGAAAATGCTTACTTGGCCAACTCCACAGAAGACGTTCTCTCATGGTCTCCTGAAGTGCAGAGAATTATGGGATATGAATTATCAAGCCCCAATATTGGGTTTGTTATGTTTAGAACACCACTGCAACATTTGCGGGGGGAGAATTCGGACACATTTGGAGATTTTGATCCATCTCAGGAAGGAAAGTAACTAGTGGTCAATCAAAGGCCATAACCCTCGTATAAAATTAATTGTCTTTATCACCTCTCAGGAAAAGGTGTCATGCACTTATAATTTGGTATTCTGACTTCAGAGAGATATGCCTGAAATTCGATTTACGATTAGTAGGTTCTAGTGGTAATTTAGGGGTTGGAAACGAGCTCTTTGTTGTGTAACACACTATTCACCAGTACATTATTAGAAAACATGGTGTGTATTTGCCTACTATGCTGCACAAGACATCCTGATGCATGCCAAATACCTAGGAAAGATAAGTAGTATCAACCCAATCAGCATAGTCGTCTCCCAGAATGGCAGTAATTTCAATCGCCGCACTAAGCTTAGTCGCGAAACTGGCACGAGTGCCCTCTGATCCAGCGCCCGAATTGTCGTACTCGCCGAAAAGAACATCTTCGGTGTTTGGCTCGGAGCTGGACCATTCTTCCCAGCCTGCGCTGTTGATGACATTGCTCATGGAGGTGTATTGGAAGACGACTCTGGCGTATTCACTCCAAGGGCGCCCTAATTACTAGTCAGCGTGTTTCAAGAGAAAAGATGGTATAGGTAAGGACTAACCCAAGTAATAAGATCCACTTGCGACAGTTTGGCCACTAGCAGCGGCAATGTTAGAGTTGTTGATCACGTAGTACGAAGCATCGCTAGAGGATGAACGTCCGTTAGCTGTAATTGTGCCGACACTCCTAGCAACAACACCAATGTCGCAATCGTCGAACCAGGCAGTAGCATGTTGACCGAAAATAAAGTCACTAAATATATATTAGCTTTCATCATCGTAACACTGCGAATTAGTATTTTGACGTACATTGCACCCTCGATATAACTCTTTGCGTATACCTGGTTTCCGGTTTCCGCCAGTACCGTGTCTATAAGATCTTCCGTTAAATTCCTTGGTTCTGTTTATACTGATCAGTCTTGACTTACCTTGATAACCGATGAATTGGCAAGCATAGTATCCCTGATCAGTTGCATAGGCACTCAAAGCAAGAGCTTGCGCACCGGATCCGTAGCTGTTCTCGATATTGATATTGTAAACTCTTGACTTTGCGGCATAGTTTCGAAGAGTTGCTGTAAACAGATTGTTAATCAATATATATCTCATTTCTCAAAACACGTACCACTCAAATCGTCACTTCCGGCCTCCGTTGCAGAAAGACCGTAGGTAAGAGTTACCAGGTTGGAGGAGTATGAACTCGTACTTTGCTAGATTCAGCATCGGTTCTATTCAAAAATTTTCATGGTTCGATCAAAGCTCACTCTTCAGTCTGGCCGTAGATGATAAGTTCACCCGCAAGACTAGGGATGTAGACTTGTTCATCATAGGTACCCTCCTCAATGAAGATGGTTTGAGTAGATGTTGAAGTCTTGCTGAGTGCCGCTACTGCCGCGCTGATCTGTGTTGTGTTACTTGCGAGTTCTTCGTACTTGTGTAGCTCCTTTGTACGTACGGTTGAATATGTGCCTCCAGACTTTGCTACGACAAGAGATCCAGATGGCGCTGTCATTCGACTGGTAGCCAGAGCCGAAATGGCAAACGAGAGCGAGAGAATAAACGTCTTCATCATGATGAGACTTTGTAGAAGTTAAGCTTTCACTGTGTCTGATGGATGCCCTAGATTATTGTGTTATTTTTCGAGCAGGAAGTATACGCCTGAATTTATTTATAGTGTTTCAATAATACCTACAACATGATCTATTGTCAACGACAATCCGCTTGACCTGACGGTGAAACTTGAACAAACACGTAAGCACATGACTGAAATATGGAAAATTCTCCACCATTCACCTTCGACTTACAATGAAATGAAACGGGCTCCGCATGTTTAAGTTCTAGCTACAATCAGAAGCGGCCGAATCTCAGTTCGGAAAGTCTCCGAGATGAACGTTTCAAGGTTGGCAATGATGACGTTACTTAAGACAAGGAGAATATAGCAGTACCTACCCTTGAAAAATACGGAAAATAAAAGTGACAAGCTTTCTCTACAATAATGCCATGTGTGTGGATCAAGTGCCGGGTTCCCACAGTGCTTAAATCAACCCAGCGATCTTTGAAACACAGGGGGGTCTCTGATTGATTAAAGACGGGTCTTTTCATGAAGTGTGCCCACATGCCAATCAAAGCGTTCCGGATATACTAGGCTTTGTGCGAAGATGATCAACAGTGTTTTTAGGCAAAATCTGTTTACGTCTTAGATTGATAAGATGTCGAGTTCCTATGTGGCTTCTGAGTGAACATGTGCTAGAAACATTTTTCCGCGAGTCACGGTCGATCTTATCCTTCTAGCAGATGGAAAAATTAATACTTGAATATGGAGATGTTTGTGAGGGGTATTACCGGTGCCTATATGGACCATTAAGAAGAGATTCGTAATTCGCCTAAAACACATCTTTCCACAATTTTTTGATTAAAGCCACAACTCATATTTTCTATTCTATGTTGACTTTATTTGTTTGATCGTATGTCTATAAACGCATAATTACCCCATATCTAGGCTCGAATATGGCTTCAAATGTGTGCTTAAATATGAGCGTGAATGAATGGGGATACGCACTCAAAAAAATAGAAGCGCTGAGCGCTTTAATACACCAAGATAAAATGTGGTAAGAGCTAGAAATATATATTAATTCTTCATACAGTTAGTCTATCTGATCTATCATCAAAATGTTTACGGGCGCGTGACACAGGGGTTTGTGTTAGGTGCAGTGTCTTCACAGAAAAAGTGAACGTATTTAGTCCACGGATCTTGCTCTATTTGAGTTTCTTATTCAGGTAGTGTCGGGCAAAACTCCTTGCAGAAATCGTTCCAGTATGAAAAGGTCCAAATGGACTGGCTCTCTACGCTCTTTTGATGGGATAGCTGAACTACTCAAACCTGGTGGCTTATATTATAATATAATATTATTTAATGCATATTTACTTTCAATGAGGCTACCGTTTCAAAACCTGGAAGCATGCGAGCACACTCACTTTTTAACTGAGCAGATGAACTCCGAGCCTTCACAGGACATTGGTTTGGGCAAACATTTGAAGGCTTCTACGATTGTGAATATATTACCACCATAGACTAATTTAAAGGGGGGGCTCCACCGTTATTAAAAGCGAACAACGTCCCGAACCGACTCTAATCCGCCCTGACATTCATGAATGTCCAGTTTGGAGCAGTGCCGACACCGCTAAAACACAGATATAGCAATGGTCGAAGCGGACATCAGTAACCAGTCAAGATATAGATAAATGGCGACGAATATGTTTCCACAGGCGTAACATCGAATGGATACAGGAACTTTCTCTATCGACTTGGATATACTCTATAAAAACTTGGGATGAAACAAAACTTCGCGAAGAAAATGACATTCAATTTGACGATATACTGTTACAGGCATGGATGGAAGCCCTGCTCACGGGGATGCTCTCGATACCTATTACGATTCCCGAGAAAAGGATCGTGAGTTTTAGACACAATCTGAAGTATAGAACTTACGAGAATACCTCGCGTACTTCTCGTGCGCTTACGAGAAAGGTCAACAATTTGTTGTTCGACGTGTACCAGCATTTTATAGAGCTATTGGTATCAACTCTACGATCATTTGAATGGCTTAGGGCGGATGAGGTTTCTTCACGACCTGTAGTTTATCTTTATTGCACTGCTATTCTGATCATTGTCATCACCTGCAAATTCCAGACATCGTTGATGGATAATGGTCGATTGGCTTCTTTACAACCACCGAGTGACTCAAATTCTTGGGAGATTACCTTTGAACAGTTGTGCGGGGTAGAGTCTGCGTTCAAAAATAGTATTCTATTTGCCGACCACAAAAATACTTCGATATCGGATACAAAATTGTTAAATATCAACAAGACGTCGAGGAATTTCATAAATCAAACATGGAACGAGTCTTTATTATGTATTTTGATTTTATCAAGGGAAATCAGTCAGACATTCGATAATATTACTACTAATATCAACACTGGATTGTTATCAGACCGATAACACAGTCTTGAACTGTGCAAACCTACCTAGTACTGCGTCGTATATCGAGATGTGCATGGAGGAATTTTTGCTGAATAGTAATAGTGCTCATTGCCAGTTCTTAATTGTCCTTATTCTTATAAATTACGGCTCTTTTCCTTTGTAATCTTTGCATTGCAGAGATTACCGTGCCCTTTCCTGGGAACTACTAGCTATAAAAATAAGGATAACTCCATGCTATTTCTTTAAGTGACGAATGCCACCGTATCCCGTGTCTGATGCGAAACTAATCACATCGATACACCCGTGATGTAGGTACTTCATTACTCGATTTTTTTTTTCCATATAGAAAAGATGGTGGCTATGTCCTTCGTACTAAAAGTCTATTTGCAATACGCTTTGTTCGGATTGTGGCGGTGCAGCTGAATACTACGATGTCCACGGATACCTAGATAGCATCTGCCTACCACCTACTCACTTCTGAAAATATATAGTCAGTCTCTCGTATCTAGTTAATACTCCGCAACCAACCATCAAGAATAATCAATGTCTACACCAAACGATCTACGCATTTCACGAACGCTGGGGGCCCTCTTAGGCGTCCACTGCGGGGACTCACTAGGCGCCACCCTTGAATTCCAGCCCTGGTCACACATTATAAGAGATTACCCCAACGGCTTGCGCGAAATCATTGGGGGCGGCTGCTTCAACTGGCCGGTTGGCCATGCGACGGATGACACCGATCTAACCCGAGCAGTCCTCCTAGCCTACCGAGACTATGAGGAAACTAAACAAGCTGGAAACATCCAGTCGGTGGATAAGTTTAATGTCGCCAAAGCAGCAGCTGAGTACTCGCTCAAATGGAATGAGGGCGACTGGCCAGGTCGCAAGAAAGGGTCCCGTCCAATTGACATTGGGAACGCTACGAGAACTGGCTTACAGCAGTTTAAGAGGTCAAAAGACCCAACGAAAGCTGGCGCAGGGATTGGCAGTGCGGGAAATGGAAGTTTGATGCGGTGTATTCCGACTGCGCTATTTGCGTCAAATGAGAGGCGACAAAACGAGTCGATAGCGATCAGCGAGTTCACTCACAATGATCCGAGATGCACGGTCGCTTGCGCAGCATATAACGAGATCGTTGCTGCTCTTGTTAATGACCGGACGCCGCGAGAAGCTGTAGAAATTGGCAAGAAGGTTGCAAACGATTTGGACTGCGCGAAGGTTACAGATGCTATCATTGAGGGAGAGACGCTTCCTTTGGCGAAGATCGCTAGTGGGGGTACCCGGGATACATCGTTTACTCCGTCTGGGTATGTCCTCAATAGCCTAAAGCTTGCGATTGCGGCCTTGCTAGATTCGAGGTCTTTTGAGGAAGTGTTAGTAGATGTCGTGCGGATCGGAGGAGATAGTGATACAAACGGGGCCATTGCAGGCGGTCTTTTGGGTGCGAGAGACGGAATAGAGAACATCCCGGAACGATGGTTGGAGAAACTGCAGTTTCGGAAGGAATTCGAGGATATGACGAAGCGCATTCTACAACTGCAAGAGAGAGTGAACAAAGCATCCTAGTGCGCAAGGCAGCGCGTAAAGGTACATTGATGCTCTAGAACTTGTACTAGAGTCAGCTAGTAAGGAATTTCATGAGATCCCCAAATAGTTATTAGTTACATATGTATTTCGATATGAATAAACAGAAATCTGTATTGTAGAGGTTTTTCGACAGTATACCAATTTGACGAATGAGAGCACAGCGTATCTTTAAAACGTTCTCGTGGAAAAAGAAGTTTACTAGTGCCTATGTGGATTCCGATTGTTTGTCAGTAAACGAGCTGAATTTCCGAGTCAATAGCGCGAACTGTTTCATCAATATCCTCTACTTTTTCACACTCTCAGTAAAAACTTGAGGAGTTCCATTCACCACGAACAAAAATCTCTGATTCTATATTCCTGGGTACCTGTAACATGGGCCTGGCATCTTTACCGTCAGAATTGATTCTGTACCTTAGCAACTACCTCTCCGACGACAGTCTCAATGGACTAATACGCACCCGAAAATCATTTGCTCACCTTCTGACTCCGATACTGTACGAACAAATCTTCGCCTCTGGAAAGAAGCATCTGCGACCACAAGTTGATCTTCCCGACTTGGATCCATACAATTTACCATTATCATGGCATCACTGCGTCAGCCGTTGGGAATCCGATTTGCTTTTGGGGTACATTCGCTCAAAACCGGCGGAATTTTTAATGAGCATTGACGGTACAAGTCAAACATTGCTTCATGTAGTAGCTCGCTCAGAGAATATATTAATTGCAAACATACTCGTTCATGAGAAGTGTTTGAAAATAAATAGCGAGGCGCCACATGTCGGGGTACCGTTATTCCAAGCGATCCGAAACGAGAAGGTAGCCATGTTTAAATGGCTGATCTGTAACGGAGCAGATATTACGAGACTAGATCCTCGCGGTCGAACTGTGTTAGAAGAAACGGCTTTGTTTAGTTCAGGCGTTATGGTCCGATTTGTTCTGGATACGCTGAAGGAGCAGGGACATGAAGTGACGTCGAACACTCTGGATAAAGCTCTACATTGTTCACTCTACTCTGGCCGGGAGCTTGCAGTGCGTACACTTCTCGATCATGGTGCTGATCCCTCATCAGTGGATGGCTACGGCACCACCGCCCTAGAAGCTGCGGCAGTACACGGCCATGAGAACATTGTCCACATTCTACTTGACTCTGGCGCGAATCCATTACCTTTAGATACCTTTGGCCGATCTGCACTTACCTGCGCCGCAGATGGGAAGTGCAGTTGGGAAACCACGCGAAGGATTCTCGATGCTGTTCTCAAGGCCGGAGGTGATATAAAACAAGTGCATATACTGTCAAGTTTTGCGTCTCAGGTCTGTGTACCAGCAGTAAAAGAGCTACTTAGCTATGGTGTCGACGTACTATCTCCCAATGAATCTGGGGTAACGGCGTTACATATGGCCTTGTACCGCTATTCTGAAAATCTTACGTCAAAAGATCGAGAACACTACGAGCAAGTATGTAAAATACTTATTAAAGCTACCAACAGTGCCGTTCAGGACGGAGGAGAGTTTGATCATAATCTGCCGCGCATAGAGCCTTTGAGAGGTGGAACATCTTTACACCTTGCTGCAAAGTGCGATTCAGAGACTGTGATGCGCATGCTTATTGAAAGTGGCGTTGATACAAATATCCTTGATCTTGATGGGAAGTCTGCATTGGACATTGCTATTCTTGCTGGCCATAAGAGTATTGCTCGTCTGCTTGAGTCTCGACCAGTGGGCTGACAATGTTAAGTATTGATTCAAGTTACTTGTCTCTATTTCAGACTAGGTCTTCCATAACTGGTTGTTTTCTATAACTGAGTAGGCATTGCAATTAAAGACCAATTATGCTTTCATTATTATTATAAGCCTATAATTCACGTTGCACCCATTCATTAATGTTTCCCTTTACTTCCAAAACGTTTGCATGAAGAAACTTCCTAATTCAAAAAGATACTAGTAAGTTTGTAAGTAATAATCTTCCACATATTCAAACTGGTCAGCCTCTTGTCTCCCATCGTCATGGTCAGAATTATTCTCCGGCTTCTTCCTTAATTATCTATACTGTCAATGTCATGGCTTGACTTTTCAAACAAAAGATATCAGCCCTCATTATGAGCACGAGGATTGCAAGTTCACAAAAGTCCCTACCATCAAGAGGTTGCTTAGAGTAAATAAGGGGAATTCTTGGTTTCAAAGGTCTTTCTTTGCTTTAGGCAAAGTTTGCCCAGTTTACATAATATTTATTTGGATAACATCCATCATCCAGAAATTTTCAAAATCAGTCTATTTTCATGTAACACAAAGTACCAGAAATACGCAGGCCCATCACAGTCTCCCACAAAATTTCAGATATATTATTAACAAAAATGAAAAGCTTCCTTGGCCTCTCCGGAGAGGTCCTCAACATGTAAATCTGATCTCCACGGAAAAGCCACTAGATCTCTGGTCCCCTTTTCTCAGCGAGTGGTTACATATTGACCTTTTGTACACGAATACAACTAATGCCCGGGAATACAGCTCTCTAATGTACTAATAAATCGTATTCGATCTCTCGATGCACTCACCTGTGCATACAGCCAAGTTTCTCGATTAAATCGTCGAAAGCGCAAAGCGTATCCAGTGTCTTCACATTCGATTGCCGAAAGTGTTTCAGGACAGTGATGGGCTATTTATTCCAGACCAAAGTGGTCAAATCCTCGATCAGATTCAAACTTATGCACTGTCGTTCCAGTCTGTGAGTTTGATGGGAGAGTTTCACCGTATCTTGGTGGTGTCGAAAAGGCTAGCTTTTTATTGTCCCTAGTGAATGATGGATTGCAAGAATTTCCATCGCTCGAGTTGATCACCGTCGCAATTCCTCACGTATACCGCGCCTTTGAGTCAAGTATTTCGGCATCGATATGGATGGGAAGTGACTGAGGTGGAACACTGGATCGATGACGCATGGTCTCCCCGGCGAAACAGCGAGAGTAGTGAAATCGACGATGATTCTTCTTGGGTGGGCGGAGGCTTGACTGAAGATGTTCACGATGACAACACTACTGGATTTGATGGCGGATCTGAGGACGGGTTAGGCGAGGATGAAGGAAGCGGTGGTACTGAGGGTCTCCAGGTAAAAGAGAATAATGATAATGTTGTGATAAACACTAGACAAGGCGCAAACAGTGCCTAGTAGATGATTCTGGCCGTAACACAAGGTACCAGATTTGACGAGGGTTGCTTATCGAAGACAGTTGCGACGATGGCGTCAGAGGTAGTAGTCTGCTTGTATGATCAATATCAATGCCATTCGATCCGACGTTCGATTCCCTGTATGTAGTAGCAATGATCTTGCTCTTAAGCGCTGAGATGTTGAAGATTGCGAGACAGATGACGGCTTTTCTGTGGCCCACAACGATATCGCAGTGGATGATTACTATTTTCATATCAGGTCAAGCGAGAAAGTCATTAGATTTGATGTTTATATATCTGACGAGAGTCAAAGTGAGAATGATATCAAGATATCCGCAGTGTTGTTGACGAGTATAGTAAGATGAGGTATGTCATCACATTGTACAGATAAGACATAGTCAACAAAGAACTGCTTCATTCTTAAAATAAATAGATCTGAATTTGATTATGACCTGCATGAGACAAAACAGTCAAAAGATGGTGAGCTGACTGGGTTTTCCCGACAAAGTCGCGTTGGTAAACAAAGGCCCGTCCACCTTCATCAACCGTTTGCCCAGCATATAAACACCCAACTTCCTATTTCTCAAGAGAACCCACGACCTACCTTCTCCCACATTTTCACCTACAACAATCAAAATCGCAGCGCTCACAAACAACATGATCGGATTCCTCGATCTCCCAGGCGAGATTCGCAACCTGATTTACGACCATCTGCTCGCGTTTGAAGGGCCCATTGCGTTTTGGGCGAAAAACAATTCGCTGCCTGTCAACCTTCTCTATGTCAACAACAAGACCATTTACCGCGAGTTCAGCTCTCTGTTCTATTCGCGGATCACGTTCGACTTCAGCTCGCGTGGCCCCGACTGCGAAGGACGCCAATGTTGCGCTTGTTTGACCAAAAAGACGACCTCATTCCTCGATCAGATTGGCCAAAACGCGAGATATATTCAGTGCATCGAAATTGACTTTCCCAGCCTCAATCTCGAGGAAGATGAGCACTGGTGCGAAGCTTTGATCTCCGAATACAGCCTTGAAGTTGTCAACAAAATCGCAAGCAGCTGTCCTGATCTGAAACATTTAATATTGGGCCCGAACCACACATTGAACGCTCTACTAGACCTTGCGGTTATGGAACCAGATGAAACTTTTGAGCTACTACATAGAGTTGACCGTTGTATCCACAGAATTCGATCTCTTGATTTGATGATCTGGGTGAGGATTCCTGGTTGTGAGGAGTTTTCCGAATTGATAGAGGATATGGAGTCTATTTTTGATTGGAACGTCGATGTTATCGACCCGATTGACTTTGAATGGATGACTGATGAGGAGGAGGACGAACAGGACGACGAAGATGAGGATGACAGTGACAACGATGACGACGCATCCGATGACTTCGAGGCCTCCGATAACGACGAAAGTGCGGACCATAATAGGGATGGTGAGGACAACGGCCAAAATGACGAGAAAAACGAAATCGGCAACGAAAGGGAGGAACCATGAAGGGGGGTGTCATTGGTCGCCCTCGTGCAAAGTCAACTTTCACAATTCAGCAATTTAACAAATTTGTGAAGTGTACGAGTAGGAGCTGCGATGATGTCTCATGTTCTTAGCTATGTATTGTATCAAGACTACTTATCTATTTGAAACACGATCTCATCATATTGTATTGAGACTTTCTATTCCGCTCTTTGAGCGGCGTATTTGACATGACTAAAATGTTGAACTTGACCGTGACGGCATATTTGGGCTCCAAAAAGGCACGCCTCCTTCTACGATAATCCGAAGACCATCAAGGATGAGAATATGACAGTTGACACCAGTCCTATCATTGAGATGGAAGCTCTGGGGATTAATCATATTAGGGACAGAGTTATACTCTTCTTTCTCGAATGGCTTAAGCTCAAATGATCATGATTGCTAGTGAATTCCTATCATACGAAGAAGTCCGTTGATATGAAAATATGATATATCAGATCATATGCACGTGATGATAGACTCATTTATTTTCTTTATGAATTTTCTTTCAGGTTCACTCCCCAGGTCCTATTCAGAAACCATGCAACTTCTTTCTACAGTGGACATCTCTATACGATTTTCCATTCCTGGATAGACAATTTTTTTTTGCTTATATCACAGAACATAAATTGATAATCAAGCAGAATGTTCGAGTCCCTCAAGCTTCCTGGAGAGATCCGCGCCATCGTCCACGAGAATCCACTTGTCGAAAAACCTGTCAGAGGAACACGGGAAAACAAGCCGCCCCTCCATCTCAATCTCGCATACACGACCAAGACCAAGACCATCCACTGTGAAACGACCTCGTTGTTTAATTCTCGAACCTTATTCGACTTCAGTCGCGATGTACATAGGGGTTTTTTTAATTGTGAGATATCACGTGTTGACTCACACGAACAGCCCAGTTTCTGTCATAGATCGGTCACAATGCGTAGTACATTTAGTATGTCTATCATCAATTTCCAACCTCATGCTCGGATATTGACATAGGCACAGGGCATATCGATAAACACAGTCGTCATGCGTTCGATTTATTTTGAATGAGATGCCCTAATTATGTCGTCTAATAACCTTGGAACTATGTATATTCCTTCGAAGGCGAACCTGACTGGTCTTACTCCTACGCAGAAGCTCCTGAAATCTACCAGTATTCCAATGACTTTGTAGAGAAGTACGACTTGAAACACTTCCTTCACTGCATCCGGGAGGTGCATCACGCTGAATGGACTGAGGTCATCAGCAAGTGGGTGATCAAGGTCCTCAATCCCTGGTCAAGCTTTTCTCCGAGGTCTGGGGTGACCTTCTGGTTAATGTTGTAGGGTCCGTTCCATAATCCTGCATGAGACAATCGATTAGGTGGATTTGCCAAATCTCTTTGTCTGGTTGGACCACCGATTAATTTGTGTGTGTGTTACTTAGATGTCATCGAAAATCGAGTTGATCTTAAGGTTGACAGCTCGTGAGATCACTTTGACACCTAGAGAATAGCCCATTGAAAGAACTATCTGCCATGTATGTTTTCGGAGGTCCAGATTCTTCCCTGGCTCCAAGGTAAGCACTCCACTTCCACTTTGATTCTTGGTTGAAGTAGCTAAACACCAGAAATCCAGCGCACGTGACTGCCTACAGTCGGCTCTTCGATGGATCATTCATGTGCACGATGGTGAGTATCACGACTTTGAGTATCACGGCTTCTCCGATGATGAGGTTGCAGTCCAGCGCGACGGTTCGTATGGCAATGACGACCGATTGGCAGACAAGGGGGTGCCGTAATTTGCCTTTGTATGTCGTCGAGGTACGGTAAGTTCCATGTCCCACAGATATAGTATAATGCTGATGTAAAATATTTGTAATGTATTAAGATATACCTCAAGCAGCGATCCGTAAACCGCCCGAGGTAGAAAGAATAGAATTATTGGAATGACAACTCTTAGAGTCAATTACTAAATATGTAGAGATTGCTAGTTGAAAAAGGTAATTCTGATTGTATCATTCAAGTTCCAGGGCCTAGAGAAATATGGGGAAATTATAATTGAAATTTTCTAAAGATCTAGATCAGTATCAACCTACGACAAAATACCTCAAATTTATCTCAAGATTACACTTTCATATCTGCCTTATTTCTACATAGTGCAATCATATATTTAGAAACTCTCACGCGCTAGGCAGCAAGTGAAGTATTCTTATGAGCGGCCTAAGTTCGTGAATATACATAACGTTCTTACATATTTCTCTATTTGTACATTGCCTACGAACTCCTAGAAAGAAATCATTCCTCTTTTTAAATGATGAAATTTCTAGATGCTGATCAAAATGACGATTGCAACGGAAATAAAACTCATTCAACAGCCGAAATTGAAGAGGTAATTGAACGGTCACTCGTGCCTGAATGGCTCAAAAAGATCGGTAACTCAACATGCTCATTTCGTCAGAGAAACTTTGGAATGGAACATGATGTGTTGATTTATTCATGATGATTCCATCACAGCGCTGATGTTCAATTATAAAAAGTGGCATCGAGAGCCGTCTGACAAGGGAATTTTCAACTCTCCAACCGACACTTCCATCGACTATAGGCTTGCCGAAGACCATAACACTCCTCTACTCGATTATTCAATTCTAACCAACATGAAAAATATCCCAGCCCTCATCGTTGCATTCGCAGCTTTGGCTGCCGCCGTTCCTGTTGCCTTGCAGGACGCGACAGGTACAGGTATGTCTATCTCGGACACGTATGTCAGACTACATGGATGTCTATATTGATAATCAATTAGACATTGCAAGAAAAAGAGACGACATCGGAATCAAGCCTCTTGTTGTGCCACCTGGTGCTGTGTCCACAAACTTCTTAACTCGTCGTTCGGATGGCCCTCATGACCATGACCACGACCCTGATGATGAGGACGAAGAAGAAAGACGCCGACGGAAGCAGAGAGAGGAGGAGGAGAAAAAGAGAAAGGGAAAGGGCCATGACGATGATGACGATGATGATGACGACGACGACGACGATGATGATGATGATGAGGACCGTGATCGAGACCGAGACCGGGACCACGATAAGGACCCCGATCATGACAAGGATCACGACAATGATGATGACAAGGATCATCGCAAGGATTATCACAAGTCTCGACGTGCCTTCTAAACTTGCCAGTCGCAGCTCTTGCAGCGGTTCATGCAGGCCGATGTGTCTACAGCCAGCTAGCTCAAGCATTACAGCTCGAAAGAGGAGAGGCCCTATCTTGCTAAATCTAGACTAGGTAATAGTCAATGCTTCAAAGCAAAAAGCCATGATTCTGGTAGTCAATATTCATCCAACAGCAGTATTGTGCTTGTTTAGACCGTATAAAAAAACCCCTTCTGAGTATAATGTAGCCCGGTCTAAATTAGAAGTTATACTCTAGCATTTTGTATGGTTGTCAAAAAGTAGTCATATCGAAGTCATCTTGACAACAGACGCCCAACCTTGACTAATCAACATGTAATCTTCAAAACATTTCCCCCACCCAGATTATTGATCCTGGGTTTTGACCAAGACAAATTCCTCGATGCGATATTATACCCGTTCTACTAGGTATTATCATTGTAGATATTCGCATTTAATTTGCAACAAATGATCTTTTATCTTTGTAGTACTGAATGATAATCCTGGCTGTCTGTGTGTAGATATCAACAACTCTTGATTCATCGACTTAACTTAAAAAAATGGGCTAAGGATTGGATTGAACATCTAACCTACCTCTTATGCACACTCGTTGCAATTCAAGAGAATATGACGGGTTCTCCGACTTTCTATGCAGTTGATCGGAGAGCCACACAGGCACATCTTGTCTGATTACAGCCTAGTAAAACATTCTCCCTTCAGATACAGTGAATATTGTAAAAGGTACGACTCCATGGGGCCCGCACCAATTGACTACATCTGCATATGTATCGGACATTTTTGGTGACGGTATCACCTCCCGCTTGCTATCATTAAAGCATTAAAGTAGCATTGTCAATACAATGGCATCCCTAGACATCAAGGATATTCTCGCTTATTAAATACATAAGGCTCCAAAGCTGGGTTTGTATAGATGCTTCGGCGAGATCTTTAACAGCTAGCAGACTCAGGGTTCTCACTGTTCTAAGCATAAGTGCTTTGCATGTTCAGAGTAACAACTAAAACTCTTTTCTCTTTGTCTTTGGTTCTGAGTGAGAATGAGATACATACACACTACCGTAAATGACTTGTATTGACTTTGGCACCGTGACTGTAACCCAGGAATCCTTCTTGCCCTCTCCTCCACTCCCTTTGAAGACTTAATTTTAGGAATATCAGCGATATTCTAGAATGGGACAAAGGCTTACATGATCAAGAAATCGACTGATAGATGATACGCTGACAAGCAGCGAGCAGCTAAACATTGCCCAGATTGCCAAAACTGTTGAGTATAGTCGAAAATCAATTTATTACATACAATGGAACCTCGAACAGTTTGGTAGCGCGAGCTCCCTCAATCCACCCTAGCCAACAACTAAATATTACAACGTTAATGCTAGAAGCATTGTGTATTTATTTCCTAAAAAAGCCAGCACTATACCTAGATGAGATAGCAGTCTTCTTATAGAATAAATTCAATCTACACATAACACTTAGTAGTATTAGCAGGGTTCTTACTTTAATCAGTTGATTAAGAAAGATAGCATATCAACAAACAAAAAAGCGTAATACAGACTTGCAAAATAAATATTTTAATTATATTTCCAATTTCAGCTCAGATCAGCTGCTTTCTATAGATAATTCAGAGTATGATAAACAAGCAGGATTTAGAGGCACAGCGTGGTCACCTCTAGATGTAGTACCAATCCAAGTATACAGATTTCACCATAATCAACGCTATCAGGTTTTGCCCGCTTATACCCAAAATAGTATAATTCTATCTCATATTTTTCAAGATTCAATTAACGCTATAATATTTAAGGGATTGTATTAAACAGCTTCTTATTCCCTATAAAAAATAGCCGGAGCTAGAGTCTACCCTTGTTATAGACAATATATCTTTTCATCATTCCCAACTAGATACAAGAGGTATATTTAAGAAAAGAGGTAATGATTATACGTCTATCCCTATGTTCACTAGATATAAACCTTATCAAAGAGATTTTTTACTAAGGTTAAGACATTCATCAGACAAATTAGCAACTTTATAAAGAGGACCCCAATAAAGATTTTAATAGCTTCCTAGAATGGTGTGTTGTGTGAGAACAGCTAAGATCTTGTATTGGAAAATAACTAGTTGCGCTCATCTACAGAGAATATTGAGCATGAAGAGGAGAAGAAAGAAAAAGAATCAAGCCCACCCGCTACACTAGCTCTTCATATAAGGCTCTTTGTGTGACTAGAACTTCCCAATACAGTACCGCTTCTCAATATGGCCATGCTCAGGGCCGAAGCCCTATCTCGCAATAGCTGCATGTTCCGCCTCCTTGTACGGGAAGCTCCACCATGTGGCCAAGAGCCACATGCCGTCGAACTGTGAGGTTGACCGCGTTGAGAACCGTCACATGTTGATACTGTTAGTATGCGAGAGCAAAGTACTAAGAGCCATTTCTGGAATGCAGGTCTGAAAATGGAGGAATTATGAATTAGAATAGTACGGTATTATACAAGTTCTTAAATCATTCAATCACATACTATATCACCAATCTCCTTCAAGTATCTTGAACATGTCGTCTATTGCGTTGGCCTCCTCAACTTCGTCATCCGTGTCACTGTAAACTTCGTCTTCAAAAAAAGCGTCTGGTTCATCACTCAACGTGTCTTCAAGGGATGGATACTCGAATTCAGACTCGTCATTTCCTGTTTGAATAATTAGCTACGTAACTTACTGTTTCGAAAGGCGTACCAGGCAATTCATCCAAAAGAGTGGAGAGATTGAACAATCCTCCGTCTGAAGGATTGGAAGAGAGCGTTTCATCATGTTCCCTGAATACAGGCAGAACAATTTCCTCATACCAGTGATCGTTTTCGACAAGCTCGCTCCATTCCCAGTGCCCAATAACCTCATCACTTGTAACCTCCCATAAACATAGATAGTGGTCCCTGTAATACGCCTTTGACCTCCGATAAGGATCTTGTATATCATAATAATTCATCTCGGTCATCATGTCGAGGATAGGGAGACCTTTTGCTATTCGAACATTCGGATTAATGGCGGTTATTGTTTGGGTTCCTCTCCTCTCTCGGAAACAAGCAAGTTCCTGGAGAGCAATCTTCGATGTGGTGAACGAAATAAACGGTGTCGCAGTCCAGTCTTTATGATCGGCATGCGTAGTCAAAGACTTCTTTCGAACGCCAGACGTATTTAAGCATTGACGTGGAGCTCTAGATAGCATGCGATTTGTTGCTTCAGGCTGACTACCTGAAAAGTCGTCCCAGGTTCTCAGGAGAGGCCTTTCAAACACCATAGATGGGTTAATGCTCCATGCATGCCGGTTCTCCTCATAGTTGAGAAAGGGGTTGGAGCGGGAGCCTAGAAGGTCCGAGACGGTTTCACGGTCGAGTACAGTTATATCAGTCATTGTCGTAGTGTAAAGGGGAAGTTATTATTATCGGGCCATTGCAAACTGGAGGGAAACGAGTTGCACATGTTATATCACTCCGGTAGAGCACTGCTGTCACGTGCCCGACATATAGCATACTGGCCAACCAAAAGTTATGGTACATGCCATGACAGCCATGTGACCACGTTGGGCACGAAGCTGCCCAACCCATCTGTAGAGCGGGACGATTGTCATTTCGAATTGAAAAAAGAGGAAGCAGACAGACGCTGTAATCAATTCACTTGACATTACACACAATTCCAGTATTGACATGATGGACCACTGGGCAGGTCGACATAACGGTCAATCCATCACTCGAAGGAAGCAAAGGCTCATCAGTGACTTTCCTCGCTCTACAACACCCACAAGCTGCCCATTAACATTGGAATAACCCTGCCTCTTGTAGTTTTTGGGCTGCGGTATTGCGCATACGCAGATTTGACACCCCTGTAAACTCCATATATTGCTGCCAAGACATGGGCCATTGCCATTTCTGTCCCTTCATTCCATTTTTTGCGTAGTACACCAATTACTTAAAACATAATACGGAGCAATATGTGATCGTTCCCCTCCTGGCAAGAAACATCGGTATCAAAATATTGTTGGTACTGTTAAAGTGCCATCTTATTGCAATAGCGCGGTGGAAAATAGCTCGAAAATGCTTTAGAAGGGAATAAAATCACATATAAGGTTTTCCGCTATCCCAGGCGCTCGTCTTAAAGTTAATTATACTGTAAAATAAAAGGAGGTAGCTAAGCGCGAAGGAAGTCAATCTATGCTGCATGAAACCCCATAATAAGAAATCGTCCATCACTATATCCGAGGGCAATGGTAGCGCCATTCACAGCTGAACATCTATAATGATAATAGTCAGGCGGAAGGCATATGAGCTTTTCGCCTCCCATAGAAACCCAGTTGCCTGATAAAGATACTTGGGGTTGACTTGGATTATTGTTTCCATACAAAACTGGAATAGGCTCACTCTCTGTAGGTGAAGAGTTGGCCGTAGAGTTGACCAAAATTGCGGGTTCTACGAGCGTCTGCAGCTCTTTGTCGGTTTTGACATCCCAGTGTATAATGGTCTTGTCACCTAAGACTGAGGCCAGAGTAGATCCATCAGGAGAAAATGCCACAGCTTGAATATAACCCGAGTAACCTAGTGTGCAAAGCTTTTTGCCTGCCTTAACATCCCAGAGTTTAACAGTCCTGTCGCCTGCGCCTGAAGCTAGGATTAGTCCATTAGGAGAGAAGGCCACACATAGAACCCTAAATACGTGGCCTGAAAGTGTCCACAGTATTTTACCAGTCTTGACATCCCAGAGTTTGATAGTATTATCGTCTGAGCCTGAGGCCAGGGTCGATCCATCGGGTGAGAAAGTCACAGAGTTAAGTGAATCTATGTGGCCTGTGAATGTCCGCAGCTCTTTCCCAGTCTTAACATCCCAGAGTTTGATGGTGTTTTTACCTGTGTCTGTGTATTCTGATCCATCGGGAGAGATGCCGGAGCCTGAGGCAAGGGTTGATCCATCAGGAGAGAAGGCTATAGAGTTAACCGAATCTGAGTGGCCAATGAGTGCCTGTAGCTCTTTGCCGTCCTTGACATCCCAAAATTTAATAGTCCTGTCACTCGAGCCCGAGGCCAGGATCGATCCATCAGGGGAGAAGGCAACAGAATTTACATGACGTGAATGGCCTGTGAGCGCCTGCATGCCTTTGATGGCCTTGACATCCCAGAGTTTGATGGTATTGTCATACGAGGCCGAGGCCAGCGTTGATCCATCTGGAGAGAAGGTCACGGAGTTAACAGTATCCGAGTGGCCCCTGAGCATCTGCAACTCTTTTCCTGCCTTGATATCCCAGAGTTTGATGGTATCATCAAATGAACCTGAGGCCAGGGTTGACCCGTCAGGAGAGAAGGCCACAGACCCAAGCCAGAATAGATGACCTATGAGTGTTCGCAGCTCTTTGCCGGTATTGACATCCCAGAGTCTAATAGTATTATCATTTGAGCCTGAGGCTATTATCAGAGCATCAGGAGAGAAGGCTACAGACCAGACCCTAGAGGAGTGGCCTATAAGGGTCTGCAGCTCTTTACCGGCCTTGATGTCCCAGATTTTAATTGTATTATCGTCTGAGCCTGAGGCCAGGGTCAATCCGTTAGGAGAGAACACCACAGAGCGAACTGAGTCTAAATGGCCGCTGAGTGTTTGTAGCTCTTTCCCAGCTTTGACATTCCAGAGTTTTATGACCATATCATACGAGCTAGAGGCTAGGGTCAATCCATCAGGAGAGAAGGCCACAGAGTGAATTGAGTCCGAATGGCCACTGAGCGTCCGCAACTCTTTGCCAGCCTTGATATCCCAGAGTCTGATAGTCTTGTTTGAGCTCGAGGCTAGCGTCGATCCATCAGGAGAAAAGGCCACAGATTCAACTGGATCAGAGTGGCCGACGAGTCCCTGTAACTCTTTGCCAGTCTTCATATTCCAGATTTTAATGGTATTATCACTTGAGCCTGAGGCCAAGGTGAATCCGTCAGGAGAGAAGGCCACAGAGTGAACTGGTTCTGAGTGGCCGCTGAGTGTCTGTAAATTTGAGCTCCACGTGGCTTCGACTTGTGGTAATGGATATATCCATTTTGGGATATAATTGCTGTACAACTTTCGCACAACACTCTCTTTAGGTGAAAATACGAGCCCAGAATAATAAATCTGCAGTGGAGCAGTACTAGCCATAAAGGTGTTCCTAAGGATGAATCTCCTTGCGTCATACAAAAAGTCTGAGATTTCACTGTTTGTATTGTTCTGAAGGTGTTATTACCAATCGTTATCCAGGAAGGTGAACTTGCTTACTTTGAATAACATCTGGAGCATATCAATAATTCCCACAGCTTCGAATAGAACGCCCATAAGGCTCAGTGCCTCTAACCAGTGGAGGAAATGCGTTCTCATGAAATGAAGGATAGGGAGCTCAGAAATATAGCATATACTCTGCCGAAAATGATGTACCCAGTACCGACAGGAGTATTGCAGAGTCGCGGAGAGACGCTGATTAACAACCTGGCTGTCGATATCGTTTCGCTGTGTCCCATAACTTGGTAAACCACAGATATTACGTTTGAGGCCGTCACTCATGACACGAAGGCAATGCAGTCCTATCGTCTTGTGTGTTCCTTGCTCATCCACATGGAATTTGTTTCCTGTAGTCAGGAGGTATTCTCGGAAGGACAAGTGCAGGATGCGAACTGGAGCTTCTGTGTCACTGGGTATATTAAGAACCGAGTGTAATGGATCGAGTATGTCAGTGATAGTCCGTTTGGGCAGATGAAGGAGCTGTGTAAGCGATTCAACCGAGAGAGGGCTGACAAGGTTGATGATTACACCAACAATATCTTGAAATTCCTGCAGAATTTCTGTTGAATCTTCATCATTGTCCGTGAGAAGCTGGGTCAAGACTGGCTGGTAAATCCTATCCATCTTTGTAACTGCTTGAGCTTCCAGAAGCTCTTTGAGACGTCTTTCTGGGTGTCTGCCTTGTTCAATAAAGAAACATGCAGTGGCTGCGAAAATAAACAAGGGAACCGCCATTTTGACAAGAATATCAATAGTCTCCTCTCCCGGCCAGTCATAAGTCATTTCCCGATTCTTTCTTATCATCGAAAATCTTTCTCTTAGAAAAACGCGAATATCGTCCTCGATCACTGGAATGGGGAGCTCATGCAGGTCCAGATTTTGGTAATTTTGATTTTCTTTGAAACCCAGACGGACTGGAAGTTCAGGCCGGCTCGTTAGGAATATCCGAACACGCAGTACCTTGGACTCCTGTAGCTGTGACAGGAGCTCAACGATGACAGGTATATCTTCCTTCTCGCACTCATCTAATGCATCAATCACAATAACAGTGGTTGTAGAATCGTTTGAATGTAGGTTATAAAGTGGTTGAAGAAGGAGCCTGTTAAATTGTTCCCGAAGGGATTTTGCTGAGATGTCAGGATCATCCCTGATCGCCTTCAAGACGCCTGGAGCCAGCTGTCGGTGTCTGTTAACGAGCTGTTTTGTTATAGTCGGAATCAAATACTTTGCATCACCACGATCTGCCTCGCCTTTCTTGAAGAAGAAAGTGCCACCAAGTTGCTGATTTTCTTCAAATCTTCGCGCAATCGTTCGAGCAACGGTCGATTTTCCCGTMCCCGCCATGCCGTTTAACCAGAATATGACCTTGCTGTCTGACGACTCGGCCCACTCTGTGATCTGTGAAAGGAGCCCAGTTCGGGTACTCGGCAGGCAAAATCCCTCATGTTGATTATCATACGAGTTGTAAAATGCCCCTTTTGCAACGCAGAGATTCACCAAGTTAAACTGTTCAGTAAGAAGCTGCATAGATTCAAGCAGCTCATCGACCCGGTCTAGGATGCTGTTTGACCTTTCTTCGTAGCGTAGATACTGGACTAATCCAATCCACCGGGCTATATTATCCCTTTCCTTCTCGACTAGAGCCTGGAGCTCAGTCAGTGGGTGCTTAGTAATGGCAGTAACACTATCCAGCAGCTTCCTTCCCCTACTAGGATCTTGAGCTGTTCGTATCTGTGCTGTGTAGTGTAGGATAGCCTTGTAGAGTCTGATTATGGCATCTTTTAAATCATCTTTTCTGTCGTCATTACCATTGATGTAGAATTGGTTTTCAATGTAGGCACACTGTGCGAGAACGTCCGCTAGGTACTCCGATGATTCGAATAATGTAACATGTATGTCATGATGGTTCTGCGCGACCTAAATTTTGAATCACACGTTAGCCCACCACACTACATCGAGAATCGTTCCCATACTGTCAATCCAAGAGACACAATTGCCCAAGCACTCGCTGCACGGGAAGAAGGGTCAAACGCCACAACTGAATCGACAATATCTTTAAATGATAACGCCGCGTTAATTATTTTTTGAAAGGATTCTCGAAGTTTTCTATTCACTCTTTGCTGGTAATGTTGATATTGCTTTTCAGTTAACTGAATAACCTCGCTGATGAGGCGAGCGGTCTGGGGTGGGTTCGTTTCATCATTCAACGTTCCATTGATTCTTACTGTTGACAAGATACGCTGCTCCTCGTCGCTCAGCTTATCATAAGCAGCTGACCATAGGTCTGTTGGGTCGGAGACTTGTGTTGACTGGTTCAAGTAAACACTGGATTTGCTATGACTAACCAGCAGAAGATTATTGGTAGTGCTACTTTTTGGGACATCCGCTCGGCCTGGTTCAAGGTCCACATTTTGAGAATTTTTCGGTCTGTGGAATAGGTTATGAAGGCGAAATCGGCTTCTAGATGACATCTCTACTCGTCCTGAACAACTTCCGATTTAATAGTAATGCGACTTCACAGATTGAGCTGAGGAGTTGATAGTTTGTGAGGACACAGTAGTGAGGCTGAGACCTCGTGTCTGTCATGTATAACCCCACTCTTCGATGAGCTGGCGCAGCTGGACAGGGGTATGGCGACGTGTTTTGACCAGTCACATCCGTCGTCACTTTCCCCCCAGAGCCGCATGGACATTGTAGGTTGGAGGTTGTGCCTTTCCTTCCAGCATATAATAATTTAGTACTTTACTCTAAGGTTAAGTAGATGTCAATTTGGTTTTCCATGGGCCCGCCGATGCCTTGATGGAAACCCATTCTCTTGGGTGCCTGGGTTCTTATTGACCCGAGGCCTATAGCATATTCGAAGACCTCTAGCAAATAACCCATGTAGGGGTGAGATGAGAGCTTGTATCTGTGTAATGCACGAAAATGACAGAGGCCAGAGCCCCTAGGGCTAAAGGGCCTGGGCTAGGCTACACCTGAGTCTGTCATAATGTCAGAAAAACCCATATGTTACAGTCAACAGACTACACCATCTACAGGAAGCTAATATACGATGGAAGGAAAAAGAAGATATGTGACAAGAACAAAATATAGTTAGGCTATCGATCTATAGGAAATAGATGTAATCAATACAGTAAGGTGTAACTAGGCTTAGTGCCCCGGGCGGTATAAATATTTACAGCAACTTCAATGTGAATGGTGACCTGCTAAACCTCCCTGTCTTGCACACGCCTTTCGGCACTCCTCCAAAATCTTCGCCTGCTTAGCGATATCTCCAAGTCGCCCTATGACTTGATTGTTTCCATCAAAAAAGGTAAAGATTGCGTATGGAATCTGCACATCCTCGCAAAATTCCTTGACAAACTGCTGCGTTTTGCGTAGATTGTGGCGTGGAATGCGCGGATATAAGTGATGAATTGCCTGAAATTGGAGACCACCATGGAAAAAGTCAAGCCAGGCGGGGCAGTCTACGTCCATTGTCGTTCGTAACATTTTTTGTGGGAAGCATTCATGCGGTCCAAGATCAGCAGTAGACATAGCGTAGTGGGAAAGGGTGATTTGAACATGAAGGGGCGCAGTAATCATATGAGAGATGAGGACGAATAATATGCGATTCCACCAGTCAGGAATACTAAGGTAGCAGACGCCGTAGCCGAACCAGATCCAAAAGAATMCCTGMCCAGCCAATTCAAACCACCTATGCCACCAGCCAGCCCCATATCTGGGACCGAGACCGAGATAAATATGTTCCCAACTGAGGAAATAGAGGTTGAAGCGGCCAAAAAGAAGAATTGGGTAGTACATATAGTGCTGATATCTGACTGTGAATCTAGCCATAGCATCATACTTCATGACCCTATCATGGTATGTGCTCCGAAGGCTTTCAAAAAAGCGATGCGACAAAGCAAAAAATGGCATTAGCTCAATATCAGGGTCGTGTTCTGGGGCGTTAGTAACAATGTGATGAACATTATGACTTCGCTTCCACCAGCCTAAACTAAGACCTCCTAGATAATTTGCAACAATCATGCCAATTACTGTGTCAGTTTGGAAGTCGTGTGTAATACCCATATGGCCAGCATCATGGGCAGTAAAGACAAGTTGATGCCAAAAGCAGCCGAGGAAAATGCCTGCCAAGCAGTAGTAGGACCAATTCAAACAGAAAAGGAAAAGACCGAAAAGAACAGAGTATCGAACTGCTTCTGTTATATATGCAAAGTAGTTGCAATTGTATAGCCCCGCAGCATGAATGCGCTCGTTCAGGGAACGGTATTTCTTGATGATATTGTCTTGGTGTTGCATATCGAGAGGAGGATATTTGGAATGATCCAGAACGATCTCCTCTTCAGTTCGGGCGTCGATAATATACGCTTGCGATTTTGTTTCTGCTATCAGAGGACTGGCGCTGATAGATGTGTGCATTATTGAAGTTGATCTTCGCTGTCCCAAGGTAGATAGATCATCGGATTCATCAGAATTGAGAGATGGTGTGCATGAGCTCTCCTCGCTAGACACCTCAGAATTTGACTGGCTCTTCTCATCTGCACTATCACCACTATATGGACGGAATTGGCCACCCTGAATGGGAGGGAGGAAGTTAGTCCATCGTTCTTTGATGCGGCCTATTTGGAATGTATTCATCTGCTGACATGCTTCGTGTGAATGAAGTCTTTCAACCGTATCAGTAAATGTCAAATCCTGGAACAGACACATGGGGAGGTATGGACTTACGCGGTCACTTCATCAGTCGCATCTTTTCCCACCATATGCTTGATAGCTAAATGCCCTCCAGGATGAAACTTTACCCAGGCATCAAGCCTTAGCACTTTGAGGCCGAGGATAATGATGTATTTGCCATCAGCAATCATGCCCTCGATCTCCCTCCTCGACAAGACTTTGTCTCGAGTCCTGGGAAAGGCGGGCATATTTCTTCACTGAAAAGAAAGAAATATGAAAGAATTGCATATAAACAAAGAGTATCGGGCAAAGCAACACTCAACGGCAGAACATCGAGATAAATATAGGTTGGGCATGGCAGGCATAGAAGGAGGCAGAGGCCGCTAGTGGAACCGAACCTATTCTGCTACCTAGAATTAGCGGAGTCAATTCCTTTCCTTTCAATCGAAGGACGAAAAGTTAGAGGGTAAAACACACTGCCACAAGCTCACAGACTCCAGGAGTCCAGTGGGTAGAGTGAAAAGATAAATGAGTAGCCAGCGGGTACAGAATCCGCGCGTATACCCAGACCCAAGAAGGGTAAATGAAATACGAAATACGAGAGAGGCTAATGATATCGATAACAACGCTGAAACCACATTTGTCAATTTTAAAATTTCCACTTTACTATTCGGGCTCCGCACAAAGCGCAACGTTATACCTGGACGTCCCCAGTTAAACATAATGGATAAGGTTATAATAAAATATTCGGGCTATGCAACCAGAGGAGTATGTACTCAGGGGTCAGTACGTACTCCATATCTGAAAGTTTACCGTGATCGGTTAAAATAGGTAGTACCACAAAGGGGGAAGTTTATATTGTGGATGGTTCATGTAATCGCCGAAGCAGATCAGCAGGTCGTATACTCGTTGCCATTTCAGACATCCATAATACAGTAAGGTATTTTGAAACATTCACACTAACCATTCAATGATAATGATAAAAGGGAGAGAGGGAAGATTCACTTTGCCAGGGGCGAAAGGGCTCTAGCTTATTGTAGCGTACATTCTCAACAATCTAGATGCCTAGAAACGGCAAAATCTAATCGCATGCCCTAAAACGCTAAAAGCCTCAAACATAAGACAATAATTGTCTCCGTATACGTAATTCACCAATCTAGACATGCCCACACGACAAAGGCCTCTACGACGCGTACCACATACCATCTAGGGAGTACCGAAGATGAAAAAAATGTATGCGAATCCTTCAACCGCTGAAGTGCACGTCCTTAGGGTAAATGGAGCCGAGGCTGCTCTGTACTCTGTAGTATTCGACACAGAGTTATCAGTCCGCCCCGTGCGAATTCGTCCCAACGAGGACCCCACCCATCATGGCCCGTTTGCTTGCACTGCCACATCCTTTTATAATCAAGGGCAGGTGTATAGAGTAACCAACAAGTTACAATAAATTTGAATGTTGTCGCACGCATCGCTCACACCCTGGCCACGAGTTATGTGGATCTAACCGTGCACGCTTTAACGGTATTAAGCAAAGTGTGATTGTACAGGTTCCGCAGTTGCACTAAAAAAATGTTCAACTAAATTTACCGCCCAACTAAAAGTTCCCGCTAAACTTAATAGGGTGCGCAATAAACCTTATTATATGCATCCTTCTAAAATGTTGATGTACAGAGAAACGGTGGTTACTCCAATTCAGTAGTAGTAGCATTATTGATAGCTGCTAAAGCTAGCCGCTATCTTAGGGCCGCTATGCAGGGGTGTACCGGGGTCTGTGCCTACTCAGAGGCACGTGGTACAAAGGATATTGGCCTGCCACATCCGGACTAGTAAAGGGTGAAAGCCCTTGCACTAAGCCAAGAATAGAATGGAATACACAAAAAAAATCAAGATCCCAATATTCCATATGCCACGTAGTGCGAAAATCATGCCTCAGACCGTTAATCCTTTGTGTGGTAGTGCTGTCCGAGCGGACGTGTGTAAATTCTACGCACGGGGCCTTGTAGGCCTTCTAGGTGGCAATAGGCCTCGTAAGCCAACTGCGTTGCGAGACCCGGTACGTACGTGTAGGGTAGAGCCTTAGTGCAAGGCCTTGAGCTGGAAAGACCTCACACGAACCCCTTTTTGCGATGATCTTTACTGTTGATAAACCGTTTCTGGGCATCATATCAACTTCGTGGCCGATAGTCCTTCTGGTATCTTAATTCAGCGAGTTGAGAGCGTGATGATGTTTTTTGTATGGTTGTGCCATAGTATTTTCAATCATAATATCCTCTTTCTGCCCAGAATGTAAATGCAGATTATACGCCCGTCAATAAACCCTCTATATTGGGGGCCACGTTGAATTGACGTCCGTCCCGATGGACGCTTTTTGCGCCGAATCCGCAGTTCGTAGGCTTCGTTGGCCGTGAGCGCGCGCGCGTAGGGGTAGGGTATTGGAACATATCCCCCATTTTGATTTCTTGCAATTCGTATGTACGGGGGGTCACGGCGGTGGCGTAGGCTTCAAATCCGGGTAGAGGAAGCCCCGGAGTGCGAGCGTGCGAGTATGAATCTGTATCCAAAGCGTATGTCAGTATTCACTTTAGAATCATAAGACTGAGTGACTGGCAAAAGCCGACGATCTTGCTTGTATCTGTTTAGAGCTGATGCAGGGTGGTGGCTGTCTTGCTGCGGATCCCGCATTTGTTCGTGTACCCCGCGAAGAAGCCGACAAGACCGGTGCATTCTTGATGTTTGAACAGGTCATCATAAGTAGAGCAGCAGTGGGTGGTACACAGAGCGGAGTTGTTGTGGTGCCAGACATCAAAACGGTCAGGAAGCGGTTTGGAGGAGGAAGTCTGCATTTGGCTACATTCATGGGCAAAGCTCCCATCATGGAGTTGATCGACCCAAGTGATCCCCATGGTATCCTGCACAGGGAAAACTACAACAACACCTCCATCATGTTGTCTGCCATGTTCTCAAAGACGAGCCGAACAAAGCTTCAAAGGCACCGGCAGCTGTATGCAAGTTACTGGTTTTGGTAGTACCATGACTGTTCATTTCCAGTTGGGAGTGATTCTTCTATGGTGATTTTGAGACCATGTTTCAGTATGACCCAAACTATAATACGGTTCATACATAGTAGATTCGATAGTCCATACCGCCGCTCGATGTTACACTTGTACACTATGCCGAACCCGGAATGGAGTACGTGGTACACAGATTGTCCAAGTGGGCTTGATATCCCGTATACACTCTTTGACACACTTGTATGCGCAAAAGTTTCCAAATTTCGGGATTAGAATATATCCTAGATGTCTTACAATAGATCAAGGTATTCTGTAGGTATATATCTACATTTTACTCAATTTTGGAACAACCCATCCCTAAAAAGTATTTTAGCACATTCCGAGATTCTTTTTCGTCAGAAGTTTTTTCTCATTCCTTTCTTCGCTATTCTTCGCTCTTCTTCAACTCGAAAGAGAAAAGAGAAAGACGTCATGTTAAGTCCCGTTGTTATCATCATCATCGCATTATTAGCCTCCGGAGCAGCAGTGACCATGGCTTTCGCCTTTGCTCACATTTACGGCTCAACCGACGACAAGGACAACCATTTCAGGCAGCTATAACCCAAGAAACGACAATATATGCAGCAAGTACGCGAAAAAAAGATATCAGAGCTTTGTATCGGCGAGCAGCAGCAGCAGCAGCTCCTCGTCGTCATCACCGTCCACATCAATTTGTGTATGAAAACACTACCTTTGAAAGGTATCCCTCTCTTGTATCAAATTTCAAATTCGCCAAGGCCTTTCATATATAGACTACGGTCGAGTACACCCGAAAGACAGCACGTGAAACTTGGCTATACATAATTCGTATTACGGCATATTCGCTTCTGCTACTCCTTTCAAATAGTACCTCCGTTCWCCCTCAGTACTTGTCCATTGATCTAAGCACTATCACCTCTCCATAACAGGATGACTGCTGCAGCTATTTCGTCTGGAGTCCCAATCCTGGCGAAAGGATTKGAACTAGCGATTACCTGAATTCTTTCATCACTGTTGACCTGGTTAAAGGGCTCTGTACTCGTCGCTCCTGGGGAAACAGCGTTGACTCGAATATCCTTCCTGGCCAAGTCCCGCGCCAAAATACGCACCATCTGGCTCATAGCGCCTTTAGTAGCTAGATAAAGAATACAATCGGGGGGGA